TTTCCTTTTCTCTTTAACCACCCCCTTTCCTATTTTTTTTCTTGCTACCTAAAACCTTTTTTTTCATTTTTTTTTTACTCTACTCCCTTCTCAGCTCTAAAAAAAACCCTCTTTACTATTTCTTCTTTTCTTTTTATATTAAACCACAGCCTTTTTCACCAACCTTCATCGTTTGTCTTCTTCTTATTCTCTTTCCCACTTCCCTACAACTGCCTTGGCCGATCATTAATTCTTTAAAATTTATCTGCCATAAATGCCATCGGCTCTTATCTCGCTTGGTTGTCCTTTCGTACACAAGTCACACACAAATGAAGAGGTTGAGTGGGAGTCTCTTCTTTCTATTTTTCTCTTTTCTCTTTTTCTTTTTCGTTTCAATTTCAAACTTCTCTTTTTTATGCCACCCAAGCCTCTGCAGAGGCTTATTTCTTATTTTGTCTTTTTGTAAAGGAAATAGTTAGGCTATTTTTCCTTTCGTTTGGCAACTTTTCAAGCTAAATTCAAGGCCTTTGTCTTTTGCTTTTTTCTTTCTTATTTGGGCCATTCTCCATGATCCATTTGGGTTCATCAAATTTTTTTTTACTTGTAATTGGGCTGAATAATGGGTCACATTATAAGTTCTATTTAGGCTTTTAAATAAGCCATAAATTAGGCTTGTAATTGGGTTTTTAAGCGAGCCAATTTGTGAGCTCAAAACAGGCTTCATAAAAGGTCTCTAAAAAGTGATCGAATTATGTGCCACATTTTTAGCTTTAAATAGGACTTTTAAAATGGGTTGTATAATAAGTTCAAAAATAGTGATCTTAACTGAAGCAAAAATGAGAGTGGATTAATAATATTAAATTATTCTAGATAAAATTAGGTATTTATATAATGAATTAGAAAAGTTATGATTTGCAAGATTGAGAAAACAATAAGATATTCATATGGGTAGTTTTCCTTTGTTTTGCATCGATATATCTGAACATGGTAGACATATTTCTGAAGTTAGGACAAAAAGATATTCAGATTTAATTGATAATTGAATGAAATCTATCAGTGATAGAAGTGAGCATAATGATATTAGTTTTGATAATACTAATGAAGATGAAGATAGTACACTTGTTGGTGATGTTAGAAGAAGAAGATCTTTAGTTTTAATTGCTAATTTAATGTGGTTTGTTAGTTATGTGTTTGAACATGATCCTGTTACTGCTAATGGAGAAAACATATATCAATCTCATATATTATTGCATTCCTAAGTTGATGCTAATGGGGAATTATAGAACATTGGGATTAAAACATTCAAGTCTCTTGTTATAAGAGATTCAATTGCTCGAATGTAAAAAAAAAAAAAGTTTGGATTGGAGTTGAATCATTATGCAAGTTCTTTTAGATTTTCTCAAATTTCAGAATTAACTATAGCATAATCTATTAGTGTTATCATAAAATAAATCTCAATAGAAAAAGAAATTATTAACTTTAAAATTTTTAAAAATTTTAATAGAAAAAAACTCATCATAAATCGTGCCGATTAACTTGGGGAAATCATATGTCAAACCTTAGTAGTTTTAAGATATAAATAGAAAGGGGCAAAATCTGATATAAAGTATTAATTAAAAACAAATTTAAATCCCAAAATTAAAAATTAGCGTCATTTTTTGTCTAACTTTTAAAAGATTATATATTTGGTGGCTTTTCATATAATTTTTTTAAAAACAAAAGGTATATTTATCGCCATCTCACCTACCTTTCCGTTTATATATAAATCCTTTTTTCACGTGATCTCCAACTTTTCCCTAATCGATATCTCACCCTCAACCTTTTATGTTTTTATTTTTAAAAATTAATTATTTTCTCTAAATAATACTACAGAGAAATAATTTAAAACATTCAAAATTTTTCTTCGATAAATCCAATAAGACTCCAATTTTTCTTGACTAATTTGGGTAAAATATTATATAATTCTCTATTTGTTATAGTGTTAGATATTTTTCTTTTACATTATTATAATCTGATTTTCGATGCAATAGTTTTAATCATAATTATATATAATTCTTGATTTCGTTATGGTGTTAGATCTTTTTCTTTTACATTACTATAATATGATTTTCCATACAATAGTTTTAATCATAATTATATATATATATATATATACATTTTAAAAGATTTTGTTTATATAAAGAGTATGTCAATGATTGTATGTCACTTAGTGCAATCATGATCATACATTCTAAAAGATTTTGTGTATATAAAATGGTAACTTCACATTTTATTATTAAGGAGACTACAAGAGTAATGAAGAAAAAAAAAAAACAATTTGAGAGATTTGTCATAGATATTTGATTGTATATAGAATTATTTTTTTATAGAATTATAACTCTAAATACTACAAAGTCAAATGACGAGAGATTAGTCACAGATATTTGATTGTATATCGATATAATCTTTTTCATCCCATCCGCGATAATAATTAAATTAAAAAAATATAATGTTAACACATTTAGAAAGAAATGATTGATCTTTATCAATAAACCCACTAAAAAACCGAATAAAAGAATACTTAATACCGGTGTCATGGAAATATATGATTTTAGATCTCATATTTAAAATCCTCTTCTTTTTATCATAGTACTCAATGGTAACTTCACATTTTATTTTTAAGAAGATTAGGAGAGCAATGAAGAAGAAAAAAAAAAAAAAAGACAAATTTGAAATTTTCAAAATTTTTTCTTTTTTTTTTTCATTTTCAAAATTTTTTTTCCTTTATTACTCTCGTAGCTTCCTTAACAATAAAAGGTGAAGTTACCATTTTATATAGACAAAACCTTTTAGAATGTACGATCATAATTGCACTGAGTGGCATATAATTATAAACAAACTATTTCAAAATTGTCTTTTTTTTTCCTTAATTACTCCCGTGGTCTCCTTAAGAATAAAAGGTGAAGTTACCATTTTATTTAGATAAAACATTCTAGAATATATAATCATGATTGCACTAAGTGGCATACAATCATAGACAAATTCTTTATATAGACAAAATCTTTTAGAATGTGTGATCATGATTACATTAAGTGACAAACAAACATGGACAAACTAACTGTAAAACACCTCTAATATAAACCTATATAATATTATGAAACAATTCTAGAAGTTTTGCAAACATCATACACACAAATACATCTTTTCAGATGCTACCAAATACCAACTAAGTATTGACACAGAGCCATCAGCATCCTTTAACAAAAGATAAATCTATTCAATAAAACAATTTTACTTTGTATCTCTTCCACTTATTTTAAGGCAAGCAATTATTAATTCGATTCTATGTCTGAATTATGCCATACATTAATTTATATCATCTATCATGTAATATTTTAAAGTTATCGTCATGTAAAATATGTAAAATTAAAATTTACTTTTATTTTAAATTATTTGATAATTATTTTTATGGTTGTTATGATATATGAATATTACTTACATCATACCTTTATCATAAGAATGACCAGTAATATAAATGGTTTGGAGTTGGCTACAAAACCAATTAGTTGCGACTCCGATTATAGTCAAGTGAGGAACAACTATCAACATCTACACAAAGTCAGGTTTCGAGTTTTTATGTGAACCTTTTTTTTAGTAATTTAATTGATATTGATCAAAATTTACGAGTAATTATCTAAAATTTTAAATGATTTGTTAATATCAATTCAACTAACAACAATATCAAATGTGACCGTTTCTTTTAATTAAGATGGTTACATAACAACTAATTATACTTAAAAATACGTGAATTACTTTAATTTAATAAGATTGCAAACACTGATGAAATAATAACAACAAGCTTGCACGTGAATGTACTTTTTTCAATTATCTACAATATATGTAAAATCCATCCATTTAAATCAAAAGTATCGTTCAAAACCAGTTATCCAATTCCAAAACCTGCATTTACAAAAGAAAAACTTAGCCAAAAGATAATATTTACTTGCTTTAACATGTATTGATTCCTTTGAGTTTAGAAAGTGAGGGATGTTAAACTGGGCTGAGTGAAATTGAAGTTCATGTTAATGACAAATAAATTTACTTCTTTATCGCTAGTGAAAATTTTGGTATTTATAGGATAATAATTTTTATATTTATATAAATATTTATAATTATTTTTATAATTAATCGTTAAAACTTTATTTATAAAATGTTTTTTTCTCATTCTTTTTGATATGTCGTTTTTTTTTAATTTAATCTACCCATAAATTTTTATTTTAACAAATGCCATTTCATAAAAAGCAGCATCTATTTTTTTTACAATCAACTGGTGAGACTGCAAAAAAATCAAGATTAAAAAATAAACTTCACCAAAAATAAAACTAAAGGAATAATATTAAACCAAAATTAATTACATTAATCATTTTGTCATGGATTTTTTTTTCACTAAAACCAAAAAGAAAAAGATTAATTTTTAAAAATATTAATATTATAAATGATTCTTAAATTATAATTAAATGTTTAATATAATTTTAAATTTTTAAAATTTTTAATATGATATTTAAATTATAAATTTATTAAATAATGTGATATTAAAAATAAATATCATATTTAAAATTAATCATTTTAAAAAATATTATATTAATTAATAAGTGTATAAATTTAATGTCATATTAAATATTTTTAAAATTTAAATATTATATTAAATATTTTATTATAATTTAAAAAGGATTCGTGATATTAACTAAATTTTAAATTTCAGTGTTCAACACTGTGTTGCCACAGCAACCCCCGTGACAAAATTTTATCACTGTCACCTGAGCCAAAAAATTACGTCACCGTCCCACAACGTGGCAACTTTCCACTGCAAGCATACGTGGCAGTACATCGTTGAGTCATTTCGTCAACACCGGAAACCGTCACTGTCACTGTAGTATGGAAATTGGAACGGCCACCCCACATAAAACGTGAAAGCCAGGAAAAAAAAGAAAAAATAAAGTAGCAAATTAAAATTATATTAAAACAAAAAAATTAAATTTAAAATTTTTAAAAATCATTTGCCAAACCAAAAAGTAAAATAAAAAGGAAAAAAATTAAAATTAAAATTAGATTCTATCTTTTATCGCCACAATTTCTCTTCCCTTACTTCTCTCTCGGAAGAAGCCCTAGATTTTCTCGGCCTTTATCGCTCTTTCCTTCGCTTTCTCGGGGGAAAAAAATGGTAAACACTTTCTCCTCAACTCCTCTTTTACTTCACTATCCCTATCTACAAACTTCTGAATTATTCAATTTTTTTCATTTTTATTTGATGCTATTTTTTTTTTTTAATTTTCAATCTGTCGAATTAGGTAAATTTTCATGAAATTAGGCGAAATACTACTCCAATTTAGGGTTTGATTAGGTCTTATTTTGTTCTTCCGATCTAATTTCAATGTTCGATTCGATTTTCGCATCTGACAGTTTGACCGATTGCGGATTACGTGTCTGATTTTCAAGCGTTGATTCTTTTGTTCTATTGCGGTTTGCTTCATATCGCATTTTTTATTTACTTTATATAGAAATTAGAATATTTTGTGTTTTCTAATTTTAGTAAATTTTGCAACACATGTAATTTTTTTCATTTTTTTCTGCACATTTACCTTTGCATAATATTTGGTATCAAAACTTGACCGATATTAATTGTAACTAATTCCCAAAAGAAATTAACTATTTGAATTCAATGATTGTCACAGGTAGGTTAGGGGAAATTTTAAGTAGCCCAAAAAAAAAAAAGGAAAAATGTTAATGGTGAGCTTGAGAAAATGGGAAGGAACAATGTAGAATACGCATTTTCAAAATGTAATTTAAAGGAATAAGGTCATGTTTGGTGCATAAGATGATAGATAGGATAAGATGATAATCATCCTATATTATGTTTGAGTTGTATTTAAAGAAAATGATAGGATTACGAGGAGGATGAATCATCCTCTTGGTATAAGATGATTCAATCTTCCCGAAGTGGAGAGAATTATTTTTAATCCATGGGATTGAACTTACATATCCTATTATAATCTTAAAAATTACATCAATAATTTAAATTGTATGAACTTTGAGAAAGGATAATTTTAACCAATAAATAAATTATCCTATCCTAATTGTTGCACATATCGAACACAAAATAGGATGACATTATTTAATCTAATCTTATTCATGATATCATCTTATCCTATCTTATCATAATCTTATGTACCAAACACATCCTAAATTTATCAACATGGTATTTTTAATGGGTTTTATGTCTGTCTTGGGAATATTTGTTTCAAATCTTTTGCATTTTCTGGTTTTCAATGTTATCATTCTTCAGTTTGTCAAATTGTTTGATAGAATAGGGTAAATATGACTGATGGGTCTTTCTACTTGAAGAATTGGGTGTAAAAGTGGGAGAATCCTTTCCTTCTAGCAAGTGATGTAACTGGTTTGTTAAGCTAATGGGAAAACACATTTGCTTATACTGCCTCTGAACAATGTAATTCACTCTTTTATTTGACCAAGGTTTCATTTCCATGCCAAAATATGTTTCACATTTCATTAATAGAATTTGTAAGTATTGTCATTGTTACAATTGCAATGACTAGATTCTTAGTAATTTGGTAGCTCTTTGTCTTATTTAACTGTTCAGTAGTTCTCTGGCAGTCTGCTGTATTGATTTTTAGTTGGTTTAGTTGATACGTGATACTTGTTGAGATGTTTTGTGCATATTTTGCAGGCAAATGCAGCTTCAGGAATGGCTGTGCATGATGATTGCAAGCTGAAGTTTTTAGAACTGAAGGCGAAAAGGACTTATCGCTTCATAGTTTTCAAGATAGAAGAAAAGCAAAAGCAAGTTATTGTGGAAAAGCTTGGTGAACCTACTGATAGTTACGAAGCTTTCACTGCTAGCCTTCCAGCTGATGAGTGTCGATACGCTGTCTATGACTTCGATTTTGTGACTGATGAGAACTGCCAGAAGAGCAGAATTATTTTCATTGCCTGGTAACATGAAGTGTTAATGAATTTGTAATCTGTGTGGCCAGTTCTGTTCATGGATCTCTCCTTAACTGTTTCACTCATCTGTTAACATTTTATACGTGAAGGTCTCCTGATACATCAAAAGTAAGAAGCAAGATGATCTATGCCAGCTCGAAGGACAGGTTCAAAAGGGAATTGGATGGTATCCAGGTAGAGTTGCAAGCTACTGATCCAACCGAGATGGGTCTCGATGTCATAAGGAGCCGTGCCACTTAAAAATGTATCATCTTCTTTGAAATGGAAGTTTTATACCGTCTCTGGTTCACTTAAATGAATGTCTATATCAAATTTGGAACTTAAAACTTGGCTTTGACATTGGGTTGTTGTTCTTGGGTTTATACTCTTCAATCCCCTGTCTTGATTTGTTATATCTGATGGATTCATATGGGGTCAGTGTTCCCCCCTTTGGTGTAATATTCACTGCCTAATATATGATGGTTTGTGGGGGTACCAATCTAATTACAAATTGACTATTGCATGCCTTCTTTCTTTATGTTGGATGGTAAATTACTCTTTTCTTTCTCTACCCTAGAGAGATTTAACATCAGCAGCAATTAGATAGTAACATATATTGTTGTTTTAGTTCATATGAAAGTTTAGTGGATTTTGGAATCCGAACATTTAGCTCAATGATACGTCCATAGCCTTTTTTACTTTATTCTTCAAATAATAATAAAAAAGGTTTAAGGGTAATTTTTAAGCTTATTATATTTTAGAAAATAATTTATCTATTTAAAAGTGTTCAATTAACAAAATAAAATTAGTAAAGCATAGTAACTTATTTTGATTGGAAAACTTGAAAAAATATATATAAACCCCAAAAACGACATTATTTTTTCTTGCAATTACCTTTGAATACACCTAATCTCAACATCAGAACATTGCCGAAACTTAGAAACATGAAGAAAACGATGTCGTTTTCTTAATGCAGCCGAAAAAAAAACACGTACCCTTCCACCTTGAACATAAAATCGCAGATTGAGATTTTTCTCTCTATTGAAACAACATTTCCAAAACGGCAAAATCCCAAATCTGAAAACGGTACCTCAATTTTCCAGGTAAATTAAACTCCTCCTATACATATATACACGTACACATACACGTATTGCTTACGTAAATAAACTAAAATGTCTTTCCCTTTTTGTTGTTTGTTAGATTGGAATACATTTTTTTTATAATCTGAAATACGTAAATTTTGTTTTGTTTTTAGAGTTAGTGGTTTGTTTTTGGAATCCTTTTTGAAGAATGAGTTTCAACAGAAGCAAGAGTCCGCCACGTGGCAAAAGGCTTCGAAGCATTGAGCATATTTCTTACTGTGATTCGCCCTACTCCAGACACCGCCGGAATCATCGGTATGACTCAGCTTTCGATTGTTTTAAGGTTATTAAGAATCTTCGTTTTATGATTTACTTTTATTATTGATGAGGATATGCAGTGTAGATTTCAGTGTCTCATTGTGTTTAGTTGACAATTTGTGGAAAAGATTGAAGTGGGTATGCTTTGAAATCAAAATAGCAGGAACTAGTGTGTTTTGTATTCAAGGCCTACGTGAAATTGCTAGAAATTTAAGTTAAATTTGTGTCAGACTATGTTGGAGTTGTTTTGAGGATGAAAATGATTTTTTCCTTGGAATTTTTACAAAAAGAACAATGTTTGATGTTTGAACTTCTTATGTTAAAAAAAAAAAAAACGATTTGAGAGTAATGCATTTGTTTGGGTAGACAAAGTTTTGAGGCAAGATGAAAAGAAGGTGAGGACATGCAGTGCAAGGATTTGGAAAGGGTACTATTAAAACTGCCAGTATGATGTAAGATAGAATGCTTTCTCTACCTATTTTTGGAAACTGTATTTTTTAGGTTGCAAAGCCATATATTGTTCAAGGATCTCCCTGTTTTGATACTGAAGGTACCAACAACAAGAACCCCAATTTGGATGCTTTACTGTCTAGACTTGGCAGAATTCAATGGTGCCATTGTGATGCATAAGAATTGTCGATTGGAGGAGAGATGGGGTGAGGTGAGATGGATGATGTGGTCATTGTAAGAAAGAAGACACATGACAGACTGATTTATGAGAATAATGGACTATGATGTCAATTGAGAAGAGGTCTTGAACCGTAAAGTTGCTTACTTTATTTAACTCTTCCCCGGCGCTTGATTTTAGACCATGCTCACTTGCCATTCATGGCGGCACCTTGTTTCAGTGATAATCATCTAGTTTGTTCATAGTGCTCTACCATAGAAGACTTAGAATTCCTTGGAATCAGTCCCAGCTGGTGGTGTGGTTATATCAAGAATATATGGGAACGTTGCATGAAAATGTGTCTTAAAGTTTGAGGTTGTAAACCATCTCCAATCCTGAAGCATTCTTAGTTTTTGCTTTGCTTTTTGTTTATTTTGCTACTTCAAGTTCTGTAGTTCAGAATTTCAAGGCTGGGTTTTATAATTGCAGCTTTTCTCTTCCATGTTGATGTTTTTCATTGTCTAACCCTTGTCAGAATTTATATTGCTGCTGCTTGTACTCCATCTTTCCTCCTTTTCGAAAAATAAAGCTCTTCTTTATTTCTGTAATATTGGTTTTATGTTTAGATAACCCTGTTTTCGTTTCTCAGGCAAGATTATTTGTGCAATAAATTTAAGCAACCTGGACATTTTGCAAGGGAATGTCCAAATATGACTGTGCAACAACTGCGGGCTTCCTGGGTGAGATGAACTCTTCCTCATTTAATTTATGTAGAACTTTTCACTTAGCCAAAAGGGAAAAAGGTATAACCTTCCATGTTATGTTAGTTCATTCCTCGAACCATGAAATTTGTTTCAGATCTGTTTGCTTCTCCTTATTTTGTTGTAGTCACATCGCTGCGGAATGCAACTCAACCACAATGTGTTGGAACAGCAAGGAGCCAGGGCATCTTGCCAGCCAATGCCCCAATGAGCCAGTTTGCCATATGTGTGGCAAGATGGGTCACTTAGCTCGCGATTGCGTGAATCCTGGACTTCCTGCTCATGATGCAAGACTCTGCAACAACTGCTACTAGGCAGGCCACATTGCTGCTGACTGTACCAACGAGAAGGGCTGCGATAACTGTTGAAAAACTGGTCACCTTGCTCGTGACTGCCCTAATGAGCCAGTTTGCAAAATCTGCAATATATCAGGTCATGTAGCCCGACAATGCACTAATTCAAGTCTGTCATCAGACATGAGAGACTCCTTCTGGGACGTTATTTGCCGCAACTGTGGGCAGCCAGGTCATATCAGTCGCGACTGAGTGTCCATTGTCATATGCAATAACTGTGGTGGGAGGGGTCACCTTCATTACGAGTGCCCTTCGGCAAGGACGTATGACCATGGTGGTGTACTGAGGTATTAACTATTAGCCAACCAATTTAATAGGATTCATTCATTAGCGTCCCCTTGTTTGACTCATCTTACAATTTGATTCTGAATTGATTTATTCTTAAATAAATATGCCATTGTTATTCTACAATTCCATCTTTAGATTTTTCAAAATGTGCTATTCAGATTTTTTCACTGTGTTATAGTTTCTTCATATTAGTAGTAATTTGTTTTATATCTTGTGGATAGGAGATGGGTAATAAGGAAGTTTCAGGTTCGAATTCCCATTTTACATATCTTCTTGAACCTTCTTAATCCTTAGGTCATGAAGTTGAAAACAATTTTTTTTTCAACTTAAAAATTAGAAATATTAAATATATTTTGATGTTAACTTAAAAGAATCATTTAGTTAAGAAACATTAAATGTAGTTTGGCATTAACTTAAAAAAAATTCATTTAGTTGAGCGTACGAACATCATAAGAGCATGCATTTGATGAAACAAAAAATTGAATTTGAACAAGAAATCTTGCTAAATTGTTACATTTCACCTAAAATTTAAAATTAATTGAAATTAGTTCAAGCTCGAAACGATTCAACCCAAATTGTTTGAATCCCAAATGAATTCCTTTCTCACTTTGTAATTTTATTTCTGTTAATAAACAAAAAATTTTAAAAAATCAAATCTAATATCTAAATAATTCTTTTGAAATAAAATAAATATTTGATTTTGTTTGCTTTAATTTTTTTTTTATTTATAGAATCCAAAAGTTTTACTGATAATATATAAAATAATAATTTTATTAATTTTATCTAAATAAATATCTTAATCTTATTATTCCAAAATTTTATTTTTAAAATTTATTAAAATCTTGATTACGAAATGTCAAGTATTCTTAATTTCAAATATCATTTTCAAAAAATAAAATGAAAATAATTACATTGACTAGTGTTCAATAAAAGAAAAAAACAAAAAAAAGTTCAAACAAACAAGAGCGATTGAGCTCTTTTTATAATTTTTCTGTACTTAAAGTTTTAACATTTAATCCTTTTACAAGTTTCTCAAATTCTTTCTTTTTTTTAAAAAAAAAAAAAACTCTCGAAAAAAATGGAGATGTGCACGTTAGAGAAGCGAGGTAACCTGTTCATTTTAACTTTGACCGGCGAAGACGATCACCGTCTAAACCCGACACGAATCGATGCAATCCGGTCAGCACTGAATCGAATCCGATCCGACTCAACCTCTCACTCCGGCTCCGTTCTCATCACTACCGCTCACGGCAAGTTCTTCTCCAATGGCTATGATCTCGCCTGGGCAGGCTCTTCACCAGACAAGATCCGTATAATGTCTTCCAATCTCCGAGCTCTCGTCGCTGACCTAATCTCCTTTCCTATGCCTACCATCGCCGCCGTCAACGGCCACGCCTGCGCCGGCGGATTCATCTTGGCTCTTAGCCATGATTATATTGTTATGAGAAACGATCGAGGGTTTTTGTATATGAGTGAAATGAATATCGGACTGAAGATTCCGGCTTGGCTCATGGCCGTTATAAGGTAATTCTTCTCATAAAATTTTTTTGACCTTTTTTTGGATACCTCCTACAAATTTTTCTTCCTTTTTTATTTTCAAAATAAAATTATTATATATTTTTAATCTTAAAGTTAGGAAGTAAATACAAAATAAGTACTCTGAGTATTATTATTATTATCAATTTAATCCTTTTACTCATGTAAGTAAAATTTAGTCAAAATTTTAATTTTTTATTCTTTTATTCGACATATTTAAAATTTTATATCAATCTTATATTTATAAAATTAAATTTTACTACTATTTAATAACTTTATAAATATATTAAATACGTAATTATTATATTATATATGCTCATAATGGAAGGATTGTTTTTGGTTAATAAGCAAGGTTGAAACTCTTAACTCTACTATTAACGTTAATCTGGCTTCTAGTAAATAAAAAAAAAATCCAAATATGGATTAAAAATGTGTTAATTTCATAGTGATCGTTGGAGCTTTGATAATTATGATAATGGATACTATTCGATATATTGTTGGTGAAAGTTTAAAGCCTATAAGCATAGTTAAAAAATTATGATGTTTTATTATATTAAATTTTTATTTTTTAAAAATATACTCTAAAAAAATGTAATATTTTAATTTAGTTGGAATTAGATTTATCCCTATATTAAGCCGAATCGATCCTGCCTAATTGGATATCTAAAATTTAAAATTTATGTCTATATTTCAATTAAATTCGAATAGAATAATAATTCGATCGATAAATAGATTTAGTTAAAATAATATATGAAATAATCTTTTATAATAATAACAAAAGGTTAGTATATTTGCGTACTTTTGAATTACTGATCATATATCTTTAATTATTATTAGTTGCAAGATTCGCGATGCCACGGTAAAACGAGAGGTGGTGCTGGTAGCGAAGAAGTTGACGGCAAAGCAAGCAGTAACGAGGGGGATCATCGACGCGGCGTATGATTCTGCGGCGGAGACGGTGAAAGGTGCGGTTGAGTTAGGAGAAAAGTTAGTTAAAAAGGGATGGAATGGAGAAGTTTATAGTGAAAATAGAAAGGAGCTTTATAAAGAGATTTTAGATAAGCTTGGAGCTGATGAAACTACAGACGATGTGAAAAAAGTTGCAATTGCATCATCCAAAATGTAGCATGGTTGCAATGTGGTTAGAAAAAAATATATTAGAAAAAAAAAAAAGAAAGTACTCATAATAATTTAAGTTTAGCTTAGTGATTATTACCTCTTAAAAAAATGAAAGAGATTTGAAGTTTTAATATTTTTTTCTCCCTTCAAATTTCCAAACTATGTAATGAAATAAGTAAAAATAAAAATTTACTTGAAGTTATTTATCTTTCTTATGTTTTAATCATTATATATCTTATTTTTTTATTAAAATAAAAAAATCAAATTAAGACAAATTATAACAAGTAAGTATAATGTAAATCAATGTGAATTTTTAGCGATATTTGTTAGTTTGAATGGTTAAAAAATTTTATTCTTTTTAAGTAAAATCTCAATTTTGAGTTTTATAAATAAAAAAAATAAAATATTGAGAGAGTTTATCTATTTATAAAATCTAAGTTGATTCAATTTTAAAATAATCAAAATTCAAAATAATTATAAAATGTTAAAAGGTCACAAACAACAATTTTTTTTTTCAACTTAACTTAAATCCGATTTTTTTTGGTATGAAAAAGAAATATTTTGAGAATTAAAATTTTAAATTTCAATTTTAGAAAGAGAGAAGTATGATTTAGGAGATGAAAATAATAATGTTTATGTTTGACTGATAAAAAAGTAAAAGAAAAAATAATTTGAGAGTTGAACTACATAATAACATATAACATATGTTGTTTCGTCAAATTTTTTATATTAAAAAATTTCAAAAAAGTTTGTTATCATATATTAAAAAAATCCATTTTATGAAAACAATAATAATAAAAAATTAGAATGTTAAAGGCAAGTATTTTGTTTTAATAGAAAGGTAAAGGTCAAGGTAATTATTTTTTATATGTAAGGTATGTGTAATTATTCCTTCATGCATTGGATGAAAGAAAAACCTTAATTTTTACCATTATTACGGAAAAAAAAAACACAATTTAATTTTTACCACGTGAGTTCCTACTCAAAAAAGGAAATAGAAAGACCAAAATACCCTTAATTCTATTAACAAATTACTTTCCCCCCTTTCATTTTCAATTAGTTTTAACACGATAATTAATTTTCCCTAACTTGAGCCAAGCATTTATTATTTTAATCATAAAAAAATAAAAAAGGGGAAATAAAAATAGCGGTTGCCAGCTAATAACACACCCCATAAATCCACGCTTATACTTACAGCTAATCCTCACTTCCACATTTGTCTCTCTCTCTCTCTCTCTGTTCAAATGTAGAAATTAACCCCCAAAAAATTGAATCAAGAAAAAAAAAAAAAGCTTCATTGCTAAAAAATTTAATAAAAAAACTTTTTTTTTTAATTGGAGATAAGATTACAGGCGGTTGTGCGTAGATTCAGTGCAACCAAAATTCCGATGACAACAACGTTCAGTCCAGGTCGGAGCCCGGGAAGTTCGAGGCTTCAGTTAGGCACGGCCAGTGGAGTGTCCAGGCTTAGATCTTCGTCGCTTAAGAAGCCACCCGAGCCGTTGCGTCGGGCGGTGGCGGATTGTCTCTCGTCCTCGTCGTCTTCTTCTTCGTCTCCTTCGGCGGTGACTGGAGGAGTTAGCTCGTATCACCATGGGAGTCCTTCTTTGGTTTTAACTGAAGCTTCGAGGACGCTTCGGGTTCGTAATTTTTGTTGGATTTAACTTTTTTTTTATTGTTTTATTATTAGATCTTGACTTTTTACTGTGTATTTCTGTTTTCAATATAATTAGGCTTTTTATGCTGTTAATTATTATTGAAAAACTATAATAGAATTAATTGAATTATTTTTTTCAAAAAAATTTAAATAGATGGAAATGCTATTGAAATTTAAATTTTAGGAAATTTGATTTATTGGCAGAAGGTAGAGAAATATGGTTTAGTGTAAATTAGTGAAAGTTGTATGATTTACTTCGTAGCTCCACGTCATTGTTATTTCCTGGAAAGTTATTGACTTGGCCAAAGCAAAGAGTGAAAAGGCAAATCATATTTGACTAAAAGTGAAAATGACCAAATGACTAAAATGTAAATTATGGTGTAAAGTAAAAGTGTGCATTTTGTTATTTGCAAAAGTTAGTTTTGAAATTTTAGTTCTCTAGTAATTTGTGGTTTGTTTCGGGAAAGCGAAAAGCAAGTAGTAAAAGAAACAACAACATACAACTTAAGTGAATGACTTGCTAATGTTGCTTTTCCTGGTTTTCTGTAATGAAGTATCTAATGTGTTTTTCTTCATTTTAACAATGCTTTGATTGTTTCTGTATTATCCTTGTAAGATTTCTAGATTTGCTGTTTTTTATTATATTTCAAACATTAACCAGCCAAGTAGCATTTGGCCCTTAACTACTTATTGGGCTTGAATTTATTATAATGAGAAAAGTTTTGACAATTTTTGGCTGAGCAATAGCTTTTTAATCTAGTGTTGCTTTACTTACAGGTTACTTTAATTAATTAGGAATTGAAATGAATTAGAATCTTTTATATTTCTGTATTTTCTAACTTAATTGCTAGCTTTTGTTGCTTGATCAAAACTAAGCTGAATTCATTATGATCCGAGAGTTCATTTGCCATACATAGAGACAGGAAAGGAAATTCCAAAATCTTGTATTCAATCAATGGTAAACTTTTCCTTTGTTATGTCTTCTTTCTCTTTTGGGGATCCAAGTGTAACCTTGAAGTTGCTTTGTTCTTTTAGTCCAACTTGAATCAGCTCGATATCATTAAAACATAAGGCTGCTGGTGAAGCAAATCTCAGTTCCCCATATAACTTTTCTTCTTGCAGCACCTCAAATGTTTAGAATTGAAAGTTCATTTGTTTGAGGTTTTTCCTTTTAAAGAATGTATATTTTAGTATTAGACCTTCCTTTTGCTTCACTTGTGGAATTTATATTTGAATCTTATAGTATCTTAATGTCTTATATTTGTAGATTACTTTTTTTGAGATTTTCTTAGTATTAGACCTTCCTTTTTACCTTACCTGTGAAGTTGGTATTTGAAAGTTATAATATCAGAATGTTTTATATTTAACAATGACAGGACTATCTGGCAGCACCTTCAACTACTGACCAGGCTTATATTGTTATTTTAGAGCATACAATTGCAGAAAGAGAACGCAGGTAATTTTATTTTCTATTAACAGCTTCTGTTATCTTTTATGTCATTAGTCGTTCTAATTGATCCCCATTCCATCAACTGCTTTGCTAAAGCATCACAATTTAGTGCCATTATCATTTTTATCCTACATCTAATCTATTGTTTTATGTAAAATTATGGATGTTTTAGTAATTAGGCTAGGGCAGCAGGCATGAGTAATGTTGGCTCTCTAGAAAGCTCTTCTTACTAATGTGACATGATATAAGTGGCACTCTTATTCATGGCACTGAATCCATATGTTTAGAAGAAAAATGGAAATTGAATACCAATCTCCTTGGTAAACATTTGCTCGAAAGATAATGAGATCAGTATATACAAGGTATTACATCAATACATCATCATGCACCATTGTTGATAGTGAGTTTCCAACCTGGGTGTGGACCATCTTTCTATTTGTATATGCCTTTTCAACAAATAAGTTGACTGTATGTACATAGGAGAGGAATGAAAGGAGGGAAGCTAGGTGGGAAGGTTCCCTCTTTTTTTTTTTTTTTCATTCTAGTGGGTTGCTTGATTTTCATTAACAATAGTAGGAGAGATAGATGATTGGTTATAACTTTGACTAACATACTTCTATAGCGACAAAGAGTCAAGAAAGAGATGCGGTTGTTGACACGTTTTGTTGGTAAATAGATTGGAGATGTTGATTTTAAGTGATTTAGAGGTAAACCCTGTTGCTGATAAATGAGTGTGGTGGTAACTTAAATAGTTTGCGCCAGTAGGAGGCTGAAAAGAAAATTTGTTGATGTGTTAAAAGCTTATAATGCTTAATCCATATGATACAGTGCGTTGACACCAAATTAATGCAACAAGTCTTAGCTGAAAACAAGTCTTGTGTAACTTCTTCTAGTAACACGCATAAGTTATGTTTGGATCAAGTATCTGGAAATTTCATAGAAATGACCACAGAAGAATATACTGTTTATTTCAATAATACTTCAACAATTGATTGGAATATAATATTGCAAAGAAAGAAGAAATGATACACTATTTTTATAATTCATTCTTCTCAGGCTCATAATTGTTTTACAGTTAATTAATGATTTGATTATTATTGCTTGTCATGCACAATTTACTTAATTTTTTCATTTTAATTTCAGCATTACTTTTGGAACAGTGTTTATACTATTTTTCTTTGCTGCTAATGTGGCTATAATTTGTGCCAGCCCAGCTGTAGTGGGAAGGTGTGTGGCACTCTTGAAGCGATTCCTTTTAAGGTATTTTGTTTGTGCTGTAAATTTGTGTTTTTACTAGTTTTTACTATATGTAGAATAGGAAAATGTTTGACTGTTGGTTTTAGAATGTGATACGTGTACGAGAATTGTCATCTACCAAGTGTGCACAAAATTAGGTTACTGTTATAGGCAATTTGTAAATATAGTACATGCTATGGTTTCTACCCAGTTTCAGACTAACTGGAAAGATCTATCAAGACCATAGGTTCCAAGATTTATAGGTTCTATTTCATATTTTTCTTTTGTTTTTAGGATTTCATTGTTTGTTCTATTTACTGCAGATATAAGCCCAGTGAGGAGACATTGCTGCAAATAGACCGGTTTTGTGTTAACTTAATTGTTGAATGTGACATTAGTCCAAATCGAAGATTGTCACCTTGGTCCCGATCATTAAATCAACAATCTGGTTCATCAACAGCATCAACTTCATCTGCAAGTGCTTCACCTTCATTGCCTGTATCTAGTTTCGCTTCTATGGCACTTGTAAAGTCATTGAATTATGTGAGATCCCTATTGGCAAAACATATTCCAAAGCGGTCATTCCAACCGGCAGCTTTTTTTGGAGCGACCTTGGCATCAAGACAGTCGCTTCCTACGTTGTCATCTTTGTTGAGTAGATCCTTCAATTCCCAGCTAGGGCCTGTGAATGTTGGAGAATCTTCTGAGAAGAAAGATGCTACAACTTTATCTGTTTCAAACTTGTCAAGCATTGAGGAAGCTGATGGTATAGAGAATCCTGAATATATCGCACATGATGCTTTGAAATGGCGCTGGCTTGGGGATCATCATTCATCATTAATGTTTTCTGAAAGGTAATTGATTTTGCTTATACCTATCAAGTGTTGAAATAGGTCATGTTGGTAATATTGACTTATTTTCTCCCCTTCTAAGTTTTTCTTTTTTTGGCTATTAATACTGTTCTACAATGTGTTCCTTTGCTTCTAAAATGAATTTAACACTTGGAAAGTTCTATGTTCAAAAAACAGTGATCGATCAGTGACTGTTCAAGACATGAGAACACGTAATTTCTTAGAAGTAGGAGCTGCTGCTTTACTTGTAGGAGACATGGAAGCTAAAATGAAGGGCCAGCCCTGGAAATATTTTGGCACTGCTGATATGCCTTATCTTGATCAACTCTTACAGCCCTCATCAGTCACCACAATTGCCAATTCTGCTTCTGCTCGCTCTCACTTGAGAGCAATAACAGCTTTGAAACGCAGTAAAGGAGGACCTCGTCAAATTTGGTATGTTCTCCACGTCTCTCAGATTATTGCTTTGATGACTTTATCTTTAGTCTCACTTACCATTATATTATTCACACTATGTATTGCATGTGGATCCTTTCTATTTGTTATTCTCATGTATTGCATCTGGATCCTTTCTATTTGTTATTCTCACAAACTGTGTCAAACATATGAGATTTGCATTTTGATGGCTGGTAAACGTGGTGGACTGGTAGCTCTAGGGCAGTGATTTCAAGATACCCTGGGTTTTCAAGTTAAACTTGAGTCCGATAGCTTCGAGGTCCAGCTTGTTGATTAAACGTTTTTCTGTACCTAACTTTATTATGACTGATTTTAATGGAGTTTGTCAATTTGGTTAAGTTGGATAGTCTGGGACATTGAAACTAGGGATGACCTCTGTATGTTTGGTTTATTGGTGCCATACTACATACAACCAGTCTGATGTCAGCCATACACTAGATTTAAAAGAATTTAACTCATCCTATTAGAGAGATATATGTTAGTATGGTTCACTTCTAGAAGTTGTTTCATACTAAAATTTAATGTTGCTTATGATTGTTCAATATGGGTACACTCATTCTTTGCTTTAATTTTTCTTCTATTTGGAAGTTGATACCATTGTACTTGTTCCCACCATGGGCTGCCACATATGTGTCTTTCCTGGGTTCTTTATGAAAAAACAGAGATGAACATAACCTGTGAGTTTTAGATCTTGAAACAAGTTGCATCTATCTGTTATGATGTCTACTATAATTTGCTTGGACCAATTTAAAGGTATTGTCTTCACATTCTAATTCTGAATAGGAATATGAGGGTCAGAAATGAATTATAAAGAAAATGCAATATTGAATCAGTTAAGAACTATGGAAAAGATACAAAATTGTATTCATTGCAAGTTCTACGGAGTATGGATAGGTGCACAGAAGATATATCATCATATGAATTTTATGGAATCAAAACTGCACATGTTATTCAGAAATTGTCAATACCTAAAGCAGTTGTCAATATCCAAGGGATCTGTTGGGCTACCATAAATATATTACTAGTCATTCTTATGGCAGATGAAAACTGCCTGATATGAAAAAAGTAAGCTTGTTGCAGTTTTCATGTAAGGCATTAGATGTGCACTTTGGTGAGCCCTTTAAACCTTTGATGCATGGCCTTAGGGCCTTACCTGTGTTTATTGCCTTAAATATGCTTTAAGGTTGAGTTTTATACCATTTTAAAATCTTAAGTCTTGTTTGTGATACTTATATCGTCTTTAGTTATAGACCTGCCCATTGGTCATGCTGCCTGCTCTCGAAGCCAAGTGTGGCTGTGAAATCTGTTATATCATATAAATAATGCTTTTTTATTTGAATATATTGTAATATTAATATAATTTCAAATGTTTGTAAGAAATTGTTAAATTTCAGTTTTGTTGGCAGGTATTAGACCTAGCTGAACCTGCCTAGGGCCCATTCCATCTCTTCTTGCAGATATTACTTCATATCTCTAATGTTCTACAGACATTGGAATGATTCATGTAACAATGATATGCTTTTTAGACTGCTAATTTAATTGCACATACAGTTCAAAATGAAAGTCTACATAATGAAAGCAAGGACTTTTTAATTCATATTTCACAATGTTTTGTTAATATCAAGTCTTTGAACTATGACTTAAGAATCTGACTATTCTAAAAACGAAGCTGCTTTTGTGGTGGCATATTAGTAAGATAAAAAACTGTTGAATTTAAGACAAAATTAGTTATGTGTATTTTACACCTTAATTTTGAATACAGTTGTATGATTACATTTCGAGTCTTGCATTTGATTTTTCTGTAGGGATGATTCTCCACCAAGCACATTCCGCCCACGTGCCAAGCGACTTTTCCAGTATCGTCATTACAGGTGTGCAATTTGACATCCTTTAGTTGATGGTATATTGCTTTTGTAATTTGTTAGCATGCTAGCTTAATAGTTTTGGGATTAAATAGGGTACCTTCTCTTTTTTCCCTGTTGTTAACAAATATTCCATGTATAATTTAAGGACATTCATATTGTTGAGTTAAATATGAAGCACTGACTAACAGCCACTGACTTTGATTTATATAATTGTTCTATTGCATCATTATCTGTGGCTGGGTGTATCCTGCTTCTGTTGCACATAGCTTCTTGTTCTGAAGTGCAGTTTCATTCACAAATATTGATAGGTGGCAAAGTGGTCGAGTTTGTGTCTATGTTTTTTTTTTCTCTCATCAAATATATTTGTGTGCATCAGTGAACAACAACCTCTGCGATTAAATCCTGCTGAGGTATGCGAGGTTATTGCTGCTGTCTGCTCTGAGACATCTTCGACAAATGCTAATACCATGACGGTATCTTCTAGATTAAGTAATAACAGCAGAAAGCCATCAATGGATGTGGCTGTTAGCGTCCTTATTAAGCTGGTTATTGACATGTATGTTTCTGTTTTCTTATTTTCTTGGACCTTTTTCCTCCTTTATTTTACACCATGCACTTAACCTTCTCACTTTCTCTCCCTCTCTCTGCTTATGGGACTCATTATTCATTCTATAATAATGATAGCATCCAGTTAACTTATGCATATGAGACCTGGTTGGTTGATATGCTGCTTTTATCTGTAGCCTGAGGTGCATAAGTTATGTCAAAAACATCCTTGTGTCGAAGGTGAAAAACTTTCTTCTTTTCTATCCTGCAATCCTAAATTCACAGTCTTACGATGCACTTGGAATAGTTTACTAATTCCTTGCTATTTAACAATAAGTTATCTGAAAAACAATTTATATATCCTTTTTACTTATCTGAAATCAACATCCCCTTGATCATGTTGTGGGCATACTTTGAATTTTCACATCATGGATGGAAATCTTACCCATTACAAGCTTGAGTTATTCATAAACATTACCAGGGGTTTGATCAGGAATTTCCAATATAGTTGTTGCTGCACAGGATCATATGATTGATTTTGTTTCATTTTCTCCCTTTGCTTGTTTTCTTCTTTTAAAGTTCACATCATCTGATGACCATTGGTATGGAGGGAGTTGCTGAAAATTCTGTTTTGCAGGTATGTCTTGGATTCTGGAACTGCTGCTCCTCTCACTCTGTCTATGCTTGAGGTTTTGCATCAATTACATTTTCAGTTCTTTATTATTTAAGCATTGTGAAAGCATCTTTTAATTCTTACTTTTTTATGAACTTTCTTACAGGAGATGCTTAGTTCTCCAAGAACGGCCTGTAGGGTGCGTGCTTTTGATTTAATTCTAAACCTTGCAGTCCATGCTCACTTGTTGGAACCAATGATAATTGATGATAATTCTGCAATTGAAGAAGAATATTCTCAAGAATTACTTTTAAATGGTGAAGACCAGCTTACCACACAAGGGATAAGGAAATTAGATTCTGCCAAGAAGTTGGGCACCTCCTCAGCCATTGATAAATTTGAGTCTTGGATTTTAAACATTTTATACGAGATACTTCTTCTTCTTGTTCAGGTACAGCCAGTATTTTAACTGAAGCTTGTGCATGTTGGCTGCTTTGATTTTATGAACATCCATGCTTGTCTTTTTTTTTTTTTTTTTTTTCATTTTTACTGCTACCATGCTATTACATTTGTCCTTAATATTCTTTATGGTCTCATGCTGTTAGTACTTGTTGCAGACTGAGGAGAAGGAAGAGTCTGTCTGGGCTTCTGCCCTAAGCTGTTTACTGTATTTTGTCTGTGATAGAGGCAAAATCTCAAGAAATCGATTAAAAGGACTTGACATTAGGGTGAGTCAGTTTTCCCTTCCTAGCTACCAGTTCCTGGAATTATTTTTCACCTTGATTTAACCAATTAGAGTGCTTTGTTTGTTTGTGTGTGGAGGAAATTTGGTCTAGGTGAAAATTTGGAAGTTTCACTTCTGTGTGTGCATGTATGTGTTTAATATTTGACATTACTTGTCCTGTAAAAGTGGCAGCATGCACCTTAAACATCTAAATGAAAAAATGAAACACCCCAGTAGACTTATTGGTCTCCCAATTGATAACATAGCACTATTGCATCTACCATGTTAAAATTTCTGAGGCATGCTTAAGCAGTGCCCAATACCTTACAGGAAAGTTCAAACTTTGCTTTGGAAGAATTATTTACTGAAGCTAATCTATGCAAAATGTAATCTTAGCATTACAATTCCTCTGAATTATGCTAGATAATGCATCGAGCAATTTTTTCTTTACGGTACTAATAAAGGGATTGCAAAACTAAAGGCCGGTAGGATTTGCTAGATATATCATTCAGTTGTAGCCATATAGGTTCTGAGAATATTGGGATGGGTATTTGGTATGCCTCACCGGAAGGAGAATCTCATGTATTGTTGGAAATTGAATATGTTGAAAGAATTTATTGACCCTAATTTTCACTTTTCTTTTGCATTCTGCACCGTCTGCATTATGTGTTGGTAAAATTTGCTGGGTATGTGATTCAGTTCTAGCCTTATAGTTTGTGGGAATATTGGGATGGGTATTTGGTTTACCTCACCTCATTGGAAACAGAATCCCACGGTGTCCTTAGACAATTAAGTATGCTGGAATAATTTATTAACCCTTTTCACGTCTTTTGCATTTGCAACCTCTCCAAAATGTCTCTCTCAAAACCATACTCATGCAGTCTTGTCAATCAAAGCTGACTTAAAATTTGATTGGATTTCCTTGTGAGGAAATTTTATGAATTAATTAGGGTTGTTTGTTTAAATGTTTTAGCTTAGTTTATTGGAACTTAGTATTATTGTGGCAATAAATCTGAGTGTCAATTGTGGTCTCTTCAAATGTGTTTGTCTTCAGGTTGTCAAGGCACTTATAGAGACTAGCCGGGCAAATTCCTGGGCTGAACTTGTTCATTGCAAGCTTATTTGTATCCTAACTAACATGTTTTATCAAGTACCTGATGAATCTACTACGGCCATCATGAGTACTGCAAGCTTTCTTATTGACCAGGTTGACCTGATTGGAGGAATTGATTTTATCTTCATTGAGGTATGCCAATTTGTTTGATGTGGGCATGCCTAGAAATAAGATTGACTTGGTTCTCTGCAGTAAGGCAACATTCCTGCTGCTGTTGGGGTGATAATTTTAATTTTTATTAAAGGATTAATTTTCCTGAATGAAAGAACGTATGGACCCAATCCAAAATTTAATACCATGACATAAGTATTGTATTCCAATGGCTTAACAAACCTTTGGAAATGGGTGACTAGGTAATTAGTTCTGTTCTAAATAATGGCTTGTAATGTGCATCTTTGTGAAGTTGTTCGACCAAAGATTTATGATTATTGAATGGCTAATTGCATTATGAGTTTTCAATGCTTAACAAAATATGGTGGTCAATTCAAATATATACAAAAGTTTTTAAAATCTTAATCTTTTTTTATTTCCTTTCGTTATTTTAATGCTTTCAAAAACTTATCCATGTAGAGAAACCTTTTAACTTGTATGTTTTCTCTTTTCAATTACGAGGTGCAGTATTCACTGTCAACCTCAAGGGAAGAAAGAAAACATCTGTATTTGGTGCTTTTCGACTATGTTTTGCATCAAATAAATGAAACATCAATGTCGACTGGAGTTTCTGAATATAGTGCTGATGAGATTCAGCCTATTGCTACACTGCTCGCTTTGGCTGATGCACCTGAAGCCTTTTATATTTCTGTTAAGCTAGGGGTGGAGGGCATCGGGGAGCTTTTGAGAAGATCAGTTTCTGCTGCATTATCTAGATACACTAACAGTGAGCGATTAAATAAGGTAATGTCCCGTGAATATATTTATGGTTTTGCCTGTGTTGGCAAAAGCATGTCTGTTTGTAATGTTTGGTGAGTGGGGATGATAAATCAGAAGCAGGCTGGTGATCTGGTGTGTCATGTGTGTGGTTGTTTATGTGATTCCACCAGTTTGATTCATTTCATATCTGGAAGTACAGCTTTTTAATGGAGATTGAAAATGAATCAGGGGTGGGAGGAAGACTCTTTCTAGCTTTATCATGTTAAATCCGTCTTTTTCTCTCCTCATCTCTACTTATATTTCACAGAAGCTTGCTAAAGTGATATTCAACTGTGTGAATTGCAAATAAATATCTGCTTTCTAATTATTGTTTGTTTCCGTTTGCAGCTTTTGGAAAATATTACAGAGAAATTGGATACGATAATAAGTTCATTTACTCATTTGGACAAAGAGTTCTTGCATCTAAAACAGATAACAAAATCCAACAAGTTCATCAACAGTATTGAGCATTCATCTCTGCAAAATGGTGTTGCAATGAAAGCAAAGCTTGCTTGGGCCATTTTACATTCTCTACTTCATTCAGATAGAATCTCTTACCGCCAAAATGGATTTATCTGGTTAGGTGATCTGCTTATTGCTGAAATAAGGGAGTCAAGGAATGGGAGTATATGGTCTAATTTGAAGACCTTGCAGAATAAAATTTCTTATGCTGGTGTTCATGATTCCTCTGATCCTTCTGATGTACCTTTGTCTATTTGGCTGATTTGTGGTCTTCTGAAGTCAAAGAACAACATTATTAGGTGGGGCTTTCTATTTGTTCTGGAGAGGCTTCTCATTCGGTGCAAATTTTTGTTAGACGAGTGTGACATGCAATGTTCAAGCAACAGTGATGTTGGCCCTGATCGTAAGGATGCCCGACTTGAGAAAGCAAATGCAGTGATAGATATCATGAGTAGTGCTTTGTCCTTGGTAGCTCAAAGAAACGAAACAGACCGCATGAATATTTTAAAGGTATATTGCTTGGAGAACTTTCAAACCATCTTTCAAAATGTCAGTGATATTTAAAATCATCAAATTTTATTTGATGAAAGGAAGATAATGTGACCCTTCTTGGATATTTCTTGGAGTAAAATGCCCCTCATACACTTTTCTAGCTTATCTTTGACCAAATCCTGCTTGATGGGCTAGTCTAATTGTTAATCCTTTGCTCTGTTTTCAGTTCCTGTGATAGAATCCTTGAAGGACCAAGGGGTGATTTGGTTTAAGCCTTGAAACCCTTTTTTGTTTTTCTTAATTTTAAGCTAAAATAGTACATGCTACTTTTAAACAATTATAATTTTCAAGTTCCTAGTTCTTTAAATTACTTCTAGGTGACCTTAGTTAATATTTTATGATTTTGATCTGACTGTCACTCAAAAATCGTTTTTACGTAATACAAGTAAGAAAAGAAAGGACAAGAACAGTAAAACTTGAATTAACTGATAGGAAGTCACGCTCTAATGTGATGTTTCTTTTTTAAATTTTTCTTGGAGATGTTACCTCTTTCAATTGTTAAGTAGGGATTTCCCATTTAGCGTGCCCCACAAGTATCTTAAGTAGAAGGCTATATGCAAAAATGTTAGTTTTCTATCACTCAAGTTTCTGGCTTGTCCCATAGGAATTTTTTGATATTTAACATCTCTTTTCTAGTTATTTTCACTTTCTATAGCATCTAGGTATCAATATTCTTTAGACTTGCTTAGATCCTATTAGGATCCTATTTTAACCACCTTGCCTGAGACATGATCTTATATCCACTTGTCTAACTAAAGTGATCTTTTCAGTCTAGTATGTGTCGTCTCATATTTTAACCAGTCAGAGTGGATTTAGTGAAGGAAAAAGCCTATATGTAGAATCTCTCTATACTTTCAAGGACTATAGGGCCATTTCTAAAATCTGTAGAGATATTAAGCCTTCATTTTTTTTTTTTTTTTTTTTCTTCTTATTTGAGTTTGTTATGAAGCATGCAAGGATCTATTTGGCAATTTTATTATAGACATTCTCTTGTTTCTTTGGACTGTTGTCTTGTAGCTATTATCATCAGTATCTTGTAATACTTGAGCAAACGCCTCTTCTTTTGAGTTTTGAAGGAAATGAAGTATAGATGGCTAGAATAAAAGGATAAGATGACTGTTATGGTAAACTTGATGCTTGGTTCCTGTGAGATGGATTTATCTATTCATATTTCCAAACAAATAGGAGATTTCACAGAAAAAATAAAATGTTTTTGGCCTAAATTATATGGATCTGTGATTTTGAGTTTTTCTCCATTGTTTTATGCATTGTGCGTATGAAAGTCTTGTACACCATTTCCTCATTAGCACTTAATACATGTGTAAGAGAGTCACTATTCTTTTCTTTTTGTTGAACAGATGTGCGACATTCTATTCTCTCAGTTGTGCTTGAAAGTTCCCCATTCAACTGTGATGCCATTTGGACAAGGAATACAGCAAACTAAAGTTTTTACTCGTACAGATGGAATTAGAAAAACTAGTGATGCTGAGCTTGTATCTCAACAAGCAAGCTGTCGCTGGGATGAACTAATGGAGGAAACTGATAGCAAATCAGGCTACACTGTTAGTAGTCCTCTGATACGTGCGACAGCTTCTATGGCTGCACTACTACTTCGAGGACAAGCCATTGCTCCAATGCAATTAGTTGCACGTGTTCCAGCTGCTTTGTTTTATTGGCCTTTGATTCAACTTGCAGGTGCAGCAACTGACAACATTGCACTAGGTGTTGCTGTTGGAAGCAAAGGACGAGGGAACCTTCCTGGTGCTACTTCTGATATTCGGGCTACCCTTCTTTTGCTTCTAATTGGTAAATGTACTGCAGATCCTACAGCTTTTCAGGAAGTTGGTGGAGAAGAATTTTTCAGGTGATCTCTATTTCTTTGCTTGTGAAGAACGAATTTAAAAGAAGCTTACCTACAGGCATGCCAAAACTTAAACTTTCTGTTTTACCCTTTCTTTCAGGGAACTTTTGGATGATACTGATTCTAGGGTGGCATATTACTCTTCAGCTTTTCTATTGAAGGTAAGAAAGCTTTATTTGGTGTGTGTGTGTCTCTCTCTTTATCCCCCTTCTTTTTATGTTCTTTCTGTTCCACTTCTGTTTTCCTTCCTTCCACTTGTGGTTATGCTTTTCCATTAAGCTATTCAAATATGGGAACTTTGCAGAGAATGATGACTGAAAAACCAGAAAAGTACCAACACATGCTACAAAAGCTTGTTTTTAAAGCTCAACAGGTAATTGACTCCTCAATGTTCAGTATGAAGGCACTTTATTGCAATTATGAAGCACATACATATGAGAACAACTGATGAATATTCTCTACACAAATAGGGAAGGTGATTTTGGTCTGAAATTCCCTATAATGGCATTTCTGCTGAAAGAGAGTTTCATCCCATTTTCCTTATCTAATTGACTTTGCACCTCAAAGTTTAAGAAAACGGTTAAACCTTATGTAAGAAACAATATTTGTGCCAAATTCTGTTTGACTTGAATCGATTTCCTTGTTAAGGGTAGATTATTTCAGGGTAAGCCAATCACTGTTTCAGTCATTTAGTGGATTGTTTTTGCTGTAACTTATTTATGTTAGTTAACATGACCTTAACACATGGTCATATGGTTGGCTTATATGCTTCTTGTTGAACATCTTATTAGTGTCCATTTCTTGATATGCTGATAGAAAAGGTTAAATTTTTTATAGTATCTATTGTTTTTCTGCATTGGATTTACATACTCTTCGTTTGTTGTCATTTAATAGGGTTGCTTTTAATTTCTGAAGTCTTTGTTTTGTGTGCCTAAACTGCAGAGTAACAACGAAAAGCTGCTTGAGAATCCATATCTTCAGATGCGTGGGATATTTCAGTTGTCAAATGATCTTTGAGCTCGGTTGTATTTGATCATTCCTTTATGCAAAGTTTAATATACATAGTGGCGCACTGCAGTGTTCATTAACATGACTTTCCTTTGCTCATGATATCTCAACCCTGGCAACATTTGGCCTGATTCTTTGAGTCCATTGTTGATGTACGCCTGATTTTGTGAGCCTCCATAAGATGGTCTGAAGTCGTAACTAGTTCAGAGCCGCAAAATTATTGAATTTAGGCCAACGGTGTGAGATTCCAAGCCTGGCTCCCAAATATTTGAGTGACAGTGTAAATTCTTTGAATACTGCTAATATGTGCTCCCAAATCTGCTGTAGAAATAGAGGTGAGACTTTTAATGTCTGTTAATATTTCCATCTACGAGTTGAGACACCGTTTAATGGACTTTTAGTACTTCCTAGAAGCATAAAAGTTGATGCTTATTTTGAGACCTTAATTTGCAGGAATGCCAGGAATAAAAATGAAGTGACTGGAGCTATTGATTCATCTGCCTTTTCAGTTCTGCGACTGGATTGTGTATATCATGCCTTTGAACATATCTTCAGGTACTCCTATCTAAACTCAAGTCATATGAATTTTCACCTTTTCATGTATATTCATTCATTTGTATCTTTGTAAATTCAGATTGGATAGCTTCTTCCCACCATCATTATGAACACATTCTTGTCCATCCATTAATTCCTCGCCTTCCCACTCATTAAATTTGGCTTAGTTATATAATTGTTCATCAACTTTTTGTAATGTACTTTTTACGCATGCAGATTGTTTGAACAAAAATATCCATCTTATCAACGTTTAAGAATTCTTCTTTCATCATTACTCATATCATTGCTTGTACTAATATTTCTTCATTTCAAAACAGTTATTCTCGTGCCTTACACAAATACAGAAGAATTTCTGGGCAACTCCAGGTACATAATTAGATTTCCCGTGGCCTTCCTTTTTTACAAATGATGAGGGCGAGTTAGCGTTGGCTACTTTTTAAAGGCCATCTTTAGTAATAAAAAAAAAAAACTTTAACTCAGAGATTCGTTGCCTCGATGGCAATAAGAACAAAGCATCCTTTATTTTCAATGGATAGGGCCTTCAAGGCTCTCCAATTCCATTAATAGGGGTATCACCTTGGAAATGTCTGTTTTTAAGGGGCATCTCTAAAGTGTAACCTGATATGCTTGGTTTTTTCAGTCATTACAGTGTTCATTACATGATTTTGACTTTGTAAATATGTGAATTTGGCTTTTGGTTTGTTTGAGTTTTTTTTTTTTTTTTTTTGAGTAAAACAAATTTTGGTGCTTCTCAGAGTTGTATTATGTCCTTTTTACTTAGCTTCAGACTCGTGTGTAATTACATCTTTTTTTTTTTCTTAATACAATGATAAAAAATTAAGCTTTATATCCCATAATACTTTTGTACGGGATCTTTTGTATAAAATTGTTACCCTAATCTCTCATGGTATATTTCCTTTTGAAGAATGGTTCAATGACCCGTTTGAAGTGCCATTCGGTTCCATGCAGTTCCCAAGGAATTTTGATGTGGATTAATCTCAGCTACAAAATCATAATTGAAATTAAATTTATTAATGAAAAATCAGATTCATTTTATTAAAATTTTTATAATAAATTTATGTATTATTAGTTATGATTTTGTGGTTTTAATTAAATTACATGATAACTCATGAAATTTAGTTCATGAGATTAAAATTTTGTTAACTCACCGAATCGAGTTAATGAGATCAAAGTTTGTCACAAAATTCTTTCTCATGTTCGACATGAGGAAAAAAGAAAAAAAAGATTTCAAGAGCTTCTAATTTTTCTATTACCCATTTTACCCTCATGTTTGACATTTTGTTTCCAAATTATATATTTTCTCGAATTTCTTGGTAGAGTTTTAATTGAACGAAAGGAGATTGACAAATGAAACCCTAATCGCCTTTTGCAAGAGTGAGCCCTTCGAGTTCAACAAGAAAATATTACATCAACAAATTAGAGATATAATTAAGTCCTATATCCCTAAACTTGGAATTGGATGTATGAAAGAGAAAAAAAAAATCATATTAAGTCATAATTTTGAATTTTCTTGTGAAGTTCAACAAGAAAATGCAGAGAGAAAAATCTCAAAACTATACTGGAGACTGCAAAATCTCAAAATCAATGAAGAGGATATTAAAGAAAAATATAGGAGAACATACAACATTATGCACTTCAACCTTCACAAGAAAACTGGGGTGTGAAATTCAGAGAGTTCAATTAGAGTCAAAACACAATGAGTATGTCAGTGACATCATTTCTATCCTAAACACTACCTTTCCTTCTCCCCCCCCCCAAAAAGAAACCAGCCAATATACCTAGACAAAAAAAAGTAATTTCAGATGCATATAGCAGGAGAGGAGAGGACATCATTTAATTCGTGTAGCTTCTGAGTGGTACTTATCCAAGTCAGCATCAAGATCTTCTGCAGATAATTTCTTACCAATATGTCCTCCTCGTCCACGTCGCCTTGCAAATCCGCGACCAGCAGCACTATTGTTAGGTCCATGACCACTGCCTCGAATCCATCCCCTAGCATCAACCCTTTCTTCATCCCTGTCCGGAGGCAAAGAAACTAATATATGAAACAGCATCCAGGTATGAAGTAGACACTCAGAATAATATATGAAAGCTAGTTTAATTTGAGATGAACTTTGTGAAACTTCCAATATAAATATATTTCGATTTTCCACAAAACCAGCATTTGGTGTCCGTCTCATCTTTCTGGATTGTTGTATAGGTGAAAGCACATGGATCAAACAGAAATAATATTCAAGGTATCATTAAGCAAATTCAGAATTTTCATTGAAGCAGCAGAAACAAGTTACATGAACACTTGAATAGAAAGCAAGCGATTGGGATGCTAATGAAGCGAATAACTAGGGAAAAGCCTTAAATTTCAGACCTTCTAGAGGCCACATTTGGCTTTCTCAGAATGCCAGTTTTGGTTGGAGAGACAGGAGTAGACATAACCACATTTGCTCCCACAAGCTCAATTGACATTGGTTTTCCATCAAGTTGAACATTGTTGTATCTCTTAATAGCTGCCAAAGCATCTGTCTGTCTGAAAAAGACAACTTCTGTAGTTCCCTAAAATAAATACTGAACATTTTCAGCAGCAGAAGAGAAAAAAAAACATTTCATATTGGCTTCAAACTTGGACAAGAGTAGATACCTTTGATCTTCCACTCCTATCATAATTAATAGAGTACCTCTACAAGTCACCAACCTCAGAAAAAAGCACCTAGCAATTGAAGATGTTGTTATGACAAAATGTAACAAAAACTATTCTCAAAAAAGCTGAAGGATAAGATGAATGAGCTGTACGAAGATAGGTACGTTAGAGAAAGGAGAGACAAAAATGAATATACAACATATTCAAAAGAGCATTGAAGTTTCTAGCAATATTTCCACTTAAATATTCATGGATAGGCTTTTAACAGAATTTCAATTCAAACTCATATAATCATGATTATCTTTGCAATCTCAACCGCCTTATACCTCAGTCCCACAGCTCTACTATACTAAACTCCCACAGATTGCTGACACACACAATCGGCCAGCAATATTAGTCTCATAACTAGAAACCAACTTCAGCTAAAAAGACCGCTCAACATTCCTCTTTCCTTCTGCCAGAATCACATTACTGAAAGGAAAGATGAAAAAAATGAATACATAACACATTCAAAAGAGCATTGAAGTTTCTAGCAATACTTCCACTAAATATGCATGTGTAGCTGTTGACAGATTTTCAATCAATTCAAATTCATATTATCATAATGATCTCAACAATCTCAACCGCCATATAACTTTGTCCCATTGCATTACCATTCTAAACTGTGACAACTTGGTAGCACACGCAACCAACCTGCAATATTAGTATCATAACTAGAAACCAACTTCCACAAAATAAACCGTCCACCTTTCCTTCCACCAAAACTAGAGTACTAAATGCGAGTTAGAATGAAGAGCTAGAGTACTACATGTGAAACAAAAACATTGGTATGTTCTCAATGCAAATAAACAAATGCTCATATATGTAAATTACAGTAAGGAGCAAAAAGACCTAATAATTCAAAACACGATATGATGATACGACATGAAAAAGATAGATGGAAAAAGACACAAAAGTGACACAATTTAAAATTTTAGCAAAAACCGTATATGGATTTAATAAAAACTAAACAAATGAATTTCATATTTTCTGTATTAACATGAATTGCCATTGTGTTACATGACACAAATACAAAAATTTGTCAGGGTAACAATAGCTTGACAAACCATTAATCATAAACACGCTTCTATGCTTACACTCTACTAGGCATGTAGTCAAAAATAATTCAATCACGTACAAGAACACCCACATTACAAATTCTACACCACCAATATATCAACCTCTCTTATTTCCTCCTGCCTAAACAACTAATCCATTCCACATCCAATTATCACCTAAATCATACTCTTCTAGCAGAGAAATTCACCAATCCATATTTTTCTTTAACAAACAACGCGATTCAGGATTACTCGTTCGTTCTTCTTTGCTAAAGAAACAAATAAATAAATAAAATTATAACAACAAATAAATTAGCAAACAAAGAATTTGCAAAAAAGAAAAACAACCTTAATATCCTCATTAGAAACACTGTAATCCAAGTTGGATATATATAATTTCGCCTCCACATCCGAACCTCCACTCGAAACCAACTGTCCCTGCAATGATGGCACCTGTAATTGTACCTGCATTTGCTGCATTCACACGCGCGTGATGCGCACACGTTTGTCAGCGCGTAGACAAAATAACCGTTTGAATAAATTTCCATGTAACAAAATATAAAATAAACGAGTTAAATGATTATATATATTTATATATTTATATATATCCACACAGTCCAATATTCAAATAAAAAAATTACATTTCCATCAATAAAATATATATATATATATATATTAATTAACAAAGTTGATTTTCTTCTTTATTATTTAAAAAATCATACTAATAAACTCAGTATTTTTATTTTTATTTTTGGTTGGGAGTAGAGGAATTTACCGGTCTAACCGGATACGGGGTTGGTTCGGAGCGGGTCGATAGTGGGGCCACGACGATCAGGGCCAGGACCGGGGCGACGAGGTTTTGAGTCTGAAATTACGAGAATGCCCTTCGGGTCTGCTTTTATTACGGATTATTTCGTCGAGTGACATGTCCAGTGAGCTGGACATTTTAGAAAATTCGAGTTCTGGGTTTTTGGGAAATGCTGTTTAGGGTTTGTTGCAGTTTTTGAAGGCGAAACCCGAAAGCCGGAGACTGAAGATTTTTGCAGGGAGCGAGGAAACGTGAATAGGTTTTTACCGAGGTACGAAAATTTCGTTCACTATGTTTATTTTGGTGACACGTGGAATAAATTGGGCCTTTGGGCTGGGCCCACTTTTGCAAAAAAATGGGCCTATTGGACTGGATTAAACAATAAGTCTCTTTTGCGTACATGGATTCGGCCCAATATGGGTTGGGCTTGAACAAGATATTTTAGGTTTGGATCCAAATGATTCTGTGATATTATTTTTATTTTATTTTGTTTTTAACAAAATACAATTCAAAAGATCAAAACTTGGGAGAAAATTATGTGATTTTTTTTCTTACCAAAAAAAATTTTATGTGATATTTTTGTTTTAATTTTATTTTCCTTGTAATAAACTTCTCTGCTAGTTTAATTGGATTAAAAAAAATGTGAGCGCATCTGAAAAGGAAATTCATGCTGGTTTATGACGTCATTGTTGACCTGTCCAATCCAGAACAGTGAAGAAAATCACAGAGAATGTCAATTAATAACCAGATGAAGGGCATTTCCGTCTTTAAAAAAATTACGCCCGCCTCTTTATTCTTTCCCACCATCACAATTGTCCTCTACAACGCGTTTCACCGTAACTTTGAAAAAGACCGTTTCCTCCTTTCTTTTGACTCTCTGTGCATCGGAAACAAATAAGTCAGAAGAAAAAAGAAGAAACTTTCATTTTTAATTATTAAATTCATGGAGAAGATCGATGAGCTCAAAGCCAAAGCCATGGCTTCAGATTTAACGAATGCAAACGCTAGCAAAGACATCGAAGCTTCTAAAACTAAAGAAGAAGGCGAGCTCTCCGATTCGTTCGATGACGTATTAACATCTCTCTCTCCTTAACCCTAACTTCCCCCTCTTATTTTTCTTTTTTTTTTTTTGGCTGATGAAAAATATAGGAAAAGATTTTTTTGTTAAATTTTCTCGATGTATTATGATCGTTTATAGCTCATATTTATTTTAAAATTTTTGGTGCTTTGAAGTTTTGATTTTGTTGAAGGGTTGATTGTGTTTGGTTGCTGAGAAATCGAAAGAAAGGGAAAGAAAATGATCTGGTAGCTTATGATATGTATTGCCTTTTAGAAGTTAATTAGGTTAGGTCATGTTGCAAGCATATTTATAGTTTTTAGTTGTATTTTTTACAATATGCTTAGTTAAATGTAGCTTAAAAAATTGTTGTTGCATTGTAAAATCATTGAAGCAGAGGCAGAGCTTTCAGTGAGTGAGGACCTTATTTGAAATTCACTAGTGTGACTTTTAGTTCTATTTACTGCGTTTTTCTTTTAACCACAGGAAAATCTGGGTTGCTCCACTGCTCAGTCTAGTGGTACTGTTACCCCACCTTCAGGATCTAATTCGGCACCTTCCACTGTCAAATCCTTGCCACCGAATCTGGCGGGTAAGTCTTTCAAGTCATCTCATGCCAAAGTCTAGATTCTTAAGAAGCTTCAATGTTCCTGACATATTAGGAGCTTATTTTGTTTGCAATGACAGACTGACCATCGAATTGTCCTTTTTTTGTATACTAAAGTATTAAACAAGTGCATAAAATATACTTTAATCAATGCACTATTTGGTTGCTTTTTATTGCTAGACATGGCCAATTCTTAAGGCACATTTTTAAGTTGGTTATGTGCTTAGTTTTTCTAGAGCTCTTGTTTTACCTTCTACTGCCTTCGCCACACCATCTGGAAACTTGAGTGTCTTTTATCTGCAAGATAGGGTGTTTTCCTAATATTGTGGAAACTATTATATATGTCCCTTTCTGAATGTTAATATTATATTACAATGCATCTGCTGATTTATAGGGAACACTATTTCTGGCAATAATCTTGCCAGCGCCGTTGATATCCTGTCACAACAACCAATTCCACCAAAGAGTCAGAAAAATATCGAGAAGAATCGGTTGGCAGTTAAATCCACTAATCGTAGTTGGTATGCACCTTCTGGAGGCAACAATAATCTTGTGATACGCTTCTCAGATGATGACAGTGGTAGTGACTCAGAAGAGTGCAGCCAACAAAAAACTGTTGAAAATAAATCCAACTCGACTAGGGATGGTACTCAGAGACCCCTTACTTCATTTGCTCCAAAGATGAACAAGTTAGGCCAGACTTCCAGGAACATTACCAGAGTAATTCCCAAGAAACCTTTAAGCCGTACATTTATCTCATCAATGACCAAAATCAATGGTGGGACCAATTCCAGGGTTGCTGGTCCTTCAACGGTTGATCAAGGTTCACAAGTTAGATATTTTAATCCCCGCAACAAAAATTCGGCAAGCCATGATCTTGTGTCTGAGCAAGGTGTGGCTTCCAACAATAGTAAACTCCAGGACTTGAGGCAGCAGATTGCACTTCGGGAAAGTGAATTGAAGCTTAAGGCCGCCCAGCAACATAAGGAAACAGTTTTAGCATCAACTATGAACCTGGACAATGGTGCAGGAAAGAAGTGGATTGCAACTTTGGTGGATGCTGGTTCAATAGATCCAAAAGAACCAGACAAGAAACGCTTGAAAGTCAGTGAATCTAATTTTGCCCATTTAAATTCAGGTGCTCAACAGGAGTTACATCATGTAAAATCTAATTTAGTGTCAAAAGACCAAAAATTGGAGACAAACAGTCGGCCGAGCAAGGATAAGGCTGATAGCAAGAAAGTAGCTTCAATGAGCAAAGCCAAGTCAAGCATTAAGTGGCAAAAAAAAGATGATAATCTGGTTGATGTTTCATTAGAAGATACGTCTAAAGTGCTGAAAGATGGTGAATAGTTTGTTTATCTTCTTAAAGTTTTGTCTGATGTCATCCCATGGATGCTCTGACTGACTGAGTTTTTTGGTTCTGCAGGTGTTGATATGCATACGAATTTGCATCAATCCAAAAGGACCAGTAGGCAGGTGGATCCAAGTGTTTTGGCGAACCAGACTGCATCATTAACAAACATAAGTGCCAGTGCTGTGCCAAATAACTTGGTAAGTTAATGTTTTAATGTTTTAAAATGCTCATTAGTCATTACTTAATGGTTCTTAAAATAATAATACTGGCACTGTTTCATTAACATATGAGATCTGTTTTCCATCCTGCTCGAATATTATATTCGTTATATTCTCTGCATTTGATGGTCCTTGCTTCATATTGTAATATTTATGTCTATGTGCTTAAGATTTAGAGTATTCTACAGATCTGGTGGGAAAGATCATGTCACAATTATGGATAGATTAGATACTGATAAACTGAACCTTCCAGTTTCTCCTGTATTTTGGAGTAGTGTTTTGCATCTTCTACTCATGCAGAAGACAGTGGTTGATCTTCATTATGTTGCAGTGGGGATTCTAAGGATTGTCTGATAAGTGAACACCTTGTTGCAGAATTGACTTTTATCTTCACAAAATTGGAAAAATCTCAAGAAATTCTGTTTCCAAATTGTTGCCTTTACATGATCATCCTTTTTTTTTTTACTATGGTAGTTAATAGTTCTGCAACTTGCAGAGTAACGTGGAGTTAAATCATCCAACAGAGGTTGGTTTAAATAATCCACCAAGTTCTTCACTAAGCAAAGCAACAAGAGAACTGAATTTAGCGAAAGGAAATGATTATCTTGAAGTCACATCTGGTGATAAGACTCTTGGGCCCTATTTTAGCAAAAAATTTCAGGTCTGTTTTTATATCGGGTGATATAATACTTGAACTATCTTTATCCTCATTACGACTATGCTGACTTGGTTAATCATTTATTTCAGACATCTCAAAATACAGCAAGTCTATGGAACAATTTGGCTAATGTAAATATCTCAAGTCATTGCAATGTAGATGTAGATATACGTTCTTTTGTTGAAATTGAGGAAAAGCTGGACAAGGAGCTAGAGGAAGTGCAGCAGCACAGACGCTTGTGTGAAATTGAAGAAAGAAATGCTCTTAAAGCTTACAGAAAAGCTCAGAGAGCTTTGATTGAAGCTAATGCTAGATGTACTGATCTTTATCGTCAAAGGGAACTTTGTTCAGCCCACTTCAGATCTTTTATTGTGAATGATTCCAATACCTTGTGGTCCTCCATGCAACATGAACACACTGGAGTTGGATTGGATACTTCAAATAATGTACCTGAAAATATGGATCTTGTACCCATGTCAACTCATAGATTACAACCTGAATATGATGGTTTTAATCAACCAGGGTATGATCCAAATATCCAATCTATCAATGTGGCTCCTCGCAATATGTCTCTCCAGCATGACAATGGACAAAATTTGGGTTCTGAACCATGCAGTGAGCCAGATGCTAGTACATCAGAGCCATTTCCTCATAATAGCAACAACGCTGCAAATGCAGTGAGATCTCTGTGCAGTCCAATTATTTCAGTGGATGAAGATGAAGAGACATCTCCTATGGACCATGATTCTGTTCAACCTAGTGCTGGGTATCAGCAAAAGGAGCAAAAGTCTGAAGTAAATCAAAGGAATGCAAATAATGAGTCTGACAATCAGGATTCTTTGCTTCTTGAAGCGACATTGAGGTCTGAACTATTTGCGCGGTTGGGAACGAGAACTTCATCAAAGAACATTGATTCATTTTGCCATGGAGAGCCTTCTGTTGAACGAGGGGCAGAAAATGATGTTGAAAGTGAAAAGACCCAGATGAGCAATGGCAGTCTTACACTCTCGGAGGCAGAAAAAAAGCATCAATTTGATGTTTCAGGTAACTTATTTCATTAAGAACATTGAATTAGCAGTCCTTTGTTTTTTCTTTGGTTGAAATAATAATAGTCATTTCCTGATTTAGGCCCTGGAAAGCCCAATGAAGTTATATCAGAAGTTCTGGTACCGAATGAGAACCAGCACCATGAAAAAGATGATGTTTCTTCCATTTTGAGGAGTGCAATTGGCCATTTGAAGGTCATGTCTCCTGTCACTAGACAAAAAGAGAACCATTTCTACAGTGAAGAGGGTTCTTATGTCAACTTTGATGAAATTGAGTGGTCTGGTCAGATAGCAAACTCTTTAGAGGAGGCTGTTCGGGGTTTATCTGGGAAAGAAATGGGCTCATATATGTGCACTATTGCAGTTGACCCATTTTGGCCGCTCTGCATGTATGAGCTTCGGGGAAAGTGCAACAATGACGAATGCCCCTTTCAACATGTTAAAGACTTTTCTAAGAAAAATGCATATCAGAATGCACATGATGATTCTGACAGTGCCGGTATGAATATTTTTATTACAACTTTGGAAGCCTGTGCTTTGTTGCTTGCCTTATTGAAGTCATCCTTTTGCAGATTGTCAGCTTGGTCTGACACCATGTCAACAGCAAAGTAATGGTCCAACAAAAGCTTCCAAATGTTGTGATGTTTTCAATTCACCAACTTATATAGTCAGCTTAGATATTTTGAAAGCTGATCCACATCCACACGAATTTGTTGTGACTTGGGGAAATGCACAATCCTGGTGGAAGTGTTTCAGTATTTGCTTAGCTTTATCTAGTTTTCTCCGGAAAGGTCTATCTTCAGATGAACCTTTCGTGGATGGTGGTGATGGCCGTATTGAAGTGCATGGCAGCTGGAATAGGGAATCCTCATTTTTCCAGAGTAGAAATGGAATAGTGGTTTGTAGCTATTCATTCTATGTTATTTATCTACTTCTATGTTATTGGTGAATCCCAACTTCTGGTGTGCTATTTATTAATAACATGTGATTTCTTCTTAGATTTTAAAGGATGTTCTGATTAACTGTCACCTAAGAATATGCTTTGGCAGGAATATATGCTTATCATGGTTATTATTGGCCAATCTTCTCTTTACTGTGTTGCTTATTTTTTTGGTTTGAGCTCTATAATCTTTTTCTTCGGTGAATTGTTAGCTTTACTAACTTCTGGCCTGATGTTTATGCTACAGATACAGGCAACATTAAACCATCTTTGTTTCACCTAAATCATTTTGTTTGCATTCAAAGTCAAGTATGCGTTGTTTATGTCCCTTGTACTGTGAGCATTGAGTTGACCTTCAATTGATTCTTCAATAATCTTTCATTAATTGTGAGATGTGAGGAAAGAATCTCCAACTGATGTCTTGTTTACTTTATCCAATTTCCTATGATTTTACCCATTAGTCTTGTCATAGGTAAAGCCTGGTGCTCTCTCCAAGAGGGGGGAGGGGGGAGGGGGGGAAACAATGCCTCTTGTAATTTGTCAACTTTTCATCTCTGCTTGTTTTCATACATTTATGTTTATTTAATGCCATGAGATATGTTTGTATTCTTACAAATGACAAACTGGCATATACTATTGTTTATGTCCATAGTCTAATTTTTACACTGATTTCATGGTGTGTACTCAGAATAAACTCAACCAAGCTTTAGGTATGAATGCCCAGTCCTTGGAGATGGCTTTGCTTATCCTCAACCAGGATGTTAACAAGTTGGAGGGTATGAAGAAGGTAACCTTAACAACCTGCAAGATAACTTGTGGTTCATATTCACATCCCAACACTTCTGTTTCTGTCATCAACTCTCCTTTTTTAAGTTTTTGCAGGCTCTTTCTTTGCTGTCACGAGCCCTTGAGGCTGATCCGGCATCAGAAACTCTCTGGATAGTTTATCTGCTTATTTACTATAGCCATATGACATTTGATGGGAAGGATGACATGTTCTCTTATGCGGTATGTAATTTCATATGCCTGGTTATAATAATTCTATGGAGTCTCTGCATGTCAGGGACCATATTTATAGTAGGTATGCTATTAGTTTTATCATAAATTTATGCCAACATGTAGAGGTTTCTTTGTATTGCATTTTGTTGGTTGGCTCTCCTGTGGTACCTCATACAGATGCTAGTATGTACATGCCTTAGGAACTTTTTGGTTCTCCAAAGAAGTGCTCTTCATTTGGAAACTAATTGCATCACCCATTGTCTTATGCATGCTATTGATATCTTTATCAGCTGTTTTAACCTGCTTTTAGTGCTTCACTATTTTCTAATGGTATATTATTTCTCTTTGCTATGGTGGGAACAAAATAGAAACATTTGTACTAAAAGAAATTACTGTCCAATCATGATGCTTGTGTGGGCTTGTTATGGTAATGTTAATTTTGGGATTGGGTGAGGGGTTGGGGAGGGGATAAAAGAATATATGCGAAGACTGTTATTATTGCTTTATTTGTGTGAGTATTTTTTCCGTGTGCCATCCTTTTCAGTTTGCTTAAGGTTTTTCTTCTTTTGATTACTTTCTTGCCATCACTTTCTTATGTATGTGTATGTGTGCAAATATATGTATTATGTTCTTTTAAATAATATTTTAGTATATTAAAATTTGCTTTTCTTTGGCATTAACCTTGTATTGTTATTCCTACTTAGGCAGCACTTACCATCTTGGGTATTCCTTCTCATTTGTCTCTCACACACACTTCCCATCACTTTCTTACGTATTTGTGTATGTGTGCAAATATATGTATTATGTTCTTTTGAGTATTTATCCTTTTAATATATTAAAATTTGCTTTTCTTTATCAGTAGCCTTGAATTATTCCTACTTAGGCAGTGTTTTCCATCTTGGTATTCCTTTTTCTTTGTCTCTCTCACACACAAACCAAGCATGTATGAATGTAAATCTGTGTATATGTGTATGAGTTTGATACTAACACATATATACATGCATCCTTGTTCCTCCTTTAGAGAATTCAAATGAAATTCAAACCTTTTCTTTGGGAATACTTCTCCTATTGGTCTTCAGGTCAGAAACAATGAAGGATCATATGAACTTTGGCTTATGTACATCAACAGTCGTAAACAACTTGATGATAGGTTGGTTGCATATGATGCTGCTCTTTCAGCCCTTTGCCGTGGTGCATCTTCCTCAGAAAAGGATGCAATGCATGCTAGTGCATGCATCCTAGACCTGTTTTTGCAGATGATGGATTGTTTGTGCATATCTGGGAATGTTGAGAAAGCCATCCTGATGATATATAGACTCTTACCTGCTACAACAAATCCTGATGGGCCTCATTCTCAGATGTTTAATGATATCCTCACATGCTTAACAATTTCTGACAAATGTGTATTATGGGTTTCTTGCATTTACTTGGTTATTTACAGGAAGCTGCCAGATGCTGTGGTGCAGCGGTTAGAGCATGAGAAAGAACTCCTTCCAGTTGAATGGCCCTCTGTTCATCTGGCCAATGATGAAAAGAAAAGGGTTGTGCAGTTGTTAGAAATGGTAGTAAGTTGTGTTGACTCATACATCAATATTGAATCATTTAAGAGTGAAACTGATCTCAGATCAGCACAAGTTTTTGCTCTCAATCACATTAGGTGTTTTGTGGCACTTGATAGCACTGAATCCAGTCGAAATTTGTTGAAAAAATACATAAAGGTGTACCCATCTTGCTTAGAACTTGTTCTGATATCAGCAAGACTGCAAAAATATGATTCTGAGAATTTGGGTTTTATTGGGTTTGAAGAAGTCCTTCATAACTGGCCTACAGAAGCCCCTGGAATTCACTGTATCTGGAACCAGTATGCTGAATTTGCCCAACAGAATGGAAACCCTGATCTTGTGAAAAAACTCTTGACACGCTGGTATCACTCAGTTTGGAAAGTTCAGTACCCTGAAAATGAAAATTTGAATGCTATAGATGGTGGGAACTCTCTTGTCTCTCTGGAACTGGATTCAAAGTCAAAGCCTGACATTTTGGTACCTAACCCTAACCAGATGGATCTGATGTTTGGATATATTAATCTCTTTCTTTGCAACTTCTTGCAGAATGATCATGTTGAGGCTCGCTATGCTATTGACCAGGCATTGAGGGCTTCTATTCCCATGGGTTTCAATGATTGTGTAAAGGAGCATGCCTTGTTTTTGCTCAATGATAAGTCCCAAAAGGAGGATGTTTCTATTAGTTGGCAACTCAAGACTTTGAATATGTATTTGGATGCTGCCCGGTCTTTCTCAGTCTCTGAGCCACTATCTAGACATTTTATCAGCAAGATTGAAAAGTCAAGAGTCCAGCAACTTGTTAGAAACATTCTAAGTCCAGTCTCATCTGATTCTTCTCTTGTGAACTTGGTCCTTGAAGTGTGGTATGGCCCGTCTCTTTTACCCCAAAATTTAACTGAACCAAAGGATCTAGTTGATTTTGTGGAAGCTATCTTGGTAATAGCACCATCCAACTATGAGTTAGTGTTTTCTGTTTGTAAGATGTTAAGCAGAGGTGACAGCTTTAGGGACGTTTCTCCTAGTCTTATGTTTTGGGCTAGCTCAACCTTGGTCGATGCATTCTTTCATGCTATCCCAATTCCGCCAGAGTTTGTATGGGTAAAGGCTGCACATATATTGGACACTATTCCGGGCATTGAGGCCATACATAAGAGGTTTTATAAAAAGGGTTTAGCAGTATATCCATTCTCCCTCAAGTTGTGGCAATCTTACCACAATCTAAATAAGACCAAAGGAGACGGGAACATTGTCCTGGAAGCAGCAAGAGAAAGGGGTATTGAACTTGACTGAAGTTTTTTCCTTCAAAGAGGTTATAATATTAGGTTGGTAGAGTCGACATTTGGCGAGGAAAAATATTGGCCAGTTTTACTTGAGACCATATCAAATTCGGCAAGGTAAATATTGAGCCATTTCTTCTGTAAAACAGTTAGGAGAGATTGATGTGAAACTATGAAACATAGAAACATACGAACTATAGGATCAAAATCAAATAGATTTTGTCTTTGATGAATCTTGAATAGGTGAAGGTTTCTTAGATGTAAGCCTATTGTTGTGCTCCCTTTTATGTTGTTTATTTTTCTTAATCAAGTGTAATTACCCATGTTTTGAACTAATTTGCATAGTTGAGTGAAATTTTTGTTCGTCTCTTTTGCCCACTTCACTTGCTTTTCTTCCTCTTCTGTTTCTTTCTTTTCTATGTTTTCTCGACTGTGTGTTGATGTTGATTACACGTAATGCTTGACGACGTCGAGCAGTGAAGAAAGATGAAAGCACCAGCCAGATAGTTATGGAGGAGGTTTGGACATGTTTCTGCAGGTCGGAGATAGTTTTAATGGAACGGTGAATGCTTCATTTCGGAATTTGGAGAACCCAAACCATTTATGTTTACTTTCTGTGTTCTACTTTCCAAGAGTCCTTGAAAAAAAAAAAAAAAAAAGAAACGATGTCAAGCGGAAGTGGTACTTGAATTTGATCATCCCAATTTGAATATCAAATTCAGAAAGTCCCAACTCGATTTGAATATCAAAATATTAGAGGAAAGAATTAAAAGAAAGAAACAGAATTAGGGGCAAATAAGAAATTTCAAGTCATTAACTAGGTTTGGCTATGGTGAACTCCCTCATTTTTCTTCAGTGAAGGCAAAAAAGCCTCCTTTTGCAAGGCCTAAACCTCCCCCCAAAACCCTTAATCCCTTTCATTTCTCTTCGAATTTTCCGGGGTTAAGGGTTTTCAAAACCTGAAATTAACAAAAATGAAAGACCTAAGCCTGTATTCCGAGATTACTTCGAATCTTCAGTTACAATCAGAAGGTGAAGTATTACAGCTCTCTGCATATGATATCCAGAGAAATCGCTTCTTCTTTGCTTCTTCGGATAATTTCATTGACACCATCTTTTTTCTTACCAAGTATGCCCCCTTTCCTCTCATTCTTTTTCTTTTTATTTTTTTAGTTTTTTGATGAGTTAATATCAATAAATCATGTGTATTTGTTTTTTAATTAAAAATTTTATGGTAACTGAATCAAAATTAGAAAGATTATGTTTTGACGTGTATTACATGTTAATTATTTTCTCATTTTTTAATCAAAATTTCATTTCCTTTCGCTTTCTAGTAGCTTCTTTTTTTTTTTTTTTTTTTTGAGAAAATGAAGTACTTACTGTGAGTGTAAATTTAAATGGGATTGTTAATTACGCAGCTTTTATATATTGTTTATTTGTTTGTTGAGTGTATGCACGGTATGCAGCTTTAATGAAGTATTTTGTAGCATGTATGCTCACCGATGTGAGGTGATGAATCTTTTAGAACGAGAGGGCGTGGATCAAAGGTCCGCTAAAGCAGAAATTGATCCCCTAGGTTTGGTGCCTGTGGATGTCATTACGTCCTTTGATTATCTTATGGAGAAAGAAGCACTGATAGTGGGTACTTCTAGTGGCTTTTACAGCTGCATACCGTGGATGGAAAGTCTTAAGAGCATATTTTTGTTTAGAGGGTAAATTTATTTTTTTACTCATTAAAGATGATCAGCAGAAAATCATATATATTTTTTACTTTTAAACATACTTAATATGTATAATGACACGTTAACTTAACTACATTACTATTTTATCTTATAAATCTCTCATCTTTTGCTCATAAATAAAGCAATCCATGTACTATCTATTCAATCTAAATTTTTCCTTGTTTCTCTTTTCGTTTCCTTCCAATTTCTCTTATCCACAGCTGCCTTTGCTCTTAACCGTTTTTTTTCTCCTATGTGATTTCAGGGTACTAACCTTAAGCTTGGAACTCGGCGCCAATAGAAAGGTTTGTTGGTGGGGTGGAGGGTGGAGGGTGGAGGGTGGAGACAAGTGCATCTCGCCCAGTCCAAATGGAGACCTGCTTGGTGTAACCAAGGTTTTTGGCAATTACTGGTTAGAACAATATTTTCATAAATTTTTTTTATCATGAAATGAATTATGTTTATAAAATTATTCTACATTTTTAGAAGTTAGACTAAAAAAGTCTAATGTTGTTAATCCAAGTATAGAATTATATGATATTTTAGGTAGTTGAATAAGTTATATACAACAAGAAGTTGTAGAATATTGTAAGTAAGTTTAGTCATGAACAATGTATTAAGATATTAGAAAATGAATTTACTTTTGGTTGTAAACAACAATCAAAATTCAAGAAAAACCGATTCAAAAGGATACGGTATTTTATGAAAAAATGGAAAAATTTTTGAAATCCAGACAAAAAATCTGGGAAGAAGTATGTAGTAAAAGGAAAACCTTCTAGAAAACAAAAATGTAGATGTTTTATTCGTGAAGAAAAAGGACATATTGCTACTAACTGTCCTAAAAAAAAGACAAAGTGCAAAACAAGTTATAAAAACTCTCGGAACAATGAAGAAATATCAAATGATAAAATTTTTTATAAATTATTTTTTGAAACAGATTTTGATTCTTCTTTCAGTGAAATAGAATATATTTTTATGAATATTAATTCTAAACAAGAAACAGTATCAAAAACATCTTCTACAGTTGATAATCAATCAACAAAAGAAGATATGACATCTCTAAGAAATATCATAAGATAAAAAAAACTCATCATATTTCTGATGAAAAATTGAAAAAATGAAAAAATTACTGCTCATAAAAAGATGAAGTTTATCAAACTAGTTTTTTCAAAAATTTTCAACCATTTATTAAATGTCATATAAAAAAAGTATGTGGGGATTCAATTCCTAGTGATTCTGAACAAGGATCCGTAAAAATTTCTTTGTCTACAAAAGAGCAAAATAAACCATTTTCTCAAAAATTTTCCAAAAATAAAATATATTCATATCGAATGAGACTGCATTGGAGGACCTTCTGAAGGTGTTGAGGTACCTAAGGACTTTTCTCCATTATTCTCTGATTTTTTTTTTTTTCGACCGCAATTTTTGGCTCCTATTAATTCTTTGAATTGTGTCCTATCACGCTGTTGTGGGATAGGGAAAAGAAGAAATTCTCCCTCTATTCATTGACCCCTTTTTTTTTTTTTTTGTTCCTGTCTGGATAAATGAAGAATCTATTTGATCGAGACTTTACCCTTTTAATGTATCCTTTGATGAGTGAACTCTATTTTGTTCATAACAAGTACAAATTACAATTATCCCTCAATGTAAAAAGCCACATAGAGGACAACTTTGTGTGTGCTTATAGAAATTTTTTTTTTTTTTTGAAATATTAGGTTTTAAGCAAATCTAGTTACTTCTCAACTGCTTATGGTTTATCAATCCTTTATATATATATATATATATATGCATATTTATTCTATGAGCATCCTCAAACTTTGCTGGTAAACTTTCTCCTGTTGGAGATTCAAGATAAACCTTCGGCCATGTATGGTTATTTCTTTACTTAAATCATAACATAGGTTGAATACATTTGTTTGCTACTACAAGCTATAAATATTTATCTTCTGTATCTATTTGATGGCTTTGCCCAATGTGCTGCAAGTTGCATGATACGTAGTAGGCGTCAGAACCTATTTTCTGACTTCAAGCAACTAATATAAATGGTCTTTTTTGAGTCTCATTCATGTCTGAATGTGCTGTTTCTTTCTTGCATGAACAGGACAAAGAAAAGCTCTGCTGCTTAACTTGGCTCAACTGTGGCCAGCAAGGCTAGAGATGCAAGACGTCAGTGAAGCAGAGGAAAAATTCGTCCTGGCAGGTATTTGGTCATTCAAGTATCAGAATCTCTCTTCTTTCTTCCTTGCTATATCTACAAGGACATATTTTACTGAGACCGTTTCCTGGCATTGTAGCCCTGGTGAGGAGATGGCTCTTGTAGAACATTTGAAAGGCATGTCTCCAACGGCTGGAGCAAAGCGGGAACTTAAGTCCTTGTTGGTTTCTCTTTTAATGCTTGGCAAGAAACTGCACGGAAGTTGCAACATATCGGGGAGAACTTTCAACTATCTCACACGGCTGCAGTCAGACTAGCTGAAGAAACACTATCTAATGATAGCATAAATGAGCATGCACATAGTTTGGAGCGTTATATACAAAAAGAAAAAACTGAACTGCAGGGTTCAGATGCTTTTTCATGGCTCTGTAGAGTGCTCCTTAATCCTTGACAGGTTAGCTCATTCTTGCCGATAACCACCCTTGTTTCAAACTTCTCCATTGTTGAACTGTATCTTATAGTATTTGATTTCCCATGGATTACTTTTCACATCAACATTATATTGGCAAAGAGTGTATACCAGTAACTTACTGAAAATTGTTGCATGTTTAATCTTTTCAATATCTGATAGCACCTGTGGTTTGCACATGGCTTACTGTAAGATTCATAGCATCATGGGCGTTAGATCAATGTTAAAGCATTGTTAACCGAGTTTGGGGTCTCACATCTCCTCTCTCTGGATTCTCTCTCTTGCGAACGAGCAGACGCTTGTCCACGGACAAGCATCATACAAAACAATTTTGCTTCTGAATCCATGTCATGGGTTACAGTTTGTGCTTAACCTCCTCAAATTGAATGTCCTTGAAGCTTATTGTTTGATTTTCGATATTTTAAGTCTACAGGCATAGAAGGTTGCATAACACGTTAGCTGCTGAATCATCAATGTATATTTTCAGATAAGAGGTTGTGATTAAGGAGATAGGAGGCATTATTATTCTGTAGAAGTAGCTTTGGAAATCTCCAATCCTCATTTCTTTAATAGGAATAATTTCATTGATATTGTAGCAGCTGTTTCATTATGTTTTTGTTAAGTTCCAAGCAAAAAGGGTAGTACAAAAGCATAAAATAATACTTATAAGGGCCCAACCGGGTTCGAACCGGTGACCATTTGATCTGCAGTCAAATGCTCTACCACTGAGCTATAGACCCTTATGATTCCGATGTGCTCAATATAATACCTAAAATCCTTAATTAATGGATCACTAAAATAATAAATTATGGATAGGGTTAGAATTGAAGAATGTACCAAAGTAATTGTTAGCGTCCTATCCAACATAATATATATATATATATATATGTTTCCTGGTTGATAATCTCGGATTCAGCGTCCCTCCCTCTTTCTCCATTTAAATAAGAAAAGAAAAACTTTATGCTATTAATAGAATGAACAAGGACCGCTTCTGACCATGTAAAATGCAATGGAAAACACTTTCTTTCTTCTTAGGAATGCTCCAAAAATTTCATTACAAGCTCAATATTCATGTCAAATTAAGAATAGCTTCATCACCATTGTCATACATACAAATATTGTTTCCAGAAGAAAAATGGAAAGAACTCATTTGAGGAAGATGTTGCTTGATGAACCGAGTCTCGGATTTCGTCTCTTCTAATGTAGTAAAGAGGTTAGCCTTGGGCAATTTGATCCTAATCTCAACTTTTTCTTCAAGGCATGTCATAATTTTGCTGTGCATTCATACAAAGAAGAATTTGACACAGTATTTTGGAAGTATATATTGAGAATTTTCGACTAAAAGCAAAAGCTATGTATACATTAAAAGATGATAGAATTTCAGTTTTAAGAGTCCCAAAAGCCAAAGGCTGCAACAAATACCTCACATTCCAATCTTACACAACTCAAAGTGGTGTCCCAATCTTTGCTTCTGAACAAGTTTGAATCCGGATTTAACGAACTAGGACACCATGGTAGTGTCTACATCAATTGGTTCCAATAAGGAGTTGTTTGATATGTTGCAATGTGATTGGACAGCACGACACACCCCGAGAGCAAAACCATCGCTCACCATCAAAATGTAGATCAGCTCACCAACCCATCAATATTCTTCTTACTCTGTCCACAATCTGATTTCTAGCTTGACTGCTTGCTAAAGGAAATTCACGGCTGTCATCCAAAAGAAATCTGTAGACTTCCCACTGGCGATCTGATGTTGAATGCCGTCCAATTTCAGCCTATAAGGCAACAGAAAAGAAAACTCATTAACGCATGCAAACTTTTCAGCCAAGAAAAGAGAAAACTAGAACAACAAACAATAAATCTCCATGTCAGTCTTACCGAAAAAATGCATATCCCTAGCATTTTAAGAGCCAATGTAACATCATAGAAAACTCGAGGCCTTCCTTTTCCAGATAACTCAACGGGGTTAGCAACCACGAGTTCAGTATCAGGGCCTCGGTTAACAATAATCAGTCGAAATGGGTGAAGCATCTCCTCCTTTAAACGATAACATAAAACACTCTGGTGCTTGGGATCCACGATTTTTTTCCCATCTGCTTGCCGAACAAAAAGATCCATATTACGGTAGCCTTTCACGCTTGAAGAGAATCTACCATAAGCGATCTAAATGAAAAACAACAAAAACCATGTACAGATAAAGTACTAATTGCAAAGTTGCCAGCCAATAAAACCAAAAAAGTGTATCAAAGCCACATTTTCAAAAGAAATACTAGTGATCCAGTCCCAGCAAATTTAGAGAAATAAAACCATCCTATTTTCATTGCTTCCCAGACAACCAAAGAACAATGATAGTAAAGGCACAATAAAAATCTAAAGGACAGTTTAGAAGGTAGAGATTGTTAAAACTAACTTGATTCCAAATATATCAAGCACCTTACAGCCAGAAGGTTGATACTTTTCAATTTTCATGCTTAAAAATTGCTCTCAAGAAGCCTAGATAACAACAATATCGTACAGAAGTCAAATAACGTGAACCTCATGACAAGTACCTGCAAATCACAGTCTTTTGAAATCCTCAAAATGTCGTAAAAGAGTCCTTTCTGATCAACACATTGTATTTGAAGCAGTGTATGGGCAGGGCTCAACATATTATCTACAGTAACAGTGGCCTTCTTCAATGCCATCAGATCTGATTTGTGTTCCTTTGTGCTAGCTTCCTTGTCAGCCAACTCATAGGTAAATAACTCCTCTTCAACTGCAGGAGGGAGAGAAGGCAATGCCTTCAGACTCTCATATTCGGGCCCCGCCAACTGAAGCTCACAGCTGATACAATACTTTCCCAAAACAGTAATCAGATGCTCAATGGTATCAGCTCGCCTCTTTTTTGTATGTAAAAGTTCCCTGAAATGAGACAGTGCCCGGTGTTGAGAATTACCATAAATTATGCATTAGAAACTGCTAATAAAAGTTTTCCACCGGGCTAAGTAGCCCTGGCACAGGAGAGGAAAAGGTACAAATTATCAAAATGAATAGAATTGTGACATCATGAGTCCGATTGAAATCAAACTTAAAGAGCAAATAACTGAAAGATAGAAAACAAGCTGGCAATTGACTAATGACCTGAAGTCATTCTTTGCCATATGGTCAATTAAGTAATTGATTATTCTCAAAAAGCAATAATTTATTTAAAATTGCAGGGAAAGTTTATTGACTTGTCAAAAACCAGAAGGACCCCTATTTTTTGAAATTTTAGACCATAGAACAAGTATATGATATTAATCTGCTTTAACCCATATAGACAAATTCCTACAGCACCACATCTTCGTCTCATATCTTGGCTTAAAATTTATGCAACTACCAAATTTACTATACCAAAATCCACCATTCTAGATACTAAACTTCACAAAGTTCCAAAAAAAGTACGAGCAGCGGTAAAAAAATTACACAACAAAGATATCCATATATAATAACGAGTCATCGTAACGGCATTAATTCGAAACTAAGATATAAACAATGAACTCCAATACTTCATAAAATTCAAATATTGAACAAACAGTACTCCCTGGAGACAGAATCAAGTCGAAAACATGCTATACGGAGTCACAGAATCGCAAACCAACTAAAAATTTCTTTATAATATGAGCACTCACATTCCATCGGTGATAAAAAACAAGTCGACAACTCTTCCATCTGGCGTTGTCATAACTTTCACTCTTTGAATCGTAAATTCAAGCTCGGACAATATCTTTGTAACATCTAAAACAACATAAAAACAATCAAAATCCTATAATCTACCTAACAAATTCAATCAAACCCAGGGAAAATTTAAAAGAGTTGTTGTTAACTGACCATGAAGCAATCCCTTACGATCCAAGCAACAAAGTTTCAACAAATAAACCAAAGAAGAATGAGTTGAATTTCCATTTCCATGTCCTTGCTGATTAGTAAAGTAATAAAACGGAACCAAACATGAAGGACACAATGAAAATAACCGATTCTTCAAGCTCCCCCAATCAATTTTCGACGAATTCGAAACGTTTGGAACCAACCAAAATACAATGTAACACCATCTTCCATCCGTGGAAAAATCTAACAATAATCGAAAAAAATTAAATCTTTTTTAATAGTATTAATTTGGCGCCAATCTAATTTATAAATTAATTTAAAAAATTATAAATAGGTACCTGCTCGGGTAATTGAAAAACCAAATTCGAGAATTGTACGGCAAAGATCGCAGCCGAGACCGGGTTTGTCGGGGCAATTAATGGTGACGACGGTGGGCTCGGATGGTGCTTTGGATAACTGGATTAAAACAACGTCGTCGTTTGGAATCCCCATTGACGGAGAATTGGCGGGTATTTTTAGGGATTGGTTTCTAAGAGGAGTAAATGTGGGATTTTATTTATTTTAGGGGTTGTCACCGGCGGAGATATGTTGGGTGCTACGGCGACGGGGTTAGCCAATTTCTTGTTCTTCTGTGAGAATGAATGGTGGAAGATGAGACTGGATTATTGAGGTTGTTTTGTCAGCCTTAGGTGGGACCCACGTGCTGTTATGTCCACGTCAGATAGTACCTTGGAACACCTACCGTTCTTGTTGGATGGAGGGTCTTTTTGTAATTTTATGGTCCCATGATTGGTGTCTGCGGCGGACTCCGCGTGTCTGGTCGCTGGATTTTAGTGTTCATGTAATAAAATTAATTGTTTTTTATTTTATAATATTGATAAGAAATTATAAATAAAATTAACATATCTGATATCTTATTTTAAATTAAATTTACAATATAAATTCAATTTTTAATTTTTTTATTTGGAAATTGTAATTTTTTATATAAAAAATCACTGATTTAATTAAATTAAATAATGAAGGATAATAAAATGAAATCAATCAATTAAGAACACCAAGACAAAGGAAAACATGATGTACAATATTTGGCTGTCTCAGTAAAATGACAAGAAAATCCTTTTTTCGAAAAAAAATACTGTTGTTGTTCTTAGCAACAAAACAAGAAGTCAAATTAAATCACAACTCACGCCTACCATAAACCAACAAATCTCATCCGTCCGATCAAAAATAATTACTGTTGACAATGACATCAACGCTCTAGGCTGCCACTAAATCTCTACTTTTTTTGCTCAAGAAGAAATAAGAGCCGACAGCCGTCGTCGTTTTAAGAATATTTTTCTTAAAGGCATAATGTTAATGTAAAAGATAATATATAATAAGTTTTTTAATGGCTGATTGAGATGCAAGTTGATAGAAAAAAATGGCTAATAATTGCATGTGGGATTAGTAAGATTAGCAAATTTGTATGATTATGCTTTTGAACTATTTGGCTGTTTAGCAGTTTTTTTTTTTGGACCAATTGCTTCGTTTTATGGGTGAGAGGATTTAGTTTTATGTAGATTGGATAATTTATATATTTATATTTATTTATTTTATATTTAATATATGTAAATATAAAAAATTTTATATTATAATTTATAACGATATATTAAATATAAATTTATTTATTTATTTTTATCAAATTTATATATAAATTTTATTAAAATTTTAAATCATTTTTTATTTAAAATTTTCAAGAATTAATTTTTATGTCATGTCGGCTGAGGACAACGATTATAGCAAGTATTAAATTTTCGGTTTAAAAAAATTTATTGGTGTAATATTTTTTTCGTCAAATAAATAATAAAATTTAAGGAGTTTAAGGGTAAATTAAAAATTAAAAAAATATTATACCCTTCTTTTTATATTCAAAATGCTTAATAGAAAATTCCTTAATTTCAAAAGATGCATAAAAATACTAAAAGATTATAAATAGAACGTACAGTTAAAAAAAAAGAATTTAACAAAATTTTTTTAAAAATGATAATAATTAAAGAGTCCAGCCCAATCCTTTTATAAATGTTGTCGTTAGTGGGCCAATCCAATTTTTAATAGTCTAAATCTAACCCAAAGAATAACCAAATAGGTCCAAATGAAAAGAAAATGAATCAGCTAAGCCCAATATAAACAAAATGGCTCAGCTCAAGTTGCTCAACCCATTCGATTTTGGCAAAAATGCTCAAAGAGGCCGTTGTACTTTTCAAGATTCTAGACAAACCCTTATTTTTATTTCTTACTGTATCCAATTAAATTTTTAAAATGTTATTTTTACCTGATCAAAATTTTAAAATAATATTTTATTTAATTAATTCATTATTTTTTAATTAAACTTTTTTAACTATTTTTAATTTTTCTTTCGTATAAAAATTTTTTATTAAAAAATCATCAATACATTTATAATTAATTTAATAAAGTGATACATTTTTATATTTTTTAAAAAATTAAAAATAAATTTAAAAAATAAAACATGTATAATTTTATTAATGTCAATTAAATCTATAAAATTAAAAATTTTCACATATATCAAATAATTTTTCTAAATAAAAATATTATTTTAAAAACTCAATTACACACAATTAAAAATAGACTTAATTGAAAATTTTAAAAAGTATAGAAACCTTGTTCAGTATTTTGTCTTCAATTTTATTCTTCTGCGTTTTCTTCCTCCCCTTATCTTATTCCCTCTCCAAAGCTCTCTAGCGCTTCAGCCGAACCATAATTTTCATTTTTTTTTTCCATTTAAAAACAAAGCAAGTGAGTCCATTTATGTCTTAATTTATGTAAAAAAAAAAAAAAAAACAAATCATTTTTTTTTCTTTTTTAAACAGTTGAAGTAGAAAATGGCAGCAGCTAGGATAAACATGAACTGTTCAATACAAAGCAGCCTTTCTTGTTTATTAAAACCATCATATTTTTTCAATTTTAAAACTACCCAGTTCAAAAATCGACTTTATTTCCCTCAAAATCACTTCATTTCTTCAAAAAGATCATTGCTTTGTACTTGTTCAAGCAATAATAACAATAATAATAGTAATTTCCAAACTGGAGAAAAGGTTGAGCCTTTTGTTATTACAACTCCTCTTTATTATGTCAATGCTCCTCCTCATATGGGTAGTGCTTACACTACTATTGCTGCAGATGCCATTGCCAGGTTTCAGGTGTGTTAAATGGTGTGTTAGTTTTAATGGGTTCTGATTTTTGGTTATTTTTATGAGTTTTTTTTTTTTTGTCTGTTGATGGGGTTTTGAGAAGTTTTCAGTTTGGGGCTGATTTTGGAATTGAGATGTGTAGTTTTGGCTTAGAACGATGACTTTTTTCTTATTGATGACAAATTTGGGATGTTGTATTAAGTGAGACATCAATTTGTGTTTCTTTGTAAATATAGTTAGTTCTTGTTTAAAAATTTGGCATTGGAATTGTTAATTTTGCTAACAAGTTTACATGAAGAAAATCTAGACTAGTTTGATTGTTGTTAATTGTGTTTCTTTGGTTAAAGATGTTTGTTCTTAAGAACCAATGTACTTTTACATAGAACAATTATGTTTGAATTGGTATTGCATTTTATGTAGTTATTCATCCTCAATTTATCATAATTTTACTTTTTACTGTGTGCTTTTGCTTTATAACAACTTTCTAGGAAGCACAAACAAATGGCAAAGAAAGCAAGCCATATTTCCCACTTGTTTTTCAGCTGTGAATATCACTTTTGATTAATTGTATTTCTTATATTTTGTTGCAGAGGCTTTTGGGAAAGCGAGTCATTTTTATTACTGGGACAGATGAGCATGGGGAGAAGATAGCTACAGCAGCCTCTGCTTGTGGCTCCAGCCCAAGTGAGCATTGTGATGTTATATCTCAAGCTTACAAAATGCTGTGGAAACATGTAATTCTTTTCTTTTCCAACTTGGGGGGTTACCTTTTATCTGAGTAATTTGAGCTTTCGAATTTCCTTATCTTTGATCCAAGTAATTGAGGTCTTGGATGTCCTTATGATTGTTAATATTTTCCTGATTACAGTTGGATATAGCTTATGACAAATTCATTCGCACAACAGATCCAAAACATGAAGCAATTGTCAAGGAATTTTATTCTAGAGTTTTTGCCAATGATGACATTTACAGGGCAGACTATGAGGGACTGTATTGTGTCAATTGTGAGGAGTATAAGGTGTACACTGCATTTCTATCTACATATATCACCTGTTGCATTCATAGATTTTGATATGGACTATATGTTCATTAAAAACTGATTTTCTTAGCTATTTTGACTGGAAAAAACAAAATTTTATGTTGATAATTTCTAGAGCTTGAGGAAAGTATTATTTTTTTATTTTATGTGTCTATGCAGAAAATGTTTTTTAATTCTCAATTGGTTATTTTACTGAAGAATGGCTTGTTGTTACATTCTGCAGGATGAGAAAGAACTGCTTGAAAACAAATGTTGTCCTATGCACCTAAAGCCTTGTGTTCCTCGCAAAGAGGATAATTTCTTCTTTGCATTGTCAAAATACCAAAAATCACTAGAAGAAACTTTGGCACAAAATCCAAATTTTGTTCAGCCTTCATACCGTTTGAATGAGGTGAAGCAAAGTAGAAATCTTCTCTTTTTGGGACAGATCAACGTTCTTGCCTTTGAGAAAACTCATCTTAGTCATGAACTTTTTCAGGTGCAAAGTTGGATCAAAAGTGGCTTACGAGATTTTTCAATTTCCCGAGCAGCTGTGGATTGGGGTATTCCGGTTCCCAATGACAATAAGCAAACAATATATGTTTGGTTTGACGCACTCCTTGGGTACTGTTCTTTTCTCATAGAAAAGGAAGTTGTAGTAGGTTTTTTAATTCTTGATTTGAATGCTATCAGGACGTTTTCATTTCTCTTCTGTTTCATTGTTAAAGTGCAAGTGAAACCTATTACTTTTCTTTAGTTTAATAGCTAGGTAACATATAAAGAAACAAAGAAAGAACCTACAATGATTAAAGATTCAGCTTATTAGCCAACATTTTCTTGTTTTCTTGTTGTGGAATATTTTTGCTGAATATGGATTTTAACAAGTACAACTTGTTTTAAACAGCTATATATCAGCTCTGTTGGAGGTTAAGGAGCAACCTGATTTACAAAGTGCGGTTTCTTCAGGTTGGCCTGCCTCACTACACTTGATTGGAAAGGTATGAAACTTATCAGCATGGCAAGAATTGCCAGATGCACCAAAATATTTGGTTTCCTGTTATTGCTTCCCTTTGTGTCTTGCTGATTTCTATCCTTGTGGAAAGCTGGTTTTCACATCCTCCAAGATGTTTCCTAGAAACTGGTTGTGCTGGACTCACATAACATCATTGATTTTTGGAAATGATGATCCTTTTACATTTTCATTTGTTTATTTTATGAACGTAGATCTTGATGTTATTTTTCGGCCATTCATTATAAATGGGAAGGTTTGTATAGATTTTCTATGTATCACCATGTTGAATGTTACTCAGGTGAATGAGTTATGTTCCCCTTTTCGATAATTGTACAGAGTTTGACATTTTCTTATGCTTTTTTCTATTTTTTGTGTAGGATATTTTACGTTTTCATGCTGTTTACTGGCCAGCTATGCTAATGTCTGCTGGATTGAGTCTCCCTAAGATGGTGTTTGGCCATGGTTTCTTGACAAAGGTAATTGAATACCGTGAAGCGTGGCTTATTGCTTTCTTTTGAAGTAGTTGCATAATATCTAGTTTTTATTCTAGAACTTTGAATGAGAGCTTTAGGTAATAGAATGCCTGTACAAAGATTTGGACAAGTAACTTCCAAATCTGCTATGACTAACTAAGCTGCATATTGTGCTTAGACTTGTCTGGATTGGTTTCTTTTTTCACTTCTATCTCTGTTATTTTACATTGCCTTACATTTACTTAAACATGTAATTTATTCAAGACCGAGTTTAGAAGCACGGGCCACAGGGGTCTAGTAATTTATTCAAGGTATGGAGTTCAAATATATGAAAAGAACTAAGGGGTGATGAAAAGGAAGAAATTGAAAGAATTTTAACTATGAATGCATTTAAATTTGAAAGAATTATACATGGATTTGAAAAGGAAGAAATTAATGCTCTGCTGACCATTATCCATCCAATGAGTAAGTTAACTGATTGAGTACTGTATTTACATTTGTTTCCATTGTGATAATTCCTTTCCTCACCATTATTAATGTGAAACAGCATTATTGTTTGGTTCCTGGCTTAGGTATTAAGTTGGTTGGGTGGTGTAATGCTAGGTCTATGGTTCTGTTGTATGTTTTCCATGAAAACAGACGTGGACACATTTTTTAATACATTTTTACAATTTTATATAGTTTGGAACTGAAGAAGTCAAGGGAGCAAACAAATTCTTTAACATATTTTTTTCTCATATACCTAATTTTATTTCATGCAGCAATGCTTTTTATTTTGAAAATTATAGGATGGCATGAAGATGGGGAAGTCACTAGGGAATACAATTGAACCAAATGAATTGGTTCATAAATTTGGGTCTGATGCAGTCAGGTACTTCTTCCTGAGGGAGGTAGAATTTGGAAATGACGGGAATTATTCAGAAGACCGTTTCATTAATATTGTAAATGCACATCTTGCCAATACAATAGGTATGTTTCAGTTACTATTATTAGATTTTAAGCAGGTCATTTGAGTTACTTTATTATTTCATTCTTTTATTCATAGACCACGATAGATGCATGTATGACCTTGACTTCTCTGTAGGAAATCTTCTCAACCGTACTCTTGGACTTCTTAAGAAGAACTGCCAATCAACTTTAGTGGTTGATTCAACCATTGCTGCTGAAGGAGAGGATTTTAAGGATACTGTTGAGAAGCTGGTAACGTTATTGTGAATCTAATATGTCTGACATTTGAACATTGGGTAGTAGTTTCTTAAAGAGCTATTGGATTCTTCTCTTACCACATTTACATTGCCTGCGTTGAGAATGACTTGGTGGAAAGGATTATATAGTCCTGCTCTTTTAAGAATGACTTGGTTGGAAGATAGTTTCTCAAAGCTATCTTCCTTTTCCTCTCTCTCTCTCATTATTTGTCAGTCTGTCATCTTTTTCTTCCTTTTTTTTCTCCTCCCTCCTGCTCAACACTGACAATTATATTTTTAGGTGAATTTCTCATACGTTCTTGTTCTCTATGCATACATAGGTTGAAAAAGCTTGCATCCATTACGAAAAACTCTCCCTATCATCTGCTTGTGAAGCTGTGCTAGAGATCAGTAATGCTGGAAACTCGTACATGGATAAGCGTGAACCATGGTCTCTTTTTAAGCAAGGAGGTGCTGCCTCTGAAGCTGCAGCAAAGGTGCTTCAGCCTTCATTTATATATATATTTTTTCTGTCTATGAAGTATTTTGCACGATATGTCCAACAATTCTTACTCATAAAATTCTATTTGAAAGGGAAAAAATTAAACTTAGGTCCTGAATGTGCCAATAGCATGGTAAATCTAAGCATGTAGGGAAGCTTGTTATTTGCTTAGTGTAGGGGAGATAAGATGACTGTTAGTTTCCAATGTTGGGTTTAACAAGAAACTTGACTTGACCCTTGTGAGTCTAAACAAAAATTGACCCTGAATGCCATGTTATTTGATGGCGGGTATCTCGATTTGTTTAGGGGGCTTATTCCTTTTCGGTATTGAGACAGGATCTTGTGATCATATTGGAAGCAATGAGGATCATCGCAATCGCTTTATCACCAGTCACGCCTAACTTATGTAGGAGGATATATGCACAGCTTGGCTACTCTGAGGACCAGTTCAACAATTTAAACTGGGTTAGTCTCTCTTTCTCTCAATAGGTATGCATGCCCACTAGCATATATTTGTTGTTTATTAACTTCACTGGATGTTCGAACTACAGAGTGAAACGAAGTGGGGTGGACTAAAGGGTGGTCAGGTAATGGCTCAACCTAAACCAGTCTTTGCAAGAATTGAACAGATGACGGAGACAGAAAATGGGGGTGAAGCAGCTAAAAAGGTTGTGAAAAGGAAAGAGAAAAAGCGCCAAGTTCAAGGGGTGGTAGAAGCCTAAGATTCCAATTTCAAAGGATTCTTTTCCAATAGCAACCATCACAGCAATATCTATGGATGAAGATCATGACATAATTTACTTATAATAATTGCCAATAATTGCCATATCTTCCCAGCATATGGAAGAAATTTTCTGGTTGATGGAAATCTGCTTCCTATTGGAATTCTTTTTTTATGTTAAACGTAATTCTTATACTCCAACTTGTGGGTAGAATGCAGATGATTTAGAGAAAAAGGGTTGCTTTATTAATTTGTTTTGCTCAAGGGTACTCTTTGCTTTTGCTTTTGTATTTGATGACAGGCAAGGAGATAGAGAGCTACAAAGGTGTTTTGATAAGGGCTAGAATTTTTATTGGTATTTAGGGGTGTAAGGGAGCCAAGATAGTAGTGAGCTGTTGTGCTCGAGCAGATACTAGTGAGCTACTCAAGCATTCAAGTTTGGCTTTCAAAGATGTATTGTAAGTTAAGCTCGACCCGTTTGAATAGCCGAGTGAGCTGAATTCGAGGGTATTAATGCTTGGCTCAAGCAGTTCACAAGCTTACTCGAGCTACTCGAGTTTGGCATTGAAAGACTGTGTCTGAGCTAAGCTCGAGTAGCTTAAATAGTCGCGTAAGCTAGCTATATTCGAGCCTATTAGGTAAAGTTAAGTGGCCAAAGATTATTGGGTAAAGTATCTACAACAAGCCATAGAACAAAAGTATCTTTCCATTAACTCATATACCGTTCAAACACAAATGTAATAATAATAATAATAATAATAATAACAATCCAAAATGACTAAACTGTGGAGAAAACGATGCCATTATTGTGCATGAAGATAATGTATGGGAATTCACTAAAGGAACGAGACCATAGAATTTTATCTGTAGCTTTCCATTCTAAGAGGGACATAGAAGCCTGCAGCCAGCACTGTGAATTTGTTGAAGTCAATTCTTATTGGGGACCCCAAGCCTCTGACGGAAATCCTCCTCCATAAGAGGAAGTCCATCACGCAACTTGACTTTTGGTTCCCATCCTAGCAGCTCCTTTGCTCTGGTTATGTCTGGCTTCCTTTGACGAGGATCATCGGGAGTGTTTTCGACCATTGAAATTTGCACCTCAGGATTGATAAGCTGCACGAACAATAGCCAAGTATTCGATTGAATCATTTTTGTAAATATATATATATATATATATGAATAGTATCCACCAGTTTTGCTGGTATAGAAACCACTACTAATGACTACCAAGAAAAGTATTCATGTCAAATCCAGCAAAGAGAACTACATGATAATATGGTGGAGGAAAAAAAAAAAAACTGACCTCCTTCACAGCCTCTGCAAGTTCGAGAATCGTGAATTCACCTAAAATGTCGAAAAAGAAAATTACTGTTAATATTGGAAACAAAGAGCTACAAAGATAGGAAAATGGAGATAAATGGCTTGTATAATCACCTGGATTCCCAATATTGATTGGCCCGGTGTTCTCTCCTTCCATAAGTCGAATAAGGCCATCAACCTTTAGTGAAAAAAATGAAAAATAAATGAGCAGCAGCCACATTAACGATTAAAAGAGTTCGATGTTAACAAGAATTCCAGCATACCATATCTGAGACATAACAGAAACTCCTTGTCTGTGTTCCAGGTAATTGAACAGTCAAAGGCTCGTTACTGCACGATTAAACAGTTAAGTGAGAAAGGGTGTCAGCAAAAGGAGCAGAAAATAAATAAAATCCTCGTATGCATCTGCAAGATATGCAATGTACTGGTAAAATATAGCTATTTACCGGATTGCTTGGGCTATGAAATTGCTGACAACACGACCATCGTCGATATTCATGCGTGGTCCATAAGTGTTGAAAATTCTAGCAATCCGAATCTCTGTTATCATCATATCATTATTTTTAGAAAAGAGCAAAAATCCTCACAGGAAAAATGAAAAATGCACAGAAAATACACGAGCAGTGAACGATGCATTATTTACCTATACCATGCTGCCTGTGGTAATCAAACATCAAAGTTTCAGCTACTCGTTTTCCTTCATCATAGCAGCTCCTAACTCCTGTAGCACGATACGCAAACAAATCATTAGAAAGTTGTATGTGCAACAAGATTGATGCAAGACTATGTGACATAATTCTTACTTAGAAGTGTGGCAGCCATTAATGAAAGATAGATGCAAAGATGTGGCATTCATACTTTAACAAATGACATAGAACGACTTTCAGTTATTGGGCAAATCAACAGAAATATTCAACATGAAGACAATCGGGCTTCCACATATCCATACCACAATAACTGAAAACTCTCCTCAATCATCAAAGTAGCATAGAATACTTACCAATTGGGTTAAATTTTCGCCCATAGCTCTCATTCTGGGCGATGCCCAGCTGGATCTGCCATACCCTCCTGAAGTTGAGGTAAGCAAAATCCTGTTGCAAACAATCAAACCGTGAACAATGCAGGACTATGTTAATAAACGCTATATCATAGTCATAGAGATAAGTAACTGTCTCAAACCTCGCTCCAACACGCTTTGCAAGTCCCAACATATTTAATGTACCAATCACATTTGTCTTTATTGTCTGTTTAATGTCACAGAAACATAGTTTTCAGTTAGTGGTTGAAAAGAAAAAGACAAAGATAATAAAGACAGGGTCATGCTGCAGAGGAATCTTACCTTCACAGGATTGTATTTATAGAAGATTGGAGAAGCTGGGCAAGCAAGATGGTATATACGATCAACCTCAACGAGCAATGGCTCAGTGACATCTGGATAAATAAAGAAAACATTAACATAATATTCCAACATTGTTAGCTATGCATTACTGGACATACAAAATAAAGAAGAATACCATGACGAATAAGTTCAAATCTTGGATGCCCAATCCATTTCTTCAGATTGTCCTTGGAGCCAGTAAAGTAGTTATCGGCAACAATAACCTGAACAGAACAAAAACAGAACAATGTTAAATGTAAGCAAAGCACAAGTATCAGTTGATAGACATGACTCATGAACGTATGAATCCAGATATCTGACTGCACAATAGACTATGAGATTTGCTCATTCTCACATCATAAATGATATAGAGTGAAGAAACATATGTTGCTAACAAAATGTACTCACCTCATTCTTTTCGTTCTCCATCAACTTGTCCACTAGGTGGGAGCCAATGAATCCAGCTCCTCCAGTAACCAGAATCCTCATGTTGGACTGCTCATAAAACAAAGATAGGATATAACACCAATCACATACCATAAGTAACTAAGATCAACCAGGACCCTATTCTACAGAATTTATTAGAAATCTTTAATCCAAAAAAAAAAAAAAAATCGCCCATAAACCGAAAGATAATCCAAGGTAAGTAGAATAGTGATAAGTAATCAACATTATCAGATTGAATTTGCATGAACTCCTGTGAAATTTAACAATGATGGGAGTGATGCATTTTAGTCTTATCATTCCCAATTTTGAAACAGCATTGTTATCACATCTCATTCATTTATACACAGGATTCACTAATATCAAAGTATATGGGGAATTTAACTTAAATAAAAAGAGATCATTAAGCAACAACATTAATGCATAACCAAGATCTTCACTCTTCAAGGAAACAAAGATACTTTCCAGGAAAGTAAACCCAAATATGGAAATGCTAATAACTTGAAATCTTAATTACCTGGAAAAACTTGGAAAATCTCAAAGGAGATGGACTTGGAGGCTTCTTAGAAGCTGAGTTGTGAGTTCCGTTTGTAGACATTTTTTTTTTCAGATCCTTTCTTGAAATCCTACACACGAAACAAATCAACACTCAAAATTCATCCTCAAATCATCCAAAACCACCCACAAAGAAAATAACTTAGAAAAATAAATAAAAAATAAAAAAAACTAACCGAATTCACTTTTCCAAAATTTTTCTCCCTTCTATCCTATGAAACGAAGAGATTGCAGCCTAATATATACAATTGAATATGATTCAAACAGAACTAAAATAAAATAATGACTGACCAAACTGTACCAACCAGAGAGATAGACAAAGCAAACGGAAACTTAAAAAACAAGAAAAGTAAATTACAATCAAAAGCTTCACATTAACAAAGCTATAGCCCACACCAAACTAAAAAAAAAAAAAAGGCTTTTTCAGATCTCAATCTGAAACAATGGCCCGAAAGATCATAGAATTAAAAAAAAAGATAAAAAAGATTATACCTTGAGAAAGAACAAGGTGAAAATAAAATATGGGTTTTGTTTTGTTTAATGAAATTTTAAAGAAATTTGAGGACTTTAAGGATTTGAAGATGACTTTAGACCAAAGTGCGTATAGAAGTGGCACTTAGAACCAGTTTTTATACTGTGTTTCTTTTATGGTACAAGTACAATTGCAGTTAAAAGGAAGGAGATCTTAAGAATCATGAAAAAAACGCAGCGATGACGTAGCAATGAGTTTTAGTTGAGATATGTTTTATCTACAATTTGCTTTCCAATTATGGAATGCCACATATTTTTTCAACGGTTATTGCTCACGAATGGACCACGAGTTCACGTGTTCTGTTGGATTACTCTTCCGGAGTTTTTGTTCGCTGCGGTTAGAAATAGTGTAACGATGGAATTCTCTTGTGATTAAATTACTTAATCTATCCATAATCTAATTGAGACAAAAATCAAATTTTAAATGATTTAATATAATTTATTTTTGAATTCGGATAACGGATGCATCTAAGCTCTAATTTAAAATAATTAAAATATTATTTAAGGAAAGATTTTAACACTTAGATAGTTTTTTATACGAAATTATCACTCAAAAATTCTGTTATAATTTATATAAAATGATTAGATCATTATGTTTGATAAGCATTGAATAATCATACGTGATAAAGATTTTAAATTATTGAAAGTGATTAGATCATTATTTGAAAGATGATATAATTTTTATATAAAAAAAATAAAAAAATTTTATCATCAAAATGAAATAATATGTAAATTAAATAATAGTCAATTTTACGCATTTAATATGTAAATTAAAATTTACTTCCTCTTAAAATTATAATTATTTATATTATAAATTTTTATATTTTTAAATTAATATTCATTGTAATAATTTTTAAAATTATTTATTTATTTTTTACTTGTTTAATGTTTTATATATATATATATATTGTTTTCTTTTATTATCAAATTTAATATATTGAATTTATTTTTAAATTCAAATATTTTACAAAATTTATATTATAAAAATTAATTTATCTATCAATAAATATATTATTAATTTAATAATTTAAATAATATTTTATTATAAAATAAATAAATATTACTAATATTTTATATATTATTATCTTTAAACAACTTTAAAATTATTAATTTATGTAACTATTATAATATATATGATTATTTTCGTATTTTTTAAATAAAATAATTTTTAATTTTTAATAATATTAAATATAATAATTTTTAAAAATTAATAATTATTAATCAAATAAAATAATTTCAAATCATGAGATTTAAATTTACTTTAATAATAAAATTACTTCGATAATTATATTATTATAATAATCTTGTAAAAAATACCAAATGCTTTTTTAATAATTTTATTTTCACTAAATTCAAATATAGATAACATAATAATTACAAAATTTTAAATATCCTATTAATTGGTACCCATAAATGGATTAAGTTCGGTGAGTCTTTTAAAGGGTTTGTCTAATGTTTGGTTTGTCAAATTTGAGATATTCAAAATTTTTAAAAATATATGTTAAAATATTTATTAAAAATTTAAAATATATTTTTATTTATTTGTTATTTAATTTCTGAGTGGTAAAAAGGTTATTTTAAGCTTAGCCACATCAATCGTGACTTCTCTCTGAGCGTTCTAATATAAATACGAGTCAAATCCTGATTGGCTTATATCATTTTTTATTGGTGGTCCGCGTACCATCTGATAACTACAGTGAATGGATAAAAGTCCAAAATTATACGGTAATCGGCTTATGGGGCCACGTTGGATACAGCTAATGTCTATTTTAAAGGGCAATTCATAGGTATAGGTGACGTGCATGATAGTCAACGCTACGGCGTTATCCTGCCGCGTCAGATCCTAACCATCAAGTTTGACTTGTTATCCAAAAATTAAAAAAAAAAAATTGACATAGATTAAATCTCCTTTGAATTTACAACTTATCCAAAAAATAAATAAAATTATGGAGTAATCCAGTTGAGTAATTTTTAATTAAGCATCAACTACAAATTTTTTTTGTAAATCCAATGACATTTGTGGAAATTTTCTTTAATTATGTGAGTTGACATGACACTTTTTATTTTATATTGTTTTCATGAAAAAGATTACAGAGAAATTCACTTTCTATGGTCATTCCAAAATTTATGAGGTAAGTAAGTACATGTGCATTCATTTTTCCACATGATATATTCTAATCTACCAAGCAAATTCTTAAAGATTAGAGTATTCATTATTCTTAATTTATAAGCCCTTAAATATTTTAGTTAGAACTAAAGGACTTTTAAAAGTGTACAAAGGCATACATCTATGCTTATAATAACTAGTTATTTTGATTTTTTATATAGTTACAGTATGAAAAAGAATTATAATTATAATCTCGTATTAAATTAATCGATAAAGATAAAATTTAATTGACATGTTTTTTATTTTATATAAAAGATATCGTAGATTAAAAATAAGAAAATGAATTATAAATGCTTGAATTTAAAGCTCACGCCTATTAGATATTATTTTTAAAAATAATTACATATATAAATTAAATTAAAATTTGAATTTGAATTTCTGACATATTTATTTTTTATAAAAAAAGAGGTTAAACAAGAAAATAAGAGAATATATTAAATATATTGGAATTTGAAACCTAGAGCTATGTAATACCACATTTTAAGGTTAATTATATAAATTGATGAATTAAACTCTAAATTATTGACATGTTTATTTTTTATATAAAAGAAGTTATAACCTAATAGAGAAAAATTGAAACCATTGAAATTTGATTTCTATATTTACTAAATAAGATGAAATATATATTTTTTTAGTGTTTAGACATCGTGACTCTCTTATTGCCATATGAATTTCTGTTAACATTGATGATAATTTTAATATCTTCTGGCGGAGTTAATCTACTTTTCTTCTAAATAAATCAAATAAATAAATAATATATAAAATGTTTTTGCATTTACTTTCAATCTTGTGGCTGTAGTTTAGTGGTAAGAATTCCACGTTGTGGCCGTGGAGACCTGGGCTCGAATCCCAGCAGCCACAGTAAATTCTTTTTATGTTAATTTCCCAACTTTTGCTTTTTTCTCCTTTTTGCCCTTTTCCCTTGGGCCTCCCTTTTGTTGAAAAGAGCCCAGAACGCAGTCGTTTTGGTCCCGAATACCAATATTACAACAATAAAGACAACGGCTTTCACGTCAATAGAAAGAATAGCTTTCTCCAGAGATTTGTTCGTTGGCTCGTTGCTTTGGCTTCTTGGCCTCTCCTCGATCCGACAAGGTACGCCGTTTCTTATTGGATCCCTCCTTTTTTTTCCTTTGTTTTCCTCTTTAATCACCGCAGCGCAATATCACGATCTAGAAGCAGATGGCTGATTTCTTTTTGATTCACAGTCTTAGATTAAACTTTTTCCCTATTTTTTGTTTGTTCATTCGAATAATTTAGTTTTCCGGTTCTTGAATAGTGAGTCATATCGATTTTGTATATAAGTTAAGAGCTGAATTATTGCAACTAAAAAGCGATCGCATAGCGGAGTGGATATCGCATTAGACTCCGGATCTAAAGGTCGTGGGTTCGAATCCCACTGCGATCGCCACCATTCGATCCATTTTGCATTTTTAGCTAGTTATTTTCTTTTTGCGGATTTAGGGTTTATTTAGAGCTTTTTTTTCTTTTTTTTAGTTATAAAATTTGAACTGTAAGAAAGAAATTTGGTGAAGAAGGATGTTAAAGCTCAATGATGTGCCCATTGATGACTTTAAAACATCTAGAACAGCTTCTTCGCGTGTGTATATAGGGGTGTGATCTAGATTTGATCATATGAAACGTTGGTTGAAAACCTTAGTTACTGTAATAGTATTGGTTAATGAACTAAATTACATTGATTATTAGCATAAACGTATCCATGCCCAATAAGTTATATTTTGTATGACGATTGATTAGATTATCAAAATTAATGTACAAATTGCCATAAACATGACGTTCCTATGTTGGATACATACTAGTGTTGTGAAGTTGGATGATTGGATCTGGAGTCCATTTAAAATATAGGTAATAGATGACCGTTGTTAATGTCAGGTTTGGGGATTAGATTCTTTTTATAGTGATGTATGCGAGGTCCTTTTGTTTTGTTGATTGCTGCTAATAGCTATAGAGCTAGTTCATTCAACCATGAACTGCATGGATTGGTTACAGCAGCCCTTATCTCTGGAAGAAATTAACTATTATTGTTTGTAGTTGGTTGGAATAATCATTTCTGTCTGATTTACTCTATGTAGGTGTTAAAACTGTCGATATTGGCTTCTAATTACTGTCGGATTTCATAATGATAGTAGCTTTTATTAAGATTAGAGTCAATAAGTTTCTCTGCCATGTGTTTGGTCAGTTGTTTGCCTTGCGTAAAGGATAGAACTTATCACCAACAATTTTCTGCATTTATTCTGTTGAAGGACAGTTACTGCTTGAAGTTCAGGTAGAATGCTTGCTTAAGTTAATGCCACCAAGTATCTGGAAAATACTGTATACCACATACTATTTGGTGTTTGAAACTTTATAGTAGGTTTTATTGCCAATATTTGTTAAAATTATAGCACAATAGTTTGTGACAGGCTGCTCATTTGTGGGGATTTTATGTGCTCATGCAGATGATTGATGACCAACAGCTGGGATTTCTTGCCAATTTTCTTGGCATTTTTATATTTGCGCTGGTAATTGCTTACCATTACGTGATGGCTGATCCAAAATATGAAGGAAACTAAAAGGGTGTGCAGAGCTAATGTATGTGCTTTTAGATAAGAACCTAGATTAGACTTGTACCATGTTAGTTTTGTTTGCACAACTGTGCTGAAAACTTTGTTTTTGCCTGTCTTGGTTTTTCTACTAAATATAATGACATGTTCATTGCAAGTCTTCCTACTAGAGCTCAAAACTGAATTTGTGCTCAAATTTCCATTTCCAACCAACCAGTTAAGCCAGTTCTTGTGATATATAGCATTATCTTATGTATGTTTCAATGTTTTTACTCATTTAAAGGCTCCCTACCTTCTTGTAATACATGTGCTTGTGATGTTGAACTGCTGATGTTTACTACACATATGCACCCACATGACATGCCCCTTGCTAGTTGCTACTGTTAACATCTTCAATAATTCTATGAACAAATAAAGCCAAGAAGATTAAACTCAAAACTACCAGGACTTATTGCTACTCAAATCTCAATTTGCCCATTCCCATGCTGCCATTTTGAGCCAAGCCCAAGTGGTAGCGTCAATTCAGTTGTGTTACATTGTTTTCATTCTTTCATTGCGAAGGAAAAAAGAAAGAAACCTGCACCAAGTCAAAATTGCCGTTCTTCTGATGTGAAATGGCTGATGATTGGTACAGGACTACAATGATTGCTCTTTTTGTCCATTTGTTTTGGATTGGTTATTTGTATGGTGCTTCAAAACTTGACACCACTTTGTAAAACCTCTGGGTGCTTGCATCTTTTAATTGTTTTTTTAAGCCCATCAATCTTCATGTTTTGCATAGACCTTGATAATCTGAAACATAATTCGATGAAATTAGGATATAAAGGTAATAGCATAAAATTTTAATAATAATTATATGAGTTTAATAAAATCAAAAATATATATTTCACATTTTGATATTGACATGAATTGTAACACAATTTTTATGTAAAATATAATATAAATATATAAATTTTAATAGTTTATACGATATAAATACATGAATTATCAAATTTAATTTTGCACCTTTAAATTTTGAGTGTTGAGGGTTCAATTGGTAATTTTTGTTGATATAAAGGATATTAAAATGAAAGTAACAAAGGAGAGTCTTGTAAGAATTCACATTTTAAAAGAGAATCTCTTAAGTTATGGATTTGTTAATAAAAATAAAATTATTAATTTTTAACAAAAAATAGTAATAAGAAATCTAATGGATTGAAAGAAAAGATATTAATATGGTATCAAATAATGTTTTGATTTTTTTAAAAAATATAATATTTATTGATATCAATTATTTTGATATATTATTTTAAAATTTTAATTTAATATAAATATATATAAATACATATGAACTTGTATATTATAATATTATTAATAATTTACAATATAAATATGTAATATATTCAAAAATCAAATAAATAAGTTTAAAAGAATAAGAAATGATGTCATAAAATTTTTATAATATTTTTAAACATTTAATTTGATAATATAATATTTAAATAAAATTTTTCTTATAAATATTAAAATAAAAACAAAAAATAAAAAATTAATCAAGATTTTATGGTTGTTAAATTTTATAAAAATATATAATTGTTTTCTTGAAAAAAAAATTAAAATACTAATAAATTTTAATTTAAAAAATAAAGTATAAAAAATTAAAATAAAAAATAAAAAACTTAACTTTTAAAGATTATTTTATCAATTAATTTTATTTTTATTAAATTAAAAATAATTAAATAACATAAAATAAATTAAAATTTTATAATATATTTCATATTCATATCACTTGAAACATGTTATTTTAATTAAAATTTATCAAAAATAATAAAAATAATCGATATTATTTAATATCAAATTTCATATAAAAATTTTTTTAAATATATTATATTTTGATATAATTGAAACGTATTAATCGTTATAATTAATATGTAATGAAATTAACAATCACGATTGAAAATGCACTAATAAAATGACTGTTGACTAAATCCTACTTTTGAAATAATAAGGTTGGTAGGATTTGGTCAACGATAACTCTCGTGTACACATCAGTTTCATTGGCCACGTCATCGTGGTAAAATAAACACAAATCAGTAAATCAATCACCGTTCATCACTATCATCACATGAAGGGAAAAAAAGTCATAGCGTATGGTATACGGCAAAAGTCCAACACCTACTTCACACAACCAAAAATATTCTCTTTCTAAAATCTACATAAGGAAACGAGAGCCGCTGATTATATAACAGGCGACTCGAAAACCCGATAGCAAAGACGATAACCCTAGAAACAAAAAGCCGGCGAAACCCAACGCCACCGAAATATTAGATTGAACGCAAAACGAGTTCGACGTTGTACACGTGGTTGTCCCTTTTAACGTCTTCGCCAACGCCGTTCCCGCCGAGTCCGCCGACAATAATAAATATGTAAATACCTAATTCAAAAATAAAATGAATTTATAATTAAATCAAAACATAAAGAAAATAAAAGAAATTCAAATTTTTGGTTAATTTGAAAACCTGGTCGTGGCCAAAGTCGAACCAAACTTGGAGGATTTCGGGGAAGAGAGTGGCTCCGGTGGAGATCTCCCAAACGGAAACGCCCATTTCGAAAAGCGAATACAAAGCCACGATTGCGTTTGCGGCGAAAACAAATCTGCGGTGAGATTTTGATTTTTTACTTTCAATTTTTAAGCTTTTATTTGTTTTCAATTTTCATAAAATTAAAATTGTAAAGCAAAAGAAACTAGAAATTAAAAGCTTTTTTTTTTTTTGCATTTGAAATGTGAACTAAAGAACCGCACGTTTTCAAACGAAGTTGAAAGCGTCGAATTTAACAAAATTAAGCTTTTTAAATTAAATTCTATATAAAATAAAAAAGAAATTTAAATTAAAAGTTTTGTTTGATAATTTTTTTCTTAGCGACCAGACAAAAATGCTTCTGCTTCTAAAACTAACCTGAAAGCGTCAAAATCAAACCAATGAGGGGAATCGGAGCCACGAGAGTTGGTGACCATGAAAACGGAGGAAGAGAGGGAGAAAGCAAAAGCGGTGAGTCGGAAGACGAGAATCAACAAGTTGAATCGTCTGAGTTTACGGAGAGTTACAGTGGAGTGAAAGGAAGGTGTTGAGATTCCGTGGTGAGGGGAAGGTGTCTCGCCGTTGCGAAGAGCCAGTGGGGACCGCATAATGAACGGCTGCGATGATTTTCTGATGGAGGAAAGGGAAAGGAAAGAGAGAGAGAGAGAGAGTCATGAGAGAAATGGGGAGTGATTTGGGAGGAGAAGAAGTAGGGATAGGAAGTCACGGGCGAAGGAAACGGGACTCATGGTATAAGGAAGGAAATGAGAGGGAAAGTGTTGTGAAAAGAAAGAAGAGAGAGAGTTGGAAAGTGGGGGAAAGTAGAGGAAAAACAAAGAAAAAAGGAGGAAGAGGGTTTTGGAGAGTTCCTTTATTTTTTTTCCTTGAGAGAATGAAAGGAAAAAAAAGTATAAACACTGTTGAAATTTGTTTGAAACTTTTTGAGAGATATAAATTTAATTATACTATTAAATACTTATAAGGGAAGTCATATAAACTTTATTAAATTAAAAAATAAAATATATTTAAGAGAATAATATAGCAGGAATTATTGTAATTCTAAATTAAATAAGATTAAAATAGTTAATGCATGTTTTCCAAAAAAAAAAGATAATTCATAAATAAAAACTTTTTTTTTTCAAATGAGATTCATTTTAAAACTTTGTTATTAATGTATAATGGATTATTGGGTTGAAATGAAAAAGTAGACATAGAGTTCACAATCACTTTCTTTATATTAGAAGGATTAAACAAACTTATCACGTCGATTAATAATAAATTTTTTAAATTTTACTCTCAAAATTAATAAAATGATATATATTTGTATAGTAAAAATAAAAAATAATTAAAAAATAAAATATGTTATAGCAAATATCAAAATGAAACTTTTCACTTTTTTTTTTAATCTGATGAATTTTTTTTATAAAATCAAATTTTTATATCTTAAAATTAAATTTTTAATTTTAAAATTATTTCAAGTAGCCCGACAACCGACAACCGACAACAATGGTAATGGAACGGTGATAACATTTGGAGACTTTGCTTGCTTTTCTTTCTTAAGCATCTTGTCTTTTTAAAATCTGTCTTTCTTGTTTCACTGTCCTCTTTAACAATTTAAGTTTACTTTCTTCATTGTTGCCTTCACGCGCGACTATCAAATGTGACGTGCCAACAGCTGCATTTCGCTGCCAAATGCTGCTGTTCCCAGTTTTTGGGATTTGTTTAGCCCGTGCATCGGAGGTGATTAAAGTTGTATACGAATTAAATATAAATAAATTTTATTATTTTTATAATATATTTATTTAATTAATAAATATTAAAATTTTATTTATATTTTTATATTATTATTGATAAATAAATATAAATAGAATTTATTCATAAATTATTTGTTAAATGTTTTTTTATTTATACAAATGATTTTAGTAGAAATAATTTTTTATTTTATAAATTTTTTATTTAATTAACAAATAATTAAATGTTATTCATGATAATTTATTTAGTTTAATAAATAAATATAAATTAAATATATTTACAAATTATTTATTTTATTAAATATTATTTTCATTTTTATACTCCTAAAAAAAAAATGTGTTTCGAATCAAGACATTCTCCTTTGGTGGGTTAGGTTTGCGTTGTGAATATTTCTCTTTCTTATTCTTCCAAACCTCTTGTCGGCCAACCCTGAATATAAATATTAAATGAATTAAAAAATGATTTTTTTTAATCCTTAAATGAGAACACTAGAAAAAGTACTAACACTAATGGCAGAACTTTTTCTTTGGAAAAGAAAAAAAAAAACTAATGATAATATTTAGTTGGAATTTTTTAATACAAAAATTCCAATAGAATCTCATATTTAAAATTCAAATATGATAGCAAAATTTATTGGATAGTACAATTGATGAACAATCGTATAATTTATTAATAAAATATTAAATTTAATTTTTGATAACTTTAATTATAAAAAAATAAAAATTCAAAATCGGACATTTATTTTGTACTTAATTGAAATTACTTTTGTGCATATTTATTTTTGCTTATAGAATTATGTACTTAAATATTTTTTGAGTCAAGATATTCGAACATTTAATTTATTAACTGATGTATGCTCAAATCTTTATCTTAGATAAATAATACTATATATTATGAATAATATGAAATTTGATTAAAATTCCAAATTTGATCTATTTTTTGTATCAAATAAAATTTTATCTATTTTACGAAAAATATATTTTCTCATTATTATAGAAATAATAAGTTTATTATTGTAAAATAATAAAATAATAATAAAGTATTCATGAAGTCATCAGATGAAGAAATAAAGACAAGGTTGATAAAGTCTTCACCATTTGCTTGGACTGGTTCAGCATTGGGGCCTGGTTTTTTTGTTCTATATGATTTTCCATCTTGCTCATTAGTTAAAACCCAAAACTGAAATTGCAAATATATATATATATATATATATGATAATTTTAAATATGATATGTTGATATTGTAAAATAATATAATTTTAAATAATATGATTTTAAATTTAATTAAAAATTATATTTTATTAATAAAAAACAAATATTATATTTTGTATTTGTATGTTGATATAAATTATAATATGATAATTTTTATATTTTATATGTATTTGATAAAAATAAATAAATATAAATATACGAACTTTTATATATTCCTTTAAACTTATTATCCTAAACAATTATATATATATATATATATATATTTATATATATTCTTTCTCTTCAACAGCGAGACAGATTTTCAAGTAGTTGTGAACTTGACTTTTCTTCATTTCGTCTGAATGAAGAAGATTTTAATAAATGATTGAACAAATAAGTTCCAACTGCCCTTCGCTTTTGCTATGCCTAATACTTTGACCTTTATGTTCATGTAATAAACAAAAGTAAAATGAAAAAAAAAAAAAGAAGGGAAAAGCCTGTTCACATGCCATCATTATTGTGAACGAAGCATGAATCTTAACAAGCTATTTATGCAATTATGCTTGATTTCTTTGGGCTCAACTGATAAACAAACAAAATGTGAAAAGGATAAAGAATCTATGTAGAATAAAATCGACAATTATGTAGTTACTTTTAAAAGGTTACATCTAATATTTCTGTTGTTGGCAAGAGATTCATCATTGATATGATGCTCGAAACTATACTCTCAACCTGCAAATCAAAATTAGCAATCAGCAGACCAGGAAAACTTGTGTGTGGAAACAGGTTGTGCAACAAACAATGGAAGCAAAGCTCTAGATAATGACCCTATTGAAGTATATCAGAAAAAAATGGTTGTAAAACAGAAGATGGAACCTTAGCTGAAATGTTTTTAGCAATCACTTACTGCCTTTCATGCATTTGATAGTTTTCAACCTGAAGCCAAATACTACAACATTGAGCCATTGATCATCTAAATGGAAGGGATATAGCAAAATAAATGAAAAGAATGGGGGCACTCCGAGAATTGAACTCGGGACCTCTCGCACCCTAAGCGAGAATCATACCACTAGACCAAGTGCCCATTGATGGTTGCCGTCGTTCTTGCACTTATGGAAAAACTTTTGAGCTGTTCAATGGGGTCAATTCACAGTAATTCCACCAAAATGAAAGCTTAGGGGAAAAAAATATTGTTTCAGCATTTGCAATTCCTGTAAATGATTGAATCTTACAGCTATATATGAAAATAAACCCGGTGAAAGTGCCAAAATTGACTCTGCAATTGCCTTATTCAACAATGGAGGACCCTAAAGGATAGCATAAATTGAGCCACAAGTATAAGAGGGAAAATCGAAAGAAGCCAAGCTACTTTAATTCGAATGACAATGTAACAAATTACCTAATGAAACCTACAAAATTCCAGACAGAAAATCCATGTTAACAGTGGTAAATGGCATCATTACAACTTGTCTTTTGGGAAGTCCATGAGGCTCAATCAAAGACCCTGGTTTCAAGAGTCTTTCTTTTTTTTTCTTTTCTCCTTTGCCAAGTGTTGTCCCACTCTTTTATCAACTTTTCGTTGATGATAATTGTAATAAAAGACCCCGTCAAGCTTTTGCTAAACACTATAGTTCTTGAAAGAGCTGCAAAAGCATTTTTGCAAAGATCAGACTGCCTGTTACTCAAGATAGATTAAAAATGACTAGCCTTGCAAGGTTATCCATGGTGTGTTTGTGGCAAATTTCAGGCAAAATGTTTGGGGAAGTTCAGCTGATAAACATACATTCTTGAATAAAAAATGTACATGCATCTCAAGGCAACCATTAAAAGCAAAAATGCTTCTCTTATGGTACAATCTTCAACTCTTTAAAGCTAACTTGACAGATTCATTTTCTACAGAATTAATTAACATGAGCTATTACAAATTGTTTAATTGTTTTGAATTTGCATGTTTCACGTTGCAAAAGCAACGATTTTGGACCTTTCTATTAAATGATTAGAAAATCAACAACATTCCCATATACCAAACACCAGCTCAACTTTAGGCTGAAGAGAGATACAGTGGGAGGAAAATAGAGTTGACATGATAGCTCAATCATATGGCTTTGTGCCATTACTCAAGTCAACATGCAATGCCAAGAAAAAAAAAGCCCACATCTCTAGCCTTATATTAATCCGAATCTGTAAAAGGCATTGGATTCCCAGACAGCTTTAACAAAGAAATTACCTTGCTTTCAAACAAGTCATGATTAAGTATCCAATTTGTCCCATAAATATGTTGCTCTCTATGATCAAGATCAGCAGCCCCAAGTGAAAAAGCACAAAGTTGGCACCAAAGATGAAGAGAATCCAAGTTTTAGCCTATTTGATCATTGCTTTTCTTCTTGTTTCAGCTTCACAATCTCAATTCTCAATTCAAGCCATGGAAACAGGCAAGCTCTTTCAAGTTTTTCATCTGATATATCTCCTCGGGCAATCTTAAAAAGTTATAATATTTTTATAAAAAGAAGACTAATCACGTTGTTTTTTGGATTCTTTTTTTTATAGTTGCTGATGGTATGAAGATCAGCACTGCTAAACCAAAACCAAATTCTGCCAACAGGTTCTTGTTAGCTACTTGGGTGAGTTTTTCTTATTGCTAAATATAATATAGTTAAGAGAGGAGTACTTTCCTTGTTAATCTGGGTTCGATTCTTGTGGAAAATAAAATCTTAAATGTATCAAATCGATGTGAGAATGCGCCCTCAAGATCGTCCAGACAAAACTTGAGGATACTTATAACCATCTTATAAGGGGAAAAAATATAATGTAGTTTTGCTCTTTATTTGATTATGATGAAATGGCTGACATGAATTTTGATTCTGTCTCAATTCTTTTATGAAAAAGGAACGTGGAACACAGCTCAATGATAACAAAGGCAAGGTTCCATCTGCCCCAAATCCTATTGGAAACAAGCATCCACCATCCAAGCCGTGAAAATCAAGGGAAAAAGAAAGGTTTCTCATATGCTGCAAAGTAAAAAGGATTGAGCTGTGATAACATTGTTTCTCTTGTTTGTTGATTTCAATAAAAAGTTTTGCATCTGTGATATTTCCAAGTGCTTCCTATATTTGTAGTAGGGCTTCAGTGTTCCCGGAATTCAATAGGTTCACTCAGTACTACAATGAAATCTTTTGTTTAAGTACATTGGCAAGTTTTGTGTGAATCTTTATTAATATATATATATATATATATATATGGAGATAAAAAATTTGTTTGGGAAGTGTTATAAGATAACAAACAAATAACATTACCATGTACATATCTTCTTAGTTGAATTAGTGGTTTATCATCTCCCAGTTGAATTTTCAAGTGAAAATTCAATGTTTTCATTCTCCGCTTGCTTTAATTAAGGTTTCTTAAGTTTATTACTCCATGAATAACCAATTTTCAAGATTTTAATGCATGGATATATCACTTTTTAGGATGAAAATAAATAGAACTTTCAATGAACTGTTCGTGAACATATTCAATTTCTATTTGTTTATTAAATTAAATAGATAATTTTAAATAGTATTTTTATATTCGTTTATTAAATAAATTAAATATGAATAAAAATCTGTTTGATTCGTTTATATTCATGAACAAACTTGTTTAATGTTCATTTAAAATTAATTTGTTTAGGATTTGTTCATTGTACATTTATAATACTAATAATAAAATTATATTTTTATCATTTATTTTAATCATATTTTAAGATTCATTTATATTTGTTTTTAGTTTATTTGTTTATAATTCATTTATATTTATATATATTCGTGAATATATTCATTTAATATTCATCAATGATTGCATTTAATTTAATTGAATATAATACGAATCAAATACGAATATTTATCATTTAAATGAATCGAATTTCAACGAGTAGAATAGTTTTTTTACCAAATATAAATCAAATTTAAACCTTCTAAAAATAAATAAATAAATCACAAATATACATTTATCTTATAATCCTATCCCTTTTAAAGGGTTTTTATTTTTTTTCTTTTGGACTATCCAACTCGAGACATGAAATTAAAGCTTCTTTTTATTTTTGGGTTTTTTTTTCTTTATATTTGAGCTTTCATTTCTTTTTGTCTCACATAATATATTAAAAAAACAATTTGGAGATAGCAAAAATTATAAATGTTAAACTTGAATCCAAATTTATTAAATGTTAAAAAATTATTTTTTATATAAAAATTAAAAATATTTATCTTCAAAACTATTAAAATTTTAGAACTATGATAATTAAATAATAAACGCTTTCACAAATGGCATAAAATATAAAACAAGAAATTGCTTTCTAAACTTATTAATCCTAATATATAATAAATAAATAAAATGATTTTCTAGTCTTGCTGTCTTAGCTTAGGTGCCCAAAACTAAAAAAAGGCAAAAGTCTTTGCTGTCTTAGCATCTAAGAAAGAATCCCGACCGCGTGGTGAGCCGACCGGCCACGATGCGAAAGCCAATTTAGCTAAGCTAGCTGTATGTGGCCCGTAAACTTCACACGCCTCGCACACATGAGGTTTAAAAAGCGCGGGAGAGATTCACCAATTGGACGAGGATTCCGACTCTTATGAAACGTGCGCTTATAGGATTAGAATATTCTTTAATAGATTAATTAATAAAAAAACAAAAATGGAAATTTCGAGAACCTAACAAAAGCTAGAGATTTTAGGTCGGAAGAATAGAGTCAAATCTGACGGCTAAGAATTCGCTTATAGATCTTTCTGGAACTGAATCCTCAAATTTACAAATTCTATATAAATTCCCTATTCCCTCCCGCTCTCTCTCCATTCATAACAAAACAAAATAAACAAAAAAATTTTCTCTTTGCCTTCGATTTTCTTTTACGTTTTGATCTGTCAAAGAAATTCATATCAATGGCCGGAAAAGGAGAAGGACCAGCCATCGGAATCGATCTAGGGACCACTTACTCGTGCGTAGGAGTATGGCAACACGACAGAGTCGAAATCATCGCCAACGACCAAGGCAATCGTACGACCCCGTCTTATGTCGGTTTTACCGATTCCGAGCGTTTGATCGGCGACGCTGCTAAAAATCAAGTCGCCATGAATCCCATAAACACCGTCTTCGGTAAATTCCTAATTCCCTATTTATTTTTAGAAAAACAGTTTAGTTTAATTTATAGATCTGCAATGTTCTATGCTGTTAGATCTACTGATGAAACTAATTTTTTATATTTTTGTTTCATATTTATGACGTCATTATAGAAATAGCTAGAGTTTGGGAGAGTTAACTTATCTGCTACACTGTTTTGATTAAATTTTTGTTAATCATAATTAAACTGAAACAGATGCGAAGCGGCTAATTGGGAGAAGATTTAGTGATTCATCGGTTCAAAGTGATATAAAGCACTGGCCTTTTAAGGTTATAGCAGGGCCTGGTGATAAACCCATGATTGTTGTTAATTACAAGGGTGCAGAAAAGCAATTTGCTGCTGAGGAAATTTCTTCCATGGTTTTAACCAAGATGCGTGAAATTGCTGAGGCTTACCTAGGCTCCACTATAAAAAACGCTGTCGTTACGGTGCCTGCTTACTTCAATGATTCCCAGAGGCAAGCCACCAAGGATGCTGGAGTCATTGCTGGGCTTAATGTTATGAGAATCATTAATGAGCCGACCGCTGCCGCCATTGCTTATGGTCTTGATAAGAAAGCTACTAGTGTTGGTGAAAAGAATGTTTTGATTTTTGATTTGGGTGGTGGTACTTTTGATGTTTCTTTGCTTACTATTGAAGAAGGTATTTTCGAAGTTAAGGCTACCGCAGGTGATACTCATTTGGGTGGTGAGGATTTTGATAATAGGATGGTCAACCATTTTGTTCAGGAATTTAGGAGGAAGAATAAGAAGGATATTAGTGGGAATCCTAGAGCGTTGAGGAGGTTGAGGACTGCTTGTGAGAGAGCTAAGAGGACCTTGTCTTCAACAGCTCAAACTACCATTGAGATTGATTCTTTGTACGAGGGTATTGATTTTTACTCAACTATTACTCGTGCAAGGTTCGAGGAGCTTAATATGGATCTTTTTAGGAAGTGTATGGAGCCTGTCGAGAAATGTCTGAGAGATGCTAAGATGGATAAGAGCAGTGTTCATGATGTTGTCCTTGTTGGTGGTTCAACTAGGATTCCTAAGGTACAGCAATTGTTGCAAGACTTTTTCAATGGGAAGGAGCTTTGCAAGAGCATTAATCCTGATGAGGCTGTCGCTTACGGTGCTGCCGTTCAGGCTGCAATTTTGAATGGTGAAGGAAATGAGAAGGTTCAGGATTTATTGCTTTTGGATGTTACTCCTCTGTCTCTTGGGTTGGAAACTGCTGGTGGTGTTATGACTGTTTTGATTCCAAGGAACACCACTATTCCAACTAAGAAAGAGCAGGTTTTCTCTACCTACTCTGATAACCAGCCTGGTGTGTTGATTCAAGTTTATGAGGGTGAGAGAGCCAGAACTCGGGACAACAACTTATTGGGAAAATTCGAGCTTTCTGGTATTCCTCCAGCACCTAGGGGTGTTCCTCAAATTACTGTTTGCTTTGATATTGATGCCAATGGAATCTTGAATGTCTCTGCTGAGGACAAGACTACCGGCCAGAAGAACAAGATTACTATCACAAATGACAAGGGTAGGTTGTCCAAGGAAGAAATCGAGAAGATGGTCCAAGAGGCAGAAAAATACAAGTCTGAGGATGAGGAGCTCAAGAAGAAGGTTGAGGCCAAGAATGCTTTGGAGAACTATGCCTACAACATGAGGAACACTGTCAAGGATGAGAAGATTGGTTCAAAGCTTTCCCCTGATGACAAGAAGAAGATTGAGGATGCCATTGATGGGGCGATTCAATGGTTGGATGGTAACCAGCTAGCCGAGGCAGATGAGTTCGAAGACAAGATGAAGGAGCTTGAGAGCATATGCAACCCCATCATAGCTAAGATGTACCAGGGAGCTGGTCCCGACATGGGTGGTTCTGGCATGGCTGATGATGTTCCTCCAGCTGGTGGCAGTGGTGCTGGTCCCAAAATTGAAGAAGTTGACTAGGCTGCTTAGTTCTGATTTTATATGCGATTCATCAGCATATATTATTTTAATGTTTTAGAAACTTTCTTCTCAATTGATTCTATGCTTGTATGTGTTTTTTTTTAATTGGTGAGCTTAGGCTCTCTCAAAGTGTTTCTTTTGATGGAAACAATCTCCAGTTTTGTGGTTTGCTTGGATAAAATAAAATATTCAATTACACAACTAATCTCAATGGTTGTTTTTTTTTCCTTTGCTGTGTGGAAAAATGTTCAAAATATTGTATCTTCTTTAGTAAGGCACATCCAATGTTAAGGCAGAGGCAAAGAGAAGGAAAATGTTTTGAACATATAAAACATAAACTTGGAAGCTGCATTCATTTTCATTTCGCACAAAACCATGAAATGATATGCATAAGAACATTAATGATTCTTTGGAAAGCAGCATGAAACTCACAATTTCGTTTGACTCGTGCTCGAATGAAGATTCTCATAAGGTATAGATAAGAGAACAGACAATCTATCCGCCCTAATGCAAAACTTAAAACTTCAAGCCAAGGGAAAGCGCAAAATTCCAATTTCACAAATCACAAAATTAATTCAAAGAATCTACATGTATGTAGAACAGTTATTAAGTCCATAAATTGTCACTAAATATGATGAATCACGACAGATCTAAAGATAAATTGAAAATTATAAAAGGTATGATAAAAAAACATATTATCTAAAAAAATGCAGTTTTTAATTTCACAGATTTCCTTAAGGAATGAGGTTAGTAAACGATGAAGCACCAACCACTCTAACATCTTTACATGTATCACACTATCGATTCCTCCAGGTCCACAAATGCTCGTTCACTCCATGGTGAGGGGCGAAGGCAGACACGGACCTCATGCTCTTCTGGTCCTACATGATGCTTGGGGACAATAATCTCAAGCATTGTTCCTGTCTCATCACAGTATGCTTCCAGTTTAGCATCTTCCGGAATGCGGTTTGGAAGGGGAATCTCTCTAATAAATTCCCCTGGAGGGCAGTGCTCTGGTGTTGGATCTGTTAGCTTAAATGTCCTATCATGTCTCTTAATGACTGGCATGCAGGCTGTACTCACACAAGATATCTTTACAATTCCATGTGAGGGAGTATTTCTCCAAGTAACTTTCACCCTTTGAAGATCTGAAAAGGGCAGGCTGACGATGATCAAAAACCCTTCATCATCTTGGTATATTGTTTTTGCTGCTGTAACGGGCCCATACACATTCTTCATTACCCCGCTAAATTCATTCAACCATGTTGGCTCGACAGGGTGAATTTTCATATCCAAAACTTGGTTAGCATGCAAATTATTAGGTAAATGAGCATCCTCATCATTTCCATGCCAGAAATAGTCCTTTTTCCGTTTGTTGCAGACAGTTGATACATCCATCCCATCACAATTGCTATGTTCTAATGGCTGCGTTGATAAGTTCAAACCAGTACTGTTAAGCAATTTTTTAGGGTGGGAATTTAAATTACTCTTTAGAGGAGCAGGGAGGCGCTCAAGCTCAAATTCTGCATTTGTAAGGTTCCTCCAAGCTTCAAAATCACTGGCTTCTGGAGGAATAGAGAAGTTTATATCCCTCCCAGTAAGTTCTGTCCACCTCCTCTTCTCTTCATCATCAAGGTTAGAGAGGTTTGGTGATGCCACAACTTCAATCCCATGTAAACACTGAGGATTAGAGAGACCCCTGTAGTGCTTCCTCTGCATTCTATGAGATCTAACAAAACCCTTAACCACACTAAATGGAAATGGGCGCTCACCTTGCCGAGAGTGACCATTCATGTAACTCCTCAATTGCATCTTACCAAGTGCATTTTCCGGCCTTTCCTTGAAAACCCACATATACATATTCTCCATATCATGCTGAACCAAGAAAGTATCTAGGTGCAATTCTGACTTGTCATAACCAGACACACCATTGCCATCCCTAATTAGCTTAGACTTTGATTTTCCATTCAAGACAGGCTTGAAGTAGGAAGTAAAGAAAAACCAAGCACCCCAAATGCTATCAAGACGCTTGATGCATTTCTTAGCAACTTTTGGGACATTGACAACTGCGTCAGCCTCATATGTCTGAGGTGCAAGGCTAACATCTAAGTTATCATATAAATCATTCCATGCCAGTGGAGGTGGGCTTGGTTCAGACGATAGCGGGAGATTGATATCAGGTGGCCGAGAGAGAAGCATAGACCGGCTCATCTCTCTCTCAAATTCATCTGGTGGAAAAGAACCTGAATCCATTGACAAAAGTGTAGATGGGTGACAATTCTCCATTGACAGTGTAGTGAGAAGAGCTTCCCCCATTCTTTTTTCCTTGCTCTTTTCGCCTATGCAACTTACAAACCCCTAACAGTCAACAAAAAGCTCTCTATGGACATCTTCACAAATCAAATGAAAAACCCAGCAGTGTCGTAGATGCATCAATCAATCAATCAATCAATCAATCCATAAAACCCTGATGAATCTCATAAATATCTTCATGGTTCAATTCTAAACACAACAATATCCACAAAGTTTCATCAATCAATCAAATTCACACTACATTCGACACCAGCAACTGAAGCAAGGACAGTTACATTGTTAACACCAACAAACCATCCTGAAAAAATCAACAAAAACACCTCCACTCAATAAAAAAGAAAATTATTCACATACATTAAACTCCACTACAAAATACCAAAACAAAAACCCAATTTAATTCTAAATTTTCTATATAAAAATGGATTCAAAATAATGGAAAAGATGCATCCCTTACATGACAAACAAATCCTATATCTAAGATCTAAAATACCCTAAAAAACATAAGGATTCAAAACTTTCACTTTCTATTGATTTTCTCCCAGAAACCAAACAGAATATAAATAAAAAAAAAAAAGAAAAAAAAAACAGACCCATGATTCTACAAGAACCAGAATCCAATAAAATCTAACAGAATATGAGCAGCCACAAAAGAAACAGATTTGAAGGCAATCAAATCAATCATACAAAAAAAACCCTAACCTTAAAACTATAGAAAAAGAAATAAAAGAAGGGAAATTAATTTTGAAAAATAAATTTCATTTTCATTATTATTACCTAAAAGGTGAGCCTTTGAGTCCAGAGAAAATTGAGAACTTGAAAGATGATCCCCTTTGAGAGAGAAAGAAAGAAAACGGAGTCTGTTTAAAGAGACGGAGTTGAATAAGGAAATAAAAGGGTTAGCGGTTACGTAACGGAGACAGTGACGGCGATTCTATTATTATTGTTCTTTTTGGAATGACTTGAGAAGTGAGAAGCGAAAAGCAACAGTCAAACGAGGCGTCTCTCTCTCTCATCAAGTAACAGTGTTACGCAAAAAAAAAAAAAAAGTTGTTCATATTCAATATCTCAAGAATCGTTTCATTCCCTCTTACTCTTATTTTTTATTCACGATTCAAATATTTTAAAAAAAATTCTTAAAATTGAGTTTTGAATTTCTTCGATTTAGATATTGTATTTGGGATTAATGTTTCTAAAAATCTATTTCCACATAAATGGGAAAATTATTATCCTTAAAAAAGCTAAATAAAAATGCCTTGCCTAAGTTTATTCTCTTCAAATTAATTTTCATTAGTCAACCCCAAATACAACATAAATTTTTACCAAATATTAATAATTATTAAATAAAATTTGAGTTGAAAAGTATAATTAAATCTAGAAAAATATATTTTGTAACATTTGAATGATTCAAAAAATATTGCAATGATCTCATCAATTCAAATTAACAGATGAGATGTCATGTGCTTAAATATTCAAAGTGACCTCATCACATTTTGTGTGGGTTTATGTACTTATGTAGTGATTTTCATGTCTAAAAACAACTTAAGAAAAATTAAGGAATAGAATTTAACTAAATGTATAGTTCTACTATTGATTGTGAAATTATATTATTCAAACAACAATAACAATTTTATTATTTATCTCTATATTATATTTTTTATTTAATTTTTATTTATTCTATTAGTCTATTCTATTTATTTTGTTAGTCTATTCTATTTAATATTATATATATTAGTATAATATTACTATATTTTTTATTTTATATGTATCAATTCATGAATGGTGAAACTAGTTTTGTCCCTCCCATTTTCATCATTTTTTTATTTTATATTTTATGTAATTTTTAATTGCCTGATAATTGAAGTTTTTTTTTGTTTATTTCTTTCTTCCTTGATGACATTAAAAATATTAAAATCAAGAATCTAATTATACAAGCTTATTAGGATTTGCACATATTATAAGAACATGACAATTGTTTCGTAGTAGTAGAATAAATGTGAAGGGGCACTTGAATCATAAGCTCTTCAAGTAGCCAAAAGACAATTTATATATTTTTTTCTTAAAAGACTACCTTTATTGAAATAAATTAGAGATCAAACTATATTTATGTAAAGATTCATATCAAATTTGAGAGGTATTATTTATTTTGATTTGAAAGTTTCATGAAAAATATTTCGTAAATTGGGTGTGAGTTTTTATAAATGATACAAGAACAATCACCAGTAAGATAGGAGCTAAGTGCTAAATCATGAGAATTACTTTTAGAATCTCAATTCTGATGTGATCTTATGATCTGTGTGTATTATATATTGGGTTTGACGAAAACATCAAATTTTATTGGGGGAGTTTCTAATATCACAATCTCATGTTATGATAATTTGAAGTTTTGCAATGATATATATATATATATATATATATATTTAAACCTCAACTTATAAAATATTTTTTATGAAATAAAATCATGAGATATTTGGATCAAAATAAATAATACCTTATAAATTAGAGTGCGAGTCTCCATAATTTGATTGCAAGAAAAGAAAAAAATAGAAAATAAAATTTAATTTTTTGAAGGTAAGAATTAAGAAATTATGTGTTTAAAAAATCTTTATTTTTCTTCCATCTTATTAGGATAAGATGGAAGAAAAATAATTTGAAGTTCTACAATGATATGTGTATAGGGATTTAAATTTAAACTTGTGAGATATTTTTTATAGAATAAAATCATGAAAATTTTGGATCAAAACAGATAATATTTTATAAATTGAATGTAAGTCTCCACAATTTGGTTGCAGGAAAAAAATAAAATAAAAAATTTAATTTAATTTTTTGAAGGTAAGAATTAAGAAATCATGTGCTTAAAAAAATCTTTATTTTTCTTCCATCTTATTTCTTTTTAACCAAATGAAAATGCTTCCTCCTTATCCTCATTTTCTTTGCATTATTTTCTTGTGTTTCCGTTATTCTTTCCACTAGCAAAAATATATTTACTCTGAAAAATGAAACGTGTATAAATTGTGCGTTCAAATAATATATATGTGAATAATTATGTGATACGTTGGTAAAATATTAAATTTTTTAATTTTTATAATTCAATCTTTGATAATTTTAAATATAATAAAATAAAATAAAATATATATTTACAGTTTAATAATTAATAAATATATTTCAAAAAGTTGGGTTAAAAAACTTCACATCCCCTTTTATATATATATATATATATATATATATAGAGAGAGAGAGAGAGAGAGAGAGAGAGAGAGAGAGAGGAATCAAGTTATATTGGTGTAATTGATATTTTAACAAATTAATTGTTAGATTTAATATAATATAATTATACCCTTTGTATGTGTAAAGTTTCAAATCTTTGTCATATTAGTTGAGAATACTATTTTTTTTCAATATATATTTAATGATTGAATTTTTATATCAAACAAATACATATTTAATTAACTTAAAATTTGACGTGCATAATTTATGTAAGTAGAGTATGAAATAACAATATCCTAATTAAAAAATATAAATCATATAAAAATTATAAAAATATGTATAATAAATTAATTTTGCAACCATGTAAATGAATTCTTCCTTTCATATATATATATATATAATGAAAAATATAATTTAAGTTTCCTTATAAAAAGAATGTCTCAGATAACACTTGGTTTGTTTAATTTTGAGATGGGTTAACGTTGCAAATTATTTTTAAATTATAATAAAATATTTAAAATAATATGATATTTGAATTATAAATTTATTAAAAAATATGATGTATCATACATCATCATTTAAAATTAATCACGTTAAAAATAAATATCATATTAATTAATAAATTTATAATTCAAATATTATTTTAAATATTTTTAAAATTTAAATATTATAGTAATTATTTTTTAAAAACTATTCATAATATTAACGTTTTCCACTCGAGTTTTGACACCTTACCTATATAAGGTCCATGGAAGTGATAAGTGATAGGTGATTGTTAATAAAATAATATACAATAATTTAAAAGAAATATCATTGAATATTTATTTTACGTCGGTATAAGTGATTCTTTAATTATATATAAAATGAAAAGTATGCAAATAAAGTTTCCTTACAAAAAAAAAGTCCCAGATAATACCTGGCTGATTTAGGTTTCTTCTGCTTGAATTTTGACACCTTATCTATTATATATGGTCCATGGAAGTGATAAGTGATTGGTAATCAAATAATGCACAATAATTTAAAAGAAGCATCATTGAAGATTCCCCAATCTTTAACTTTTATAAGTAGTTGTGCCCAATTTCAATAAAGCATTCAAAAAGGCCAAATCCCTCTTTTTTTTCTCTTCCACGTTCGAGTCCCAACAAAATGGTTGGATCTTATTCATGGTTTAACTTCAATGGAACTTTGAAGAATCAATCCCCTTTCATTTTTAGTTGAATCTTTTGATTTTTTTTTCCTTTTAATCCATGTGAATATTTGTAATTGATTTCAATTATTAAATATTTTCTCAATTGTTGGTTCAAAGTGAAGCCCTTTTTGTTGCACAAATTCAACAAAAAAAAATCATAATATAAAATTAAATTATTTTTCATTTAAATGTTTTTTTATTGATTAGTGTAATATTTTGTTTATCTTATTAAATAAATATCGTGTTTTTAAAATAACAATGGGCTGCATGGGCTGAAATAGGCTTTGTACAAGTCTCAGCCAGAGGGAAAGGATCATGTAATTCTCACTGAGCGTTATAATATTCTTCATAGGATAATCTTGCAATCATCGTCAAACCAATGCAGCTTAATTAAATTTCCTGTATGCAAAGCTCTGAAGAATTTTCATGGTCACTCTCTGCCATGGGAGACATCGATTTCAATCTCGATAACACCAAATTATCCGTCGCTTTGGTCTGCATCGGATCGGCTGCTTTGGTGGTAACAATCTACCATTGCATTGCCGTGGGATGGTGCCACCCCCACCGTGATAGCCAAGCTCAAGGAGCACAACAAGCACAAGCTCAACAACATTCATTGAGACATGAAGTGTTAGAGATAGCAAGCTTAGAGAATTTAGCAACCCAACTCATTCCAGCCGATGAGTACCAGAAGGGCATGGGCTTGGTGGATGATGATGAAATGTGTGCAGTTTGCTTGTCTCAATTTGAAGAGGGTGAAGAGTTAAGGACATTACCAGAATGCCTGCATTCATACCATGCTCCATGCATTGATATGTGGTTTTATTCACATTCAAGTTGCCCCATGTGCCGTACTGATGCCACTCCGTCGCCCAAAATATTTCACTGTCAGTCGGATTCAGGTTCTGTGCATGTAGATTCCGGTATGTTGCATAATATTGTACAATCTCGGACAATGTGATCTCAAAGAATGGAATTAGGATTTTAAGATGTGCCAATTTCCATTCCACAATGATAGGTACCACGAAGCTTTCAAGGTAAGTATTGCACAAAATCAATAGTAGCTTTTTGTAGAATTGTTTGGACAGAGGATTAAAGCTTAAGACTCATGGTTGTGATTGTTGATTTTAATCAATAGTAGTTTCTTTTTTAGAATAGTTTTTATCAAACATATATAGTTTAATTTCAATCTGCGCTACAATTGCAATTTTCAATCTCACCATTGTGCCGAACAGGTTGAAGTAACATGATTCAACTGGGTAGCCCAAGTCATGAACACAGCTTTGGACTATGCACTTAGCTTTCATGTAATTATGTGTTTAAAATCTTATTCTTTGAGTAGATCTTTTTCGGATATATTTTGAAAGTAAAATTTTAAATATATTAAATTAAATTAATTATATCTTAATCAGATAGATTTGGATTGTGATAATTTAGTTGAGGCTTAAACTTGAATATGATTTACGTGCTGCTCACATCTGATCCAGATGGGTTAATTTAGTACTACCCATGCTTGTGGGGTACTAATTTTTTTATTTTCTAGACTTGTGTTTGAATTATAATTAAAAAATAATTTAAATTTTTAATATTTTATTACAATCAATCGAGTTTTTAATTTTTTATTTCAACTCAATTAAATTTTTAATTGAATAAAATTTAATCACGTGACGAAATCAATCAATTTTTGGGTTATAATTAATTAAACTCTTAAAGAGATTTTAGAGAAAAAAAAATAAAAAAGAAAAATGAGAAGAAACAAAGTTTATTTTATTTAATTGTTATATATTAATTATATTACATGATAAATTTTTATTTATTTTATTAATATCACATAAAATTTATTTTAATTGACAAAAAATTAACGGTATTAATTTTTTTATTTAAATAAAGATATGATTGAATGTAAATTAATATTTAAAAAATTAATTAATTATAATAAAAAATAAATATTTAAATAATTTTTTAATTATACTTCAAAAACTTTTTATATTCTTTCAACTCATTTTCTAACTTACGGAAATGATAAGTGCATCAAAGCTTACAAAAATATCCTACCAACTTGTCCCACTTTTATTTTCTCCTTCTAGTGAATTCCCAAACGAGTGACAGAAGAAAAAAAGAGGTTGTTTCATAAGAAATCTTTTTGCAAGATTTGTTTCATGTAAATTCAATGGTGGAATGATTGGGAAATGGAAATTTGACACTACACTTTAACTAATCTTTGTCCTAAAAAGGGGAATCTTAAACCACATCCCAACCCAAAGTTCCACTTAGGGGCAAAAATACCATAACATTTCTGGTTAGAAAAAGTTTTTATTTATTTTATTGAGTATAAATTATTATTTTTATTCTTTAATCTTTTCACTTTAACGCTAGAAATAAACTTACAATCTCAATTTTTTACTTTTAAAATAAAAAATAACAAAAAAGGAGCATAAAAAAGTATCATTAACATCAACAATTGATTGATTTAATTAATTAAAATTTTTTTTTTGATAAAAATATATTAGGTTTGAATTCTGTCAGTGATCATTTATTGAGATCATATCGAATGCACGATCTACAACCATTTATTTTATACTGTCAGATACGAATATATTTTATTCTGATATAAGTGACTGAACAAATTAACTTCTCTCAAATTTTTTTTACCAAAAAAAAAAAGTACCACTAAAGTAAAGTGTTTTCAAGAAAAAAAAAATTCCAGGGTCTAATTCCATGATATAATAATGATAACAGCTCCCCTGATGTTTTGTGCCACCAAATTCTATTAAAAAGCTTATTTATTTTTTTACCATGGATATTTGGTAAAAATATTACTTGTTATTCGTTTATTTGAGTTTGAATTTGTTAAAATATTATAAAAAATAAATTTTTTTTATAAATTTATTAAATTTAAATATAAATAAATTTATTTAAATAGATTCGAAAATAAAATATATTAGATAAAATCCATAAATCTTTACCATTAAAAAAAATTCTTATTGTTATTATTATTAAAGTTGTTAGAACGATAAAAGCTTTTTTTTCAACAGAAAACGACTATTCAAATATCAAAATTTCTTTTAATACGCTGCCTATACTCAAATCATACACAGTAAAAACCACATTATCTAAAAATATGGGAGGGAATTATGAATTTCACCTAAAAAAATGGTGATCTATCACTCTATTTACTCCATTACCTATAACTACAATAAGGAGTTATAAATTCTATGATTTTGATATACCTTTCACCAATAAATCAATGTCTCCCTCATTTATTCTTTTTTTGTTATTATTTCTAAATTTATTTTTCTTCTTTTCTTGGGTTTGAGAATCATCCCATGTGAAGTTTTTTTTTTTTTTTTTCTTTTTTTATCCGAAAAAATTTAAGAGTAAAAAAATATTATACCATCTTCAAAATTAGAACAAATCATCAATTCAATTAAAATTTATTAATTTATTAAAATTTTACTTATAAATTTTTTAAATTTACATATCATTTATCAATAAAAAATTATATAAAAATTCAAACCTAAATTCATTAATATTTAACATTCACTTCGATGTAAAGTTTTGAACAACCGTCAACAAAGACAGAATTTACTAAATTCTACATCAACTTTAACCACTATATATATATATATATAACTTAAAAAGGAAAGAGCAGATTGTGGTTTTCCCTGCTGTCATGTATGGGAAAAGTGAGAGCAAAATCTGATTTTTCACTGTGAAGCCTTCTGGCTAATTGGCTTCTCTTGAATCTTGTGCTATTCAAACATGGGGCTCCTAAATCTGATTTTTATGAATTTTGTTAACTAAACATTCTTTAAATTAATTAATATATTATTTATAATAATATTTTCATTAAAAAATTTCAAATTATTAAAATAAAATTACAAAATTTTACACTCTTTATAATTATATGATCATACTTATCATGCTGGAAAAATTTTGAAGGCAATTCGCTATTCATATTGTATCCACTAAAAAATACCCTATTTTATAGTATATATATCTAAGAGTTAAAATTTTATTATTATAAAAAAAATATGTGTACATTTTTAATCAATTTAAAAATTATAGTGCGTGCTATATTTGAATTAAACATAAAATCTAAGGGTTTAATTGATAAATATAAATATATAAATATGAATTGATATAAAGTTTTAATTTTACATTGATGGAATCCTTTTTTTCATTAAATATGATATAGATTTACAAAATATTGAGAGAAAATATTATAAGGTAAAAAAAAGTAATTATTTAAATAAGTTATTAAATTACCACGATTATAAGATTGTTTGGAATTCAGTAAACAATTAATTTTCATCCCTATAACAAGTCAAACACTAATTACTCAAGGTAAATAAAAAATTTATTACCTATAATAAATTTTACAAACTTTTACGTTCATTTTATTTTTCCCATATTACCCTTGTCCAAAATTCAATCCGATCCTCACCAATAAGTTCTGTAAGGGATATTAGAGTAAAATGAAGCAAAAAGAAGAAAAAAAAAAATCTAGCCACAATGACACATCACTTTCCTTTTAGTTGTGATCCCATGTGAGTATCTCTTGTAGGTTGAAGCCAGCGACCCCTCAACCATAAAATACAAAGGCATTTGCCCACTCTTCTTTACCTGGTGGCCCTATTGATTTTCATTTCTCATTTTTATTTAACAATCTCAATTAACCCAATGATTTAAAGCTTAAAAAAATTAATACTTCAATTTTAATTCTTTTTTAAAAAATTATTTCATATATCATCCAAAAAAAAATTTAAATTCTATCTACGTATTAAAAAATTATCAGGCATTTCTTTTTTATAAAAGATGCTACAACTTAACGATATTGAATTTTGAATTTTAAATTGTGGTGCTAAATTTTATTTTTTAAAAGTAATTGAATAAATTAATTAAATTTAAAATTAAATTTTTTTAAAAATATATATTAATATAATTATAAAAAATAAACATGATATATAATTTTTTAAGACACTCTGATGATATATAGAAAAAACTCATTAAAATTTTATTTAAAAAAACTTTAAGCTTTCTAAAAGTATGTGGTGGTGGTTCATGTGGTTTTTTTATAAGTTATTATAGTTTGTACAAAAAAAAAAGTTTTCTGATAATCATGCTTAATGATTAAAATAGTGTGATTTTCAGAGAAAAGAGAGCTTTATAGATTTATTTATTATTTTAGCACAAGGTTGCAGGAACAACTATGATTTTTTCAGGTAAAGCTGAAGGGTACATTTATAATGCTTTTGATAAAAAAGAGTGAAAGAGAGATTCATGAAACATACTTTTGGGTGGGGGAGTCTGGTCAAAGTTCTTTGGGTTCTTGCTTCCTGGGCTTTTGGTTTTGTGTTTTGTGAAGATTGAGACTGCTCAGTATGCTTTGTTTTTTCCTTGGGTTTTTCACTTGTTTCTTGTACTGATGGTGGGATATCTTCATCAAGTAGTTTATTAAACCAAGTTCTTTCCTTCTTGAGTGGAAAGGTTTCAAGTTTTTTTGGTTTGTTTTCTGATGTAAATTGGAAGGTGGGTTTGGATTGAAAATGAAATCTTTGAGTGGTGTAGGACTTGGTTTGAGTATAGTTTTTGGTTGTCTCTTGTTGGCTTTGATTGCTGAGTTGTATTACTTGTTATGGTGGAAGAAGAGGCTAACAGGCAGAGATTTGGAAAATGATTACAGCAATCCAGCTAGAGAGTTCTTTTACATGTTTTGTTGGAAAAGGTCAGCTTCCATGACTCACTCAGCTTTGAATCCTCAAGGAATTAGACTGAGAGAAGAACAACAATCTCATCATCATCATCTGGACTCAAACAAAGATTTGTTGCTCAAGCCTTTTGATGATCATGGCGTGGAAAGTGAGCTACTGAGGCTGCATAGTCTGTCAGGGCCACCAAGATTTCTCTTCACAATTATTGAAGAAACAAAGGAGGATTTGGAGTCAGAGGAAGCCAAGTCCAAGTGTGATAACAAGAGTAGAGTAGGGTCAAGAGGGAGGAGCTTGAGTGATCTACTTCTTACTGTTGAAACACCATATTTAACCCCTCTTGCTTCTCCACCATTTTTCACTCCTCCTCTTACTCCAATGGAAGCCTGTTATAGTCACCAAGGATTCAACCCTTTGTTTGAATCTGCAACTGATGCAGAGTTTAACAGGATAAGGTCATCATCACCTTCCCCAAAGTTCAAGTTCCTGCAAGAAGCAGAGGAGAAACTTCATAGGAAAAAATCAATGGAAGAAGCTGAGAGTAATGATGGATTTGATCAAGAAAATGGTGACATGACTCCTCCTTCAAAGTATCTCAAAGATGAGGAAGATGGATCTTTTATCACAATCATTGTTGATAGGAACAAAGAAAGGGGGTTTAATCACTATCATCAACACCAATTTCATTCAGGTACTTCCTCTTAGTTCTTCACCTTCAACATTCAAGTCACCAGCCAGAACTACTCCCATCTAACAATGTTTTTGGAGTTTCATGACCAACCAAAGTAAAATGAAAATTCCTTTTTTTTTTTTTTATAATTATTAGCTTTTTCTTGGTAGTTTTAGGTTTTGAGGGGGAGAGACAACATTCTATTCTACAACATGATGATGTGAGGTGGTCTAATGCAAGTGGAAGGAGACAAGTGGGGTTACTTGTTTTATTTCAATCTCCATGTCTCCTGAGCTGTTTGATTCCTGTGATCATTCTATGAGTGAATTGATTTACTAATGTTCTTTCTTCAAAGAGCCTTGTAAAATTTTTTGAACAAAATTTTATGATCCAAGTTGTCCAATTTTCTGGATCAAAGTAAAATGTATCTTTTTTTCATAAATATCGTGCATTTGAAATTAACATGAATAAAAAAAATTACATTATACTTCAACAAAATGACAAAACTGGAAACAAGAGAAGAAAGAAAAGAAAAGAGGGGCAGATGCCAGATGGGCAGTGATTTGTAAGTTTCCTTTAGGCTTTTTACATCACAACAGAGAGATGCAATTGCCCTTGAAAGTGTCCGGTGCACATGGCCGAAAGATACCCACCTTGAAGAAAACTCGTTACTTCTACAAGCACTTCCCTTCTCCATTTCCCCTTTAAATTGCTAGGGGCTGGCGAGGTCCCATGATTGATAATCATGAAACCCGATTCCCACCACCAAAACTTTACCATACTCCACCGTAACGCCCTTGACAAACGGAACCAAAACCTTCTGCCAATTTAAGAAGGTTGGAAACTTGGGTTGTGACTGCAGTGATGAAGCACTTTGATCTGTCTGAAATGAAAAAATCATGTGTTGTAAGATAATGTTTGCCTTAAATTCAAAGTTGTAGTAAATTATGGAAGAAAGCAACAGCTCCTAGAGCTTGTTAGAGTTAACTGGTTACGCAGCATGTTCAAGGTATTCCCGTATGCATAAATTTGCACGGTAACTTTTTTGCGTCAATCGGTGTCTGCTGGAAAAGAATACCACTGAACCACGACGCCCATGGCTCATGCTCTGCACAAACCGCTATTTGTTCTTACCAAAGACATCTAGCCAAATTTTATATGACAAGGAAATTAGAAAACTACCGACAACCTTTTAAAGGAAACATTCATTACGTACGATGGTTCTCCAAAATAGTCCAGAATTTTTCACAACAAAGAGATTCAATAACTAAAACAAACTGCAGTAAACATAAAAACAACACCATCAGCAACAGCAACCCGCTTATCATCCTTTCTCAAACATTGGATTTAATCAACTTCTTCAATCTTGGGACCTGCACCGCTGCCACCAGCAGGAGGGATATCCTCATCCATGCCACCACCCATGTCAGCACCAGCACCCTGGTACATCTTGGCGATGATAGGATTGCAGATGCTCTCAAGCTCCTTCATCTTATCCTCAAACTCATCAGCCTCGGCTAGCTGGTTGCCATCCAGCCATTGAACAGCCCCATCAATGGCATCCTCAATCTTCTTCTTGTCAGCTGGGTCAAGTTTCGAACCAATCTTCTCATCTCTGACGGTGTTCCTCATGTTGTAGGCATAGTTCTCCAAAGCATTCTTGGCCTCAACCTTCTTCTTGTGCTCCTCATCCTCAGACTTGTATTTCTCTGCCTCTTGAACCATCTTCTCAATTTCATCCTTGGACAACCTACCCTTGTCATTTGTGATTGTAATCTTATTCTTCTGGCCAGTAGTTTTGTCCTCAGCAGATACATTCAAGATACCATTGGCATCGATATCAAAGCAAACAGTGATTTGAGGAACACCCCTTGGTGCTGGAGGAATTCCAGAAAGCTCGAATTTACCCAACAAGTTGTTGTCCCTTGTTCTGGCTCTCTCACCCTCATAAACTTGAATCAACACACCAGGCTGGTTATCAGAGTAAGTAGAGAACACCTGCTCCTTCTTTGTGGGAATAGTGGTGTTCCTTGGAATCAAAACAGTCATAACACCACCTGCAGTTTCCAGCCCAAGGGACAAAGGAGTAACATCAAGGAGCAATAGATCCTGAACCTTCTCATTTCCTTCGCCACTCAAGATGGCAGCTTGTACAGCAGCACCATAAGCAACAGCCTCATCAGGATTAATGCTCTTGCAGAGCTCTTTCCCATTAAAGAAGTCTTGCAACAACTGCTGCACCTTAGGAATCCTGGTTGAACCACCAACAAGGACAACATCATGGACAGAGCTTTTATCCATCTTAGCATCCCTCAAACATTTCTCAACAGGTTCCATACATTTCCTAAAAAGGTCCATATTTAGCTCCTCAAACCTTGCACGAGTTATAGTGGAGTAAAAATCAATACCCTCGTACAAAGAATCAATCTCAATAGTAGTTTGAGCAGTTGAAGAAAGAGTCCTCTTAGCTCTCTCACAAGCAGTCCTCAACCTCCTCAAGGCTCTAGGATTCCCACTAATATCCTTCTTATTCTTCCTCTTAAATTCCTGAACAAAATGGTTGACCATCCTATTATCAAAATCCTCACCACCCAAATGAGTATCACCTGCAGTAGCCTTAACTTCAAAAATACCTTCTTCAATAGTAAGCAAAGAAACATCAAAAGTACCACCACCCAAATCAAAAATCAAAACATTCTTTTCACCAACACTAGTAGCTTTCTTATCAAGACCATAAGCAATGGCGGCAGCGGTCGGCTCATTAATGATTCTCATAACATTAAGCCCAGCAATGACTCCAGCATCCTTGGTGGCTTGCCTCTGGGAATCATTGAAGTAAGCAGGCACCGTAACGACAGCGTTTTTAATAGTGGAGCCTAGGTAAGCCTCCGCAATTTCACGCATCTTGGTTAAAACCATGGAAGAAATTTCCTCAGCAGCGAATTGCTTTTCTTCACCCTTGTAACTAACAACAATCATGGGTTTATCACCAGGCCCAGCTATAACCTTAAAAGGCCAAAGCTTTATATCGCTTTGAACCGATGGGTCACTAAATCTTCTCCCAATTAACCGCTTAGCATCTGTTTAATTATAATTAACAAAATTTTAGTCAACACACTGTACAAGAAGTCAACTATCCTGGATTCTCGCTAATCCTATAATGACTTCATAAACAGAAAAGAAACAGTCGCATATATTTTTACTAGAAAATCAAACTGCTAACAACAACAATACGACGTCGTACTACATCTGGCTAAGAATAATTGAAATTTCGCAAAAGAAAAAAATAGTCATTTACTCAACGTACTACAGTACAAAAGTCAACTATCCCAAATTCTCTCTAATCCTATATTATTGACGTCATAAATAAATATATCTGTAATATTACGACGTCGTAGATCTGGGTAAAAATAATTGAAATTTCGAGAAAAAAAAAAGGAAAAATTTGTCGCTGGGAATAAGAAATTTACCAAAGACGGTGTTGATGGGGTTCATGGCGACTTGGTTTTTAGCAGCGTCGCCGATCAAACGCTCGGTATCAGTAAAACCGACATAAGACGGCGTCGTTCGGTTGCCTTGGTCATTAGCGATGATTTCGACTCTGTCGTGTTGCCATACTCCGACGCACGAGTACGTCGTCCCTAGATCGATTCCGATCGCAGGTCCTTCTCCTTTTCCGGCCATTGCTCAAAATTCCGACAGGAACCAAAGAAGAACACGGAACGAGAAGAGAAATACAAAAGTTTTTCTACTTTTGAATGAAATGTGTGGCTTGTAATTAGGGTTGGTGATTTTATACGTTTTTTTTTGGAGTTGTAATTAGGGTTCTAGAATGTTCGGAGGGAGAATGGGGATTTTTGAGCTGTTGATTTTAAAATGATGGACGGTTAAGATTTGTTTTTGGAATTGGAAAGAAAGTGCCGGTCCACTACGACTTTTTTAGTTGCGTGTTTTTTCAAGTTTCCTTAGCGGGTGAGGATTTGAATTTTTTGGATGATGTCGGCTACACCCTTCGACGGGTCTTGGGCTGTGCCGGGTTTGGATGCAAACACAACCCGAAATGCATATGGATCTTTATAATTTATTTATTTTTATCTGCAAATTGGCTTTTTTTTTTTTTATAAATCTTATTTTTCATTTTTATAGCTCACTAAACATCGTTTACTTTGATATAAAAATTCAAATTCAACAGATAATATATTGTTAAAATTATCTCGAATATATTATTTTTAATTATTATTTTTAAACTATTAAATAATCATATCTTATTTTAATTTTAAGAATCGAATTAATGTTTTAAATCAAATTAAACTATTATACTTTTTAACTCAAATTAATGAACTAACAAAACTAAACTTAATATCAATTTTTTATTTTTTTATTCAAAACATAACATATCTCCCACAAAAATTATAATCGATTTTAGTAAGAGTAAAATTTTATATGATTAAGATTTGCATATATTAATTCTTACATAAAAAAAAAAAAATCTTCCTTCCCTTATTTTTTAACATTTAAAAAGAAATTATTATAAAAACACATAATATAATGTTTAGTAACAATTTTTTTTTCTAAAAAGGTACAAATTACCCTTTGATGCAAAAATTAAGAATTTTTATAATAATGAAAAATTTTTTTTTCAAACCTATGTTTCATTTGGATCACCTATGGGATACGAACCCTAACTAGTCAATGGACATTGGGCTTGTTACCATAGTTAAGATAGTATTTAAAGAGTGGTAGGCCGAGTTGCCTCATGCCCAAAACAAGAAATGGCATTCCATGGCCCAACAATGGCCAGGATTAACTTTTATATCATTTAAACTTTTTAGGTTGCTTATGGTTGGCCTGCCTTTTTTGCTTTAAATAATTTTCAGCTTAAGAAAAGAAGCTTTGGGAGGCCCAAAATTTGGATTTGGGCTTATATTACCCATCAATCAAAGGCAGGCTTGGCAAAAAGGCCTTATGTAGGTGTAAATATTTTTATTTTATTATCAAATAAAATAACAATGTCACAGACGAAAACTCTTGTAGAGATCAGCAGTACTTCTCTTTACTATAATTTTATAAATATTCAATCATAATATAAAATTAAGTAAGAGTTCATCGATTTCATATAAATTTTGATAAATTTTATAAAATTTTAAATATAATTAATTAATTATATTACAACAATTATAAATGATATAGTCCCTCCTATCACATTAATCACATTAATTATAAGCATATACATGTGAAGTTGATTTTTACATAATGAGAAATAATTTCTTTTATTTCATGATTTGAACTCGATTTTTAAAAATTAAATTTTAACCTTTAATCGTTAAAATGTAGAGGCAGAATCAAATGATGGAGTAGGGTGTTTATGAATATTTTTAAAAATTGAAAAAAAAAAAATTAAGAAAAAAAATTATTTTTTTGGATTTTTTTTTATAAAATTAATAAATTCATTGTATTTTTT